AGTGTTGGTAAGTTTATTGTTGTTATGTTTCCTAATAAGTCACAATTATCTAAAAAAATAATTGAAAAGAACTTTCGACCGGTTTACGTAAACAGGAATTTTTTTTTTAATTTGTATAATAGGAACACTAAATTTAAAAAGTAAAATAAATAAACTTAAAATGTAGTGGTCCATATATATACTGTCACTTGTTAATGAGAAAATCAATATTCATGTTCAACTACACATATTAGCAAAATATTAGAAACTAAAAAACTCTTATAATTAAAATGTTTAGTTTTCCTAAATTTTTAAAAATCTATTTATTGCGTATAATCAATCTGTAGCAATTAGTTATAAATATTTTATTATAGTAATGCCATTTGAAAAGGTTAAGTTAAGAATCCCTTCTAGAATCTTTTCGGTTAGAGAATCTGAGATATATTAAAAAAAAAGAGTCTCTTATGATGGTTTAAAAATCCCAAGCTAAATAATTACATGATAATGTAGGCAAAAATAAAAATAAAAAATGATAACGTGATCTCTTCTCTTGTATACTAGCATATTTACAATTTAATTCACGTGTTGTTCAGAGACCAAAAACAAAAACAAATGAATAAAATCTCTACCAATATTTTGAGCACCAAATAAAAAATGATAACAATAAAAAAAATGCTCGGACCAAACACCTCTATAAAGTTGCTTCTAGAAATTTTCCTTAAATATTAGGTTTTCCATTCCCGGTCTCTATCCAATACAATAAATTATTGAATTAAACGCAACAAAGATTATTGTTAATTCATAATTAACTTCCAGTGAAAAATAACATTAGTTATAAAATTGCTAAAAACTTGTTGTAACGTGAAGTGCGAGGCAAAATAGTTAGAAAATTTTCCGTTAATTTGATTCCATCTATTTTAAAGAAAAGAAAAACAATATTTCGAGGCTAATTTTGTAAATATATATATTACTTTATGATTTATTTGTTGTTATTTGAATTTAAAAATATTACTTTATGTCTGAGAGTTTGTTAGTTGTAACTAACAAAAATTACTTATACAGTTGTTGAAAAAAAGAAAAAAAAGAGCATGATATAATCGTTGAATAACAGAAAGGAATCTTGTGAATTTAATAAAACATTTTAAATTAAAATGAATGATAAGTTTGTAGCAAGATATTGTCCTAACGTTTCCATTGCTGCGAAACGCGGCACTACAGGGATGAATAATGTGGATTCGTGTCTCGTTCATGATCAAGACCGAAGATGAAGAAGTAGACCAGGGTGGGTCCCACGCAGTGAACATAATCTTAAACAAAATATATTTTAAAAAATAAGAACCACTAATTTAATGATTGATCGGAGACGTTCAGAGGAGTAATTAATATATATTTTTTATTCTTAACTAATTATGTAGTAAAATATTTATTAGATAAGTTTATAGTAAAAAATAAAAATAAAAAATCCAGTTAAACGTGGCAAGTGTTAAAAGTTATCCACGCTTGTAATAGTTTTTGGGAAGAAGATACCTTCTAAAACGATGAAAATCAGGGATTAAAAATAGAGCATAAAATCCTCGAAATCTGACTTAAAAAAAAAAATTAAAGTTTGAACCGAAACTGTATTGAAGTGTGAACAGAGATTGAATTGGTAGAGTGGGAGGAACGGCGCAAGGGAAGTGTATGATTAGTACGAGAAGGAGTAGTTTTATGGCGTGGAAAAGATGAAAAGAAGAACAATGAACAATGAACAATTAAGCATAGTTTTTCTATGGCGTTGGGGCCCAATAAACGCGTTTCGGCTTTATCCTTTTTCGGTGCATCCAACTAATCAGAGGCACACAAAATCTCCCAACAAAATCATCAGATTCATATAAACAAAAACCATACATACACACACCTCTCTCGAACTTATAAAAATCATGAACTAGTTGATAAATTCAGATAAGGTATATTTAAAATGCTGCAAATGCACCTTATACTAATTCAGTATCACGTTTGCATGATCTTCAAACTTGGAGTAATATAAAGGGTGGGCCTTGCAACTAAATGAAATGATTGGATTAGTGGGCCAATCAGATTTTTATGTATGCAGTAGACAAAATTGTTGTTCCTTATCGACAAAGGCATTCTCTTCCCAACAACCTTTTCCTTCTTCATCTTCTATATATTTTTGTTTATTAATTACTTTCAAAAAGTAAGAGATCGACATAACATTTTTCTTTCACTTGGATTTGATGTTGCACCCTTCTACTTGTAAAGCTGCTTATTTTAGTTAAAACCCTCACACATTGTCACTGTCAATTAGAATGTACATAAGCCATAAGTGATCCAAGTGAGGCCAACTTAGGCATATGATTATTAATCATACACATAACTTGATTAACTTTCAAACACTTGTTCAAATTCTGACTTAAATAACCATCTACCCCAACATCTTATGGTTTACAATATATGGAATGAGGACAATGAGGCTTGAACCAACCATTGGTGCCCATTAATTGCCTTCTCAAAATAATAACTACAATTTTTGCAGAATGCGTGACAGATATAATACATGCAGATATCATATATATATATATATATATATATATATATATATATATATACACCATGTTGTCACTGTTTTCCTATGTGATGGCAGCTAGCTACTGAGTTCTTTCTAACTGCCATGTTCAAATATTCTATCCCATTTTGTTGCAACTATGTTTGTTGGTTTTGACTAGAATAGCAAAAGGAATCCATGTTGTGTGGTTCTTCTATTATGCAGTGTGCTGTGTATCAGTGTAGTGTAATAATTTAAGAATCAACTGGAACATTAAAGCAGAGAGTCTTCCATTTGGGTCCCAACCATACGCTATAATTTTCTTTGGTCTTGCGAGCAACCTTCCTCTTTACGCGCCACAGCACGTGCATCGCAGGTTTTGGGTCTTAAAGAAAAACATAATGACATAGTTTTAGTTTGGATGTTTCACATTTAAACATGCAGTAAGTGTAAATATTAAGTTTTATTACTTTGTTTGAATGGTTTACCAATGGTGACTAGAAAAATAGTCTCACTAGTAAGTAAAACCAATGGAAGGTTTGAGTAAGAAAGTAGTTAAAGTGGTCATCTTGTTGATGGGTGTGTGTGATCAATGGTGGGCTCAGCTTTACAACTAATATTGGAAGAAGAGGAAGAAGAAAAGATCCCATTAAAAAGTGAGAGGATGTGGTAAACTTTTTCTTGTTTCTTTTACTTATTTTTTCCAAGTTGTGTAGCTGTCAAGTCTGATGCATGACCATAGTGAGGGGCCAACGTGGTTGGGTTTTTGCGTGACACATTTTCGTATTTGGATTTGAAAGTTTTAATCTCATTTTCAATGATGGCTGGGGGAGATAAAAGCATGGCACTTGATATTTTTGCACCTTAGTTTGCTTTTTAGTTAGTGTTTTTCTAAAGATAATTATGTAGTAATTACTGGAAAAAAAATAAAAAATTATCAACGGCTACATTTCCTTGTTTTATTTCACATTTTGAAATCATTTTCAAAACACAAGTACAGTTATCAAATCCAGATTTTCATTCCTTCATATGATTCAAATTGATTTAGGTTGCGTTTGAATTATCATTTAGAAAGCACAAATATTTATTTAAACACAACTTCATATTCGTTAGTATCATAATTTTTTTTTAAAGCGAAATACTGTTAGTTTTCTGGCCAATAAAATCTTAATGATATCTACACCATGCACGTGTAACTTGTCTTCATTGTCAATTGTGCTTAATATACTTTTGAAATGGCTCTTTGCTTCTTGCACCCATAATTTTTTAATCACTTTTATATTCTAGGTTAAATGTATAAAATATATTTTTCATAATTTTATTTTTTATCCTAACTTCTTCTTTTATTTGTGTACAATTTTTGTACTTCCATCTTTTGACTATTTGATTTTTAACAATTAAAAGTAATCGTTAATTTTATATATGAATTATATATTAAACAAATCTAAATTATTTATTTTGAAGCAATGTTGCGAAAATGAGATTGAATTCTAGAAAAATCAATTTGAAAATGTATTTTGGATTGAGTGTTCCAGAATATGTTCTAAAAAGACAAATCCGAAAATATATTTCGAATTGGGTGTTCTAGAATGTATTTCTGGAAAGCTAATCCGAAAATGCATTTCGGAATACCAAATTCAGAATTCAGTCCAGAACAATAAATCTAGAATGCATTTTCGGATTGACCTTTATAGAAACACATTCCAAAACACCCAATCCAAATGCATTTTTGGATTAGCTTTTTCGAAAACGTATTATGGAATAGGTGTTATGAGATGTGTTTCCAAAAAAGCCTTTTTCGAAATACATTCTGGATTGGGTATTTTGGAATGCATTTTCAGAAATATATTCTGGATTGAGTGTTTTGGATTCGTTTTCAAAAAGGAATTATTCTAGATTAAGTATTCTAAAATGCATTTGCGGAGATTTTTTTTTTTTAAATGTAATATAGATTGGGTGTTCTGAAATACATTTGTGAAGATTTTTCTGGATACTTAATATGAATTGGGTATTATGGAATATGTTTATGGAGAGGTATTTGGAACGTAAAGATAAAAATAAGTATAAGGCTAAAATGAAGTTTAATATAATTATAAGAGTGCAGAAAGAAATTGTGGGATGCAGGCTTTCGAAATATTCTAGAATATTGGGCCTAATTGGTGATACCTTTTCTTATCGTGGGCTTGGACGTATTCCAAAGTGTGATCCATTAACAGGCCTAAAAAAAAGAAGAAGAAAAGAACAGCGCCCGAAAGAAGAAGAAGAATCAATGGCCATCAGGACCGTACGAGAAACTTGAAAAAAGAGAGAAGAAAGTAAGAAAAATAGAAAATAGATAACTGTTTGAATCAGACCGTGGTTTTGCATTGTGACATACATACTGTAATCTATTTTGGTTTATAAATTTTCGCTTTTCGCTTCGGATTCCATAAGTGTTGATCGAAGATATTCTCCAATCACTCTGTGTTGTGCGATCACCATGACCATCGACATCCCAACCTTGGAAGACAGGTACACTTCATCAACTCAAATCAAAATGCGCTATTATATTTTTGTTTGTCTTCTTCAATCAATTGTTAACTATTCGGATTTCTATTCAATATGTAAAATGTGGCTGGTGGTTAGTTTCAGTACTCCGCTCTTAATTTCCATTGAATTTTACTCTGCTTGTTGAAATCAGGAACTTGAGTTCTTAAACGATTTCACTCTTTGGGTTGTCTTGTTGAATACACTGAATTTTCATTCCCGCACCCTTTGCATTGTCTTGTCGAATCGAATATTTTTGGGTTGTAAAGAAAAAAACATTAGTAATGGGAAACTTGCTAGCAGTCTGGAGCAGGCTTGTTGCTTAAATTCATTGACAGCTTAGACAATTTCTAATGAAGTCATTGTTCACTCTTTTTTTTTTTTTTTGGTTTCTCGGTGTTATTAATTCCATTCTAATTAGCTAATATTGATTTTGGTTGTAGGTATATTGATTCTTGCAGGAGACAGGGTGTTTTGCCTAATTCTTCTATTTTGTCAAGCCTTGTAAAGGTCAGTTGTCAATTTCAATCACTGAATTTACTGCTAGATCGCTGGAAGCTATTTCACCATTTTTGTTATATTGAAATTGTCATTCACAGAAATATATGCAACTTTGCTCTTGTCCTGGTTAGTACAGCAACTAGGGACTATACATATATATAGCGAGTGACTCTAGTGAAAATAATTGGTTATTCTAAGAAATGAGAACCTTAAATATAGACCATTGAATCTTATTTTAGAATAGTTTAGATTAAATGAAAAATGCATTTAACTTTTGTAACACGTTATGTGGTCCAAATTTTTAGTTCTGTATTCTTACAGTTACCAAGTTTTTCACATGAGTCAACCCGTTATATAGAACAGTGTATATATTTATTACTCCATTTCTCTGTGTGTTTACTCTCCCTGTGTAGAGGTCAGTGAATGTAGTCCATTTTCTACGTTTTTTCTATTTATTATGGGGGTAAGAATCTAAAGCAGACCATTATCACACAGGCTGAGGTAAAAAAGGCCATGCATGAGCTGTGCAGCCTGGAGATCTTAATTGATGACCTAAAGGATGTTGATATTGCTCCACTTCTTGACTTGTGCATGAACTTTGATGCTTCTGAAATTGAAGCTGTCGATGTACGTAATGAATCATCATGTGTATTAAATGGAGAATATGCATTACCATTGATGCGTGCTGTTAATCAAAAGCTTCGAGTAGTCCATCTACATGATCTGTCATATGGAAAAGACTTCTTACGGTATATTATGCTGTCTATGATGAATTTTCTTTGTATAAATGACATAATTTTTATTGATAGTTACCTGTGTTTTCACCATCTTAACAAATTTGAAATGGTAATAGGGAATTTCTAGCCTTTGAAATTCTGAAAATTCCAAACAATGAACAATCTTCATGTTACTGAATATGGAAGTTAGGTTTTTAAGTGATTAGATAAATAAATCTCAAGGTATTTTAATATTTATATATCAATGCATGTGACATTACTATCCTGCTACTGGCTCTATTCTCACTATGGATTACCGTTGGCATTGACAGTAGCCAATTAACATAAATTTCATGAGGTGATTCGTTCCCATTGATTATATATGAAAAACTGGCTTTTGTTTGCCTAAAAGTCTAAAAATGAATGGATCATACATCATTGGGAGAACTGGCCTTTCATGGTTGTACTTTCTGGTGTGTTAGGATTTTTTTGCATGTTTTCTTTTTCATGACTATGTTGGATCTAATCATTAGGGATATTTCACAAAGAGGTTTGGCATGCCAAGTTTTGACATTGAGGTGCTCACGTTTCCGGAAGCTGAACTTAATGGGGGAGTTCATGCATATGCATACCCTAAATCTTGATTTCAGTTCTTGCCTGACCAGTTTCCAGGAGGACTGTTTTAATTGTATGCCCAATCTAATGCGCCTCTCAATGTGTGATACAAGGATTACAAATCTTTGGACAACTGTTGCAGCTCTCTCTAAGCTTCCTTCTTTAATTGAATTAAGGTTTCAATATTGGCAGTATTGCAATGATGCTGGGACATCTTTTATCTCAACCAGCGGGAAGTCTGATGACACTGCTGATTTTAGCCTTCTTGATAGTATTCCTTTATTTGGTCCCTTCACCAATACAACAGAACTGACAGATCCCAACTTTAGTGCTGAAGATCCACTGAGAAACTTTTATACTTTGGATGAAGAAGTTATAAATCATGATGCTCAAAGCATGGCCGAGGATTCATCAGATGATAGTGAAGATGACTATACTAGTGATCATCATAGATACTGGTTATCAGATGTTTTTCCTGGGTGGAGTTCTGAAGTGCCTCTTCTTCATGAGGTAGTCAACTTAGCCACTTTTTCCTTGCTCGTAGATTTCATTTACACTTTGTGTTTCTTTTCGTTGAATGAAAGTGGAAATAATTAGAGGATGAGATAATCACTTCTCTGGTTTGTATTGTGATAAAATAGGAAGGCACCAAAAAGCTTCTCTCCCCTTGTTGAGAGATTTGGGTGGTAGACAGGCTTATTTTTATTTCTTTTAATTTCAGAACTGTCTTGTTTTATTGCTAGTGCTTATAATATAGTTTTTTTATAAAAACTAAAAATAACTATGTAAATAGGATGAAAAGTTTGTTAAAGATTTGAAATTATTATTGTTTGGTCAAAGAAAAAACATATATAAAAGGTTATTGAGCTTTCACTCTCTTTACCACTTGTCCTCATAAGTGGAGGCAAAATTCTCTATTATTCTTTTTCATTTCTATTCATCCAAACAACATATATTTTTATTTCATTTCAACTGCATTTCTATCTTCCTTATTTCTTTCTTTCATTTTAATAAACAAAGTGTTATAGTGGTCTCAATAAGAACAACAGTGGTAAATATCTCTTCCTTGCTGATATGTTTTTCATTATTGTAAGTGATGGTAAATTGTATGCATCTATTTGTGAAAAAAAGATAATAGTTTGGGTTTTATAATAGTGATGGTCATTAGAAGTTCAGGCTTGTGAGGCATCACCTTGCATTTAATATTCCTTTAGCTATTGTTTAGAATGCTATTTAGTTGTGGTAATGAATATGGTTTTGATTAATTAAAAATATAACGGCTTTCTGTTTAGCCTATTTTCACATTGTTTTCATAATTATACTGTATTTTGGAAGTTTAGTAAATGACTTTATTTGTTGGATTTAGATTATAATTATTATATGCATGCTTTAAGGATAACATAAATGACATGTTTGATATTGAATTGCATAAAAATGATTCATGTTACTGTAAAGTTTCTTATGTCCACGTTATCCAAGTTGTACTTTCTTAGTCCTTCTTATCTATAATTTTAGTGGTTCACGTCACAGAATGTAGATGGAGAAGAATCATCACAAGGTGCTTTTACAGAGCCTATTGCTGATGTTTCTATGAAGTATATGTCTCGTCATGCATCACCAATATGCTATGAGAAGCATTACAGAGAGTTCATGATTGCTTCATTACCAAATCTGAAAAATTTAGATAATATGCCAATCAGAAAGATTGACAAGGAAAGGTCTACTGGAATATTTTCTCAATATTTTGAATATCTTCCGTATAAATGGAAGCACAAAGAGAGTGTTGTAAGTATCTTGCAGAAGAGAGAAATAAAATCAGGCCACAGTAAGGTGCAATCTTCCAAGCACGGGCCATCTTATCCATCTGGGCAATCCCAATATTTTTATACTAGGTCTCTTTCTGCTGCTAAATTGGGGTCCTCAACTTGGCCTTTCTTACATCCCCTTTCTCTAATAGGATGTGAATTGGACAAGGGCTTTCATCCAAGGCAGTTTGAGTACCATCCATCTGACTCCAGTTTGATGGTCTTTGGAACTTTAGATGGTGAAGTAGTTGTCATCAACCATGAGAATGAACATATTGTGAGTTATATCCCATCGCTTGGAGCAATGAATAATGTTTTGGGTCTCTGTTGGCTCAAAAAATATCCCTCCAAGGTATGTGCTTATTGAATAAAATTTGAATTTGTAGATTATACTTAGTATGGCTATTATTTTCTCTTGTGGATGCTGGCAGCAACATATATTGGCAATTAATGAGGTGATTGTCCCCGCATGCTACATCAGATTTTACAGAGTCTGTTATTTGTCATATATTGGCAAAAGTACTTTTAAGTAGAGATACTGTACTCTGATTTTCTGCAAGAATGCTAGTACAGCCTTGCCAGCTGTAAGGATCATTGATATTTTGTTACTGTTATCAGTAAAGTATTCCATTTGCATTGTTAGTTTTAGAGGATCTACTTTTTCATTTGGATGTCTGTTCTTTATTTTCTTTTTCTTTTCTTCTTATTGCATGCCAGCTTATAGCAGGATCAGACAATGGTTCCTTGAAATTGTATGACATCCACCATATACCAAGAAAAGTTACTGGCATACATGGGAATTTTGGTTGTGTTACCTTTGATGAATTTGACCAGTTGACATCTGTTCATGTTAACTCTACGGATGAGCTATTTCTTGCAAGTGGTTACTCGAGGAATGTTGCTTTGTATGATATCAACAGTGGGAAACGCTTACAAGTATTCACAGATATGCATCGTGGGCATATTAATGTAGTCAAGTTTGCTAATCATTCCCCATCAATTTTCGCCACTTCATCATTTGATCACGATGTGAAAATGTGGGACTTGAGACAAAAACCAATACACCCCTGCTTCACAGTTTCAAGCTCCAGAGGAAATGTGATGGTTTGCTTTTCTCCAGATGATCAATATATTCTTGCTTCGGCGGTTGATAATGAGGTAATTTCCACAGTAGCGTGATTAGTTACTGGTGACTGCATTTGAAGTGCAATTTTTTGTTATCTATTTAGGAATGGTCAGTGGGTTATGGTAATGTGATTAGTTACTGGTTGGCCGCTCAGTCGAGCAGGCCTTGCAACAATACGAAATCTGATTCAGCTTTAAAACTAGTAACAGTTTCCATTGAATTTTTGGTATCTATAAGGTTCAGTAACTTAAATTGATTCAGTACTTGCCAGTCTCAGTTTGAAAATTTTTATCCCGAGGGCACATTTTTGGTGTCCAGGCTGACATGTAAGTGTTTACAGGTTAGACAATATCTGGCCGTTGATGGTAGGCTTCACTTAGTTTTTGATATAGCTCCCACTGAAAGCTCTCAAAATTACACCCGTTCTTATTACATTAATGGGAGGGACTACATCATAAGTGGGAGTTGTGATGAACACGTCCGTATTTGCTGTGCTCAAACAGGGAGACGCCTAAGAGATATATCCCTTGAGGTAAATCAATCTTCTATTTGTTTATTTTAGTTATACATCTACAAAATGGAGGATAGAGAGTTTTTTTACTTCTACAGGGGGCAGCGGTAGACATCTATAGAATAAAATAAATATGAAATAACTGCTACAAACATGCACTTACATGATAGGACTGGACCATTTTTTGAAGCTACACTTCTCTAATTTACCTCTTTATATTCCCTCCCATAATTTTTCTATAAAACAAGCAGTGTCTCAAAAGCCATCACAAAAAGGAACACGAATAACTAATATCTGATTTCCGTGTTTTCATTTTATGAAATTTTTGTTTCATTGTACTGAGTTTACTCGTTTACTTGTTTGCAGGGAAGAAACTTAGGAAGCTCCGTGTTTGTTCAGTCTTTGAGGGGTGATCCTTTCCGAGTAAGTTATTTTTTAAAGCTTTTCCCAGTCTTCTCTTAAGGAGAGAAAAAAGGCTTAAAGGGGTTATTATGAGCATTGTGTGGCTTTTTATTGTTAAATGTATTCCACTATCATTTTTGGATATTATGATTTCTCTCTCTCTCTCTCTCTCTCTCTTACGTTTTTTTCTTGATAAATTTCTTCTACTTGGGTTAATTGTTTCTGGGGTAAGACTTTCAAATTCTCAAGTACCTTTCTTCTAACTAAAGATGTCTTCCAGTTAGTTATTATTACTATGGCATGGCGGCTGACATGCATGATATTGCGACAGCGACCTATATGTGTGACCCTTCTACATGTGTGTTTTTTCTATAAAACCATTTTCTAAAAATCCAATCACGGCGTGAAAATTGAAATTGCTGATTTTGAGTAATTTATACATGCAAACTACTTATGATGCAAAAGTATGTGGAGATTGGTAACAACACCAATCATTTCCCGCCTTGACGAACAAACTCATTTTTTTCTGTATGGGGTATTTCTATCATTTTTTCCCTTGATGATTAAGATCGAGTACCATGGTTTATTTAATTATTTTTTCATTCTTTGGTGAGTTTCTCTTAGTTCACTTGGTGATAAATTTTCGCACACGGTGTTTCCGTAATTTGTGTCCTCCTTGTTTCATGTAAATGGTTTTTTGTACAGGATTTCAATATGAGCGTGTTAGCAGCATACATGCGGCCAGGCTCCAAGTCTAAAATTGTCAAGGTTGTACCATATTTTCTTACATGCATTATTCTATAATAATAGTACGACAATCTCAATGATATGTTTAATGTTCTCAGTTTTATCTTACTTTTCCTGAAGTATGAATAAAAAAGAAGAAAAAAGAAATTTAGCTAGTTTTATCCATTATTTTGAAACCTCTAAATCTGGGAACCATAGAAGGCTACATTACGAATTTAAACTGACCGAGTTTCATTTTCTAGAACTAAATATTTTACATACATTAAAATATTTTTAAAAAATGTTATATATTCTGAAGGATTCTATGAGAAGTTTTTTTGGTATTCATTAACAACCTCTAATATTAATTGGTAAGAAGTATTTCTACTGTATTTAAAATTAAATGCATTTTATATCCAAATGTAACAAAAATACATTATTAATACAACCTTTAAGTTTTCCATATTCATTTTTCAATTTACACTCACTTCCATTCCCTCCCAATACAATAGTTTCTTTTACATTCGTTCTCATGTCTTTCACATTGGAAGATTCAAAATGAGAAGAATGGAAGATTCGATTTAAAATTTACTAAGCTTGGGATATGTTTACCCAAATTTAATTTTTTGTTTATTTATGTAGATCAACTTACTAGCATCTAGTGGACATTGCAACAAGGATGATATTGATGAATTGCGCCCTTGCCCGTTTCACAGTATGGGAGCCTGATGTACGATTTTGTATGTATTGTGTAGAGGTTACGATCTGTATTTCATAGAATCATAATTTGGGGCTTGTGTGTCCTTAGCTTTGCTTACTTGTAATGAGAATTTAACTAGTCTAAATAAAAGCATGTGTAATGACTCAAGTAGTTGCATTAATCACACACACACACACACACACACATATATATATATATATATATATATATATATATATATATATATATATATATATATATATATATATTTATTTATTTATTTATTTATTTTGTAAAACCTTTGTTGTACGATGATGTGATATGATGGAAGCTAACAGCTCATGTGGTTGCTGAAATTCCTTTTCAGCTGGAAATACACTTGTTAAACATGATGAAATAAAATGGAGATAAATTGACAGTCCCTTGAATTTTAACTCAGCCAGAGCGCTTCAAGATTTTAATTGTATAAATTGAATGAATAATTTAGTTTGAAACATTCTTGATTCCATGTATTATTATTATTATTATATCAACTAAAATCATTAAAATTAAAAAGTAATTACTTCAATTATAAATGAGAACTATAAATGTAAGTAGTATAATTATACATATGGATGATGAAATTTAAAATTTAATAGTTGGTTTTTATTTTTAATTCTAGGCATTTAAATATAATTAAATGATTTATATTTGCCTTTATTGGATAACTTTTTTAAAAACTCGCATCTAGATTGAAAACTCTTCCCGCATAAACCATATTTTAAAATATACAAAACATATGAATAATTTGATTTGATTAGTTTTTTCTTATAACTGCTCAGTATTATAAAATTTATACAATTGAGAAATACATAATTTATTGATTAATTTAATATAAATTACAATTTACATAATAGTATAATAGTTAACATAAGTTACAGTATACATGGTATAAATATTTTAAATTTATTTATGAGAATCTCTTTATTGCAAAATAGTTATTATGAGACTTATATTATCTGTATAATAGATAAAACAAAGGAAATAACATAATAAAAAATATGAAATAAGTGTTGCAGTTGGAGGGAATAAATGGAGCTTGAACAGAATAGTTATGAAGTTGTTGTTGTGGGATACAGCAAGAGAGAGAAAGAGAAGAAGCGGGAAGCGATTGAAAAGCTTGGTAGGCAGATTCGCAGATACGCGTGAGTAGGATTTTAGGCTGTCTCTTCCTGCTTCTCTCGTCTCCACCACCACCGAGGCACCGACTCCCACTATATTTAAATTTTAGCCTTTTAAACGTAATAAGAATTTTAGGTTAACTTATTTTTTGTAACTAAGAACTCATTACAATTTTATATTTAATGACTTTCTTTTTAGTCTTTATCTATATCTTTTAATTTCTTTTAATCGTTGTCAAAGAAATCAAAATAATACACACCAAATTAATTTAACACCGTATGGAGAGAAATTTAAAACAGATATATAAAAGCTTTTTTTATATAAATATAAAAACTAAAAAAGTAATAATTTTTTTTCTATTCACTAAATGTTTAAAAAATATTATAATCTTTCAAGTTAACAAACAAAAACGTATTTTTAACCTTTGTTTAATAGAGGTAAAGGAAATAGAATAAAATATAGTGTATAAGTAAAAATGAATAGATGAAAAAAATAAAATTAAATAAAAACAAACTTAATCCATTATATATATACATAATTAATTATTTATAATTATTTAATTTATTACTGTTTATTTCTTTAAACTAACAATTTTATTCCAAAGTATGTATGATTTTTCTCAATTTTTTTTTCTTTTTACTCTCGTTTATTTTCTTCAGTTTCGAAACATATTTTTATCAAATTTAAAAAATACATTTCTTTTGAATTATTCTTAATTTCTAAGAGTAAATAAATAAAAATCGTATTTTTAAATTTAAGAAACTAGTAAGAAATATCATTTTGAATCTCAGGAACAAAATCATAATTAACTAAAATAATATTACTCTTTTAGATTATTTTATAAAAGAGAACTGGACTGGCTTGTAAAAAGGCTATTGACTGTATTCCCCCATTTTCATATTTCTTTATTTCCACCAACTTGTAATTAGGTTACTCTCTAGTAGCTTCCGTTTTCAAGCTTCATCGCTATAAATACACCCTCTTGGAAATGCCACCACATACAAGCACAGCAAAATGAAGCTTCTCTTTGCCACCCTACTACTTTGTTCTCTTCTTCTAAGCTCCTCTTTCTTGGAGACAGCCATGGCCTATGAAGAATCATGTAAGATTTTCTGTTACTGATATATAAAATAAGAACTATTTTGCTTGAGTAAATATATTCTTCAAAGCTATGTGTGATGAATGTGTTTTCTGTTTTGATGACAGCTTATTGCAGCAGTAAGTGTTCTGATAGATGCTCAGCGGCAGGGGTTAAGGATAGGTGTGTCAAGTACTGTGGAATATGCTGTGCAGAATGCAAATGTGTTCCTTCTGGAACGTATGGGAACAAGCATGAGTGCCCTTGCTACAGGGACAAGCTCAACAAGAAGGGCAAGCCCAAATGTCCTTGATCCATTCAACTCATAGTGATAGTGTGTGTGTGTGTGTGTGTGTGAGAGAGAGAGAGAGAGAGAGAGAGAGAGAGAATAAGAGATCGTATGTTAAACGTGAAGTTTAGGTGGTCAGTGTTAAATGTATGAGTTGCTTAGTGTTATCTGTGTCAGCTGTTCCTAAACATGTGTTGGATTCTTGTTTTTATCCTAAATTCTAGTTTCCAATGTCTGTTGGATGTTAGATCTGAACACGAATAAACTAGACATCCTACATAAACCATGCCTGTCTCAGTTTGGACTATTTGGCCTGATCATCAACCAATGAACAATGATTTTTTAATCAGATTTATAACTAATTTTAATAAAATTGAACAATTTTCTGAACATTTTAGTAGCCTCACAGAAGAAAAACACAGATACTTTGAAAACGTATCTTCAAAATAGATTGGCATGCAAATTTTATATATTTGTATTCTGGTTACATGTGTTTTTTATATTATGGGCTATGGGATTCTTATAAATAGTATTTTATAACAGTTAATCTATGTGCTGATGGAGATTTAAATTTCAAACTAAGAAAAGTAAACTCTAATTATTTATTATAGAGTATTATGATGCATGTACACAACTACTGACATGTAAAAGAAACATTTTCTTAAGATAATACCTAGGATTCTCCCATGTGATTCCCAGATGGGAAGTTCAAAATTTAAAGCACCGTCGTGATGTCACTGTGCACTTGCACGCATGTGACATGTCTGCAACATTACAGCAAAACCTGCCCAAGCAAGCAGCCACGATAGATCATACTTGCCATTTTAGTAAAATGACTTATTCTTTTTTTCTGGAGATACTAAAATGAGTGTAACATTAGCGATTTGTTCTTTCTAAACTGTAGAATTAATTTTAGTAAAAGTAATCCTCTCTCTTATGCTATTTTGTAGTTTTATACACAGATTCATTTGACTAACTGTCAAATAATCCTTATAGGGGGCATCTAGGTGTGGCCATAACATGTTATATCAACCTCTAGTATGGGTGGGAACGAGTCATCATGACCAAGAACAGAGAACACTACCTCAAAAGTCTCTCATGTACAGAAGTTAGTTTCTTTTAAGATGTTGCGTTGGCTAAGGTAGCGATGTTGGGCTTGCATTGGTTTATGTTATGGTGGGATCAAGTGAGTGTTGCATCAGTGGGGGTTGCAATGATGTGTACTTGGTGTGCGTTGTGGTTTTGGTCATGGGGACTGTGTTTTTGGAAACTTGTCTTGCTTATGGTATATGTTGAGAAGTTCAGAAGTGTTTTTGTTCATGTATCCGTACTTAAAATGACAATCAAATTTTGAATTCTGAATCACCTGGTTAAGAGATACAAGCTTTCTCTCAAATATTATAGAAGCAAAATTCTATGTAGATATTTTTTTACATGTGATGTAATGTAATTATTTTTATATACTATAGAACCAATTTTTCTATTGCAATTTTGCATACATCATGTTTTTTTTTTTCACATCAAGAAACTTTTTTTTTAATGTAATTAGGAGTGTTATTCATCTTTCAATAAACAAATATTTTAAAATTTAGCTTCCAAAACTAACAATTTTTTGAAAAAAATCAGAAAAAAGACAAACAAGGAAAGAAAAGTGCGAATAGAAACTCGCTTAAGAAATCACAAGTCAAAAGTCCAAGTAAAGCCCGTTATCTTAGATAATTTTTTTTTAAAAATAAAATAAAATCATCTCTAGGTTGTGTTTAAAGTGATGTATTTGTCATAATTGTTTAAATTTAGTTAGTAGATTCGAATTTTGGCTCACAATTATACTAATATATTAAAAAGAAGAGCTCAAGTGTGTTCATTGTTTTTTTTGTTTTTGTTTTTGTAATTATAGAGTCTCATTATTTTATCTTTTTCTACTACATATCTATGGATAATTTCACGAAGTTAGAAATAATGAAATGTAGGGAAAGAACTAAAAGGTGACTAAAGAAAAAATGGAACAGAGAAAATATAAAAATATTGTATTTTTATTTAAATAATGATAAAATAAAAAAGTTAATTTTTTAAAAGACAAATTATTCTAATTCAAACTTTAATTTCCTATAGAAATGAGTAGAGAGTTTTGAAATCATCAAAATGCTATGATGTGTTGTTGTTAGATCTTGCAGTATTTAAGTGAAATGTGCGGCAAACCTCGGATCCTGAAATAAATTAAACGTTTAGAGAAGTGACTAGCGACGAACTGAGACGGCGTCGTATCGGGTGGTTATCGATCGATTGGAGAGAGATCTGGTGTTGGAGTGGTAGCGGAAGATGGAGAAGGGTAAGATCCAAGAGGTCATCGAGCAGCAGGTCCTCACGGTGGCGCGCGCCGTGGAGGACAAAATCGATGACGAGATCGCCGCCCTCGAGCGCCTCGACGCCGACGACATCGAGGCCCTCCGCGAGCGCCGCCTTCAGCAGATGAAGAAGATGGCGGAGAATCGCGCCCGTTGGATCTCCCTCGGCCACTCCGAATATTCCGATATTCCCTCCGAGAAAGACTTCTTCTCCGTCGTCAAGGCCAGCGAACGCGTCGTCTGCCACTTCTACCGCGAAAACTGGCCCTGTAAGGTTCGTACATATACATACATCCTCACTCACCTTTCATTTTCAATTAATCGTAATGTGAATTACTTATTACGTTGATTTTCTTCCTAAGAATTTAAATGTCGTTGAAAAGGAACAGTCATGTTATTGTTCACTTGCAGGTTGTGGACAAACATTTAAATTTGTTAGCAAAGCAGCATATCGAGACTCGGTTTGTGAAAATCAACGCTGAGAAAAGTCCGTTTCTGGCTGAGAAGCTAAAGATCATTGTTCTTCCAACTCTTGCCCTCATAAAGAATGCCAAAGTCGAAGATTATGTGGTATGTGTTTGCTTTGCCAAGAATGTTGTGTTGGATAGGGTTTTTGCCATTTGTCTATTCATCAGTAAATAGTTTATATATTGATGTCTTCCAATCTCAATTGTCATGTATTAATTTATTGAATTTTACCGTGATTGGCATGTATATAACTTAAACTATTTAAGTTGTAGTTGTTTCTAATTTAGAGCACATTGAACGGGAGTCCATAGTTAGAGTAGGGTTCCTGTTCAACAAGCTTTGGAAAGGGGGATTTTCTTATGTGTGGTATGTGTGCTATTAGGTTGGGTTTGATGAGCTTGGTGGGACTGATGAGTTTAGCACAGAGGAGCTAGAAGAAAGATTGGCTAAAGCTCAAGTAATCTCTTATGAGGGTGAATCATCATTCAATCACGCAAGGTCCAGTGCCAAAACCACAAGAAATGTTCGGCAGAGCACCAGAGCAGACTCCTCAGATTCTGAGTAACATGCATTTCCTCATACTTTTATTTGCCATGCTCTCCTGAGCACTCAGTTTACACTCTAAACTCAGTCTTCGTGACTCTCTTGTGTGTCTCTCTGCCTGTAAGAAGTTATCATGATTCTAGTTAGCATATATGTTTTCTTGAGATCGCCCATTTTTTATAGTATAATAATGTTTTTGAGATGGTCCCCTGATTATGCTAACTTCATTCATCTTTGTTGATAATTTTGTTTTATTAGTTTTGATATCGGTAAATACAGTGCTTTATTGTTTTGTGTTGCTTATGTGCTTAATGTATTATGCACAGTTCATGCTTCCTGTAGTGTCTACCGATAAAGTAAATGTTGGCTGATGATAAATAAGTTTTTATGTCGGAAACATATCGAGGGTGGAATTTGGATATTTTCAAAAGTGAATACGGATTGTTGTTATATTTTTTTCACATCGATGAAATAAATACACACCTCCATGAAAAGCAGAACTTGGCCAAAAATTTCCTCTTGCATTTCTCATTTAAGAGACAGTGAAGCCTAATATTTATCTAATTTCAATTATCTATTTTGTGGGAATGCTTGAAGTAGACAGTTGATGACTGAAGATTGCTCGGAAATAAACTGTTGGAAGACAGTAGAAATATGCGCTAAGATGGTTTGGCTAAATTGCAGACTCACATCGTGGGACGAACAAATTTAAGTTTGTTCGTAAATTACTTATTTAAGTTGTTTGTTAAGTTAAAGAAACAAATTTAATCTTTTAATTAAGTTTTATAATTTAGTGAGTTAAGTACAAGCTTTGTTAAAAAATTGACATTTAGAGTAGTTCCTTTACTGAGACGGGAACACACTTGTTTCAATGTTTATCTTTTGTTAGTTATATTTAATTGTATTTATTAAAAGTATTAGTTTTTTTTTAATATTCGAATTACTTTTTTAAGAAAAATATTGATGCCTATTTTTTGTGAGTAGTACTAAAATAACTTTTAGACTTACAAAGTTATCTAAATCATAAGTGAGTTAATCAAGTTAAATCTAAGTTTAATTTTGATTAAACATAATTATATATATTAGTAAAAGTTGAATTATCAATTTTTATAAAAAAACCCAAACGGTCATTTTGGCCCACCTCTTTCCAGTGACAGTGACATATAATTTTATCGTACACAGAATTCATATTTTATTTTACTCCTATATAAAATAATATTAAATTTTAAAAATGTATTATTTCTTTTATTTTTTATTTAATTTATTTTTATAAGTTACTTAATAAAATAATTATAAATATATTTAAATAATTTACCATATCATATATTTTTTTTTATAAAAAATTACTTGAAACCACTAATATTTTATCTAATTTATCCTACACTACCCTCCACTGTTCTGGAAACCTAATCCCAAAGGATTATTTTTTTTGGGTTATTGTTGATATTGCAGATATTACTTAATTATTTTTTGGATCTTTTAATACTGAGATTTTCATCTTATTGGAAACAAATTTTATGGCTCAAATTCAACATTACACTAATAAATAACATTATTATCCATTAAAACATAAAACTTGGAAAATTGATCAAGATGGGACACTTACTGTGCTCTAGGCGAAAAATACTAATTGAAAGCATGGTGCAGCGCAGAACTATATATTTATTTTCAGAATACAAAAATTGGAGTTCTGATATTTAGTAGATAACATTAATAGGAAAATAAATTGTACAATTTACCTTAAATTTGCTATCTGTTATAATTTATACATAACTATCAGTATCTGTATTAAATTATTTGTTACCCTTATTCTAAAACTAGAATATAAGAATGCAAACCAACTTAATAATCTGTGTTTTCAATTAACCCAGCAATTGGAAAATTTGAATTACGATGATATTATTTTAAATATAGAATAAACTATATATTTAAGAAGGAATATCCACGAGCTAAAAGTCCTTAAAATGAGAAAGTATAAAAGTCAGAAATGAAAATTGTTCGATTATATATGCTGCATGTATACAGAAAGTCTTTCAAGACGTATAAATATATATACTAAAAACCACCACATAAAAATGTCATTTGCCCCAGCCAAAAGACACGTACAAAATAAACTGATTGTAGTAACTTCAAATGCTCCACCACCATCATAGTATCCGTTCTGAAACAACAAACAACATAAAACTCACTCAAACTTAAACTTCACAACAAACTAACAATCCAGACACAACAAAGCCTCTTCAGACGCTTTCTAATCCCCTTCTTCTGCTGCATCCTTTCACAAACTGTAGAACCATTTTTCCATAAAGACAGCTATTCAGTTTCTCATTGTTCGATAAAATGATCCCACGAAGACTTTCATGTAAATAGCCCTGCAATGGAAAACAAAAAGTTATTAAGCATGTATATATATTCAAGAACAATGTGGGAAAATGTTTCATAAACACTCATATGCTCATATATATATATATATATATATATATATAGAAACATCAAATACAGATATAGTAATGTGCATAACAATGTGAAACCAAACCTGAGTGTATTGCAAAGCTCTCTGAACAACGTAATTCCCGTATTGATGCTGAACAACTCGTAGAAAGTCAGGGCTCTGCATTATCTCATGGGCTATCATAGCAGCATCAACAGTTCTCGAAAATTGTAAAAGATTTTCCACTACATTGCTGGCGTACTTGTTTGTAGATAATCTAACATATTTGTAGCGAAGTTCTAATATTAACAATGCATTTACTTCCCATATCTTCCTTTTGATTAAGAACTGCAGCACATAATTTCTGTGAACATAAAATGAAAACAGTTGTCATAAATCAGTCGAATGAAAAAGAAAAGTGTTATGAAGAGATATGGAGATCAAACCCATATTGATCATTGGCTAAGTCCTCAGCATTTAAGATTAGATTGTAGACCAGTTGATAGAAAGCTGGAACATCATCATGCTCGATACATTTTTGAATGATGCAACATCCGTATCTATCTATTGCAATACCATAACAGTTCTTCGCAACAACATCCAAAATAGTCTGAAAGAAAGTTTTCCATTAAGGATTGATGAATTAAAGAAAGCCATTCATTATATGCTGGATTGGTAAAAGATTAAGAATGTGATATTACATTTTTATGTATGGGTGGGAAAAGCCTCAGGCACTGATGAATGACATAACCACCATTGAAACTTTTCATAAGTGCAACAGTGATAAACCTCATAGCCTTTGCAATTAGATTTATGGTGATTAGAATTTCATTATTCTCAAGAATCTGCTGAATGACCCGATTCCTGTAGCAAGAAAATTTAGGTTAATTGGTAGACATTAAATAAATTTAACTACAGAAGTATAAAGGGAAAACAGAAAAGTGTATATATTTGTTATATAGGTACCCTAGATCATGCATGCACACATCTTTCAGCTTTTGTCGATCAACGATAATGAAGAAGATAAAAGTGTTCTTTTGGTCAACGGTCACATTGCTTGATCGAAAAACCTTCAGAATGACGAAGTTTCCATAAGGGTGTTTCATTAACTCGTGCAAATGATCCTTCAGTTCATTCAACATCCGGTAGTTTTCTTGGGGTGTGGCCTCATCGATCTTCCGCTGAAGTCTACGAGATCCTTGTGGATCTTTTGCCATTGAAACCCAGTTTCGGCGAGGAGGTTCAAGAGTATGAAGTGAGAGTGCCCAAAATATTTCTTCGCGGCTTGGTGGGCGAGAAAAACCTCCAATATGAGGATGATGAAAAAGACGATGATATTGGTGCATCTGAACCCTATCATTGGCATACTCAATATTTCCAATATTTCTCGTGCGTTCATGATATTGGTGTGTCTCATAATCATGAGAACCCAAGTTTAGTGTTTCCATGGGACAAGCAAGACTTTGCACCTCAAGAACACTTCTCCCACCGTGTCTCAACCAACCCAACCATGAGTCTTGCGGAATTGTTGTTGACGCAGAAGAGGTTCCCATTCCATTAGTGGGGATTTGATCCTCCATGAAAGGAAAAGGATGGTCTTTGATGATGAGTGCCATTGCAGAGAGAAATAGCTACTGAACTACGAAAAATAAATCCAACTTAATTCTTATAGATTTCTCAAGTCAGTTTGAAATGATATTTGATAATTCAACGTAATATTATGCATATCTTTATCTTGAATATTATTTTTTAAAATATATTATAATTAAAATTATAACAACAAAATATTTTCAAACATTATATCTTATTTTATGACACAATTTTATATAATGGAATAAAGTAATTTTAACTATAATACTTATAATTAACTTTGTATCCTAAATCTCAGACAGAAAATATAAAATTGATTTAAATTTTCCAAAAACAAAATATAATAAAATCCAAACGAATTAAATTTAATTATATATAAACACATAAAGAGAATATTAGAGCATAAAAAAAATCTAAAATTATAATATTTTTATGAGGAATAAATTATACTAGGTACAAAAAAAATGTTTCCTACACTAACATTAATGATCTCTTTAAAAAATAATTAAGTTGATTTTTTTACTATTTTAAAGTTAGTTACTACATTATTATTTTTAATTGAGTCTTTAATTATGTAATTATTTTAAGAATTATAATTACTCTTATATTATATATGTAAGCGGTATAAAACAATTGCGATCCAGATGATATATAATATAAGAGTATGTATTTATCTTTTAACATATATTTCAAATTTTGAGTGATTTAAAAGATGTATAAATATCTTTATACTATTTATATTAATTTCTGTTTTTATTTTTAAAAGATATATTTTAAATTTGAATATGTGATGAAAAAGATATATGTAAATATCGTGATATTAATGTTTATGAATTCTCTTTTTATTTTTTAATGATATATTTTAAATTTGAATATGTAATTGAAAATATATAGGTGTAAATATCATTATATTATCATTTATAATTTTCGTTTTTACTTTTTAATAATATATTTTAAATTTGAATGTGATTAAAAATATATGTCAATATTTCATGAGTATTTATAATTTTTGTTTTCATTTTTTAAGGATATATTTTAAATTTGTATATTGAAAAGATATCTTTATAAGTAGTATTTCTATTTTTTTTTAATCATATATTTTAAATTTGAATATATGATTGAAAAATATGTAAATATCTTCATTTTGTTTTTCAAATGTAATTATTTAGTTACTCTTTTTAAATATGTATATCTATTTAAAAAATAAATAAGATAATCATATCTTAAAAAATATAAATATTTTTAATTATTTCATATAACAATTTATAATTGTACATGTTTGAGAAAAATTCCATATATAAAATTTAAAAGAGAAAAATAAAAATATATAAACTAAAATTAATTTATTAACCTTATTTTGATAAGGTCAATAATATTGTTTTCTAGTTAGTAGCTTCTCTATGCATATGGTTGTTATCTTATCATGATAAAACGAGAACTCACCAACATAATCCTTGCAGAGATAACCAAAGGTGTTTGACAAGAAATTACTGGTGCAATTTCTTGATTCTGCAATTACTGGTGAAATTACAGAGCTTCTCTAAAAACAGCACACAAGCTGGTAATGGCTTGCTACTTTTATATGGTTCACCAATCCAGCCAACGTATGATATATGCTTTCAATTTTAGGATGTGACAAACAGCCAACAAGAAACTCATGTACAACTCCATCTACCACAATCCAACTACTTCCTGGTTGCTTCTTGATCCCCTTTTCTTTCATTTCTAGCCGCAGCTCCGAGACATCACTCCATTGATTATCAGATGCAAGTGCATTAGCCAACATAACATACCCTGCAGAACTATCTGGGTCTACTTCGACAAGCCTCCTGGCAACCTCTTGAGCCAACTCAACTCTAGAATGGAGCAAGCAGCCTCCAAGCAAAGCACCCCAGACAAAATTGTTAGGTTTGAAAGGCATGGTAATCACAACCTTTATAGCTTCTTCTATACATCCTACTCTTGCAAGGAGATCAACATAACAAGCACAATGCTCCAATGTAAGAGTAGGGGAAAGGGTCAGTTCTGTGAATATCTGGCGTCCACTTGCCAACAATCCAGAGTGGCTGCATGCACTTAAAGCACCAAGAAACGTTCCAGCATTGGGTTGTAAGCCAAATTCTGGCATTCTGTAGAAGAGTCTCAATGCATCCTCTCCTTCACCATATACTGCAAGACCCATGACCATCGCATTGAATAAGACCACATCTTTGCTGACTGTATGCTCAAAAACTTCCTTTGCCTTATTCATATTGCCACATTTTGAGTACATGTCAATTAAAGATGTGGCGAGAATTTGATTTAACCCAATGGTGCCTTTATGTCCTAGAGATATTAGGTACTCGTGAACCCAACTTCCAAAACTCAAATCACCAATTTGAGCACAGGCTGAAAGTACACTAACCATTGTAATATGGTTAGGTGTAGTGGTGAGTTTTTCTATCATCATCCGGAAAAGACTTAAACCCTCCACAGGACAACCATTTTTAACATACACATTTATCATAGCATTCCAAGGAACCACGCTTCTTTTTCCTGCTGCAGAAATTCGGTCAAACCCTTCTCTACTTTTCCCAATCTTCCCCCATTTACCGAACAAATAAATTAGCACTGTGTTAACTGAATCACAGCAAGTTTCTCTAGTACTCTCTCCATCACCAATCAATTCTGAAAGAATGTTAATCCACTTCTCAATTTTTGGCATCTCAAGGCTAGAACAGGCTGATAAAACACTGACCATAGTATCACTTTGGGGAAGCAAGTTCTGTCTAATCATCACATGGAAAAGCTGCAAAACCTCCTCACTCCGACCAGACTGAGCAAAACCAGCGATCAAGCTAGTCCAACAGCAGACTACCCTTTTGTCAGGAATTTCATCAAACAACTTTCGGGCTGATACCAAATGGTTACAGCCTTTGGCATACACAGAAACCAAGCCATTGCAAACAAAAGAGTCAGAGAGGAAACCCGTCTTCTGAATGTGGGCATGAATCTGTTCCACGGAACGGGCATCTTTGGACCGAAAGCAGCCCTTAAGGAGAAAAGAGAAGGTTAAGTCGTTGGGCGAAAGTGGACGCCGTTTCAAATCGTTGAACACGGAAACAGCGTGAAAAAAGTGGCCCTCTTGGGCGAGGACTCTGATCATGGCATTGAAAGGGAAGATGTTTGGATTTTGGAGATGGCTAAAGACGCGAAGAGCAATGCGTGATGGGTAGTGCCCAATGAGGCGCGTGGCAACGAGGTTGTCCTGGTGTGCACCAATTTGAAAAATGCGTGCGTGGATTTGGAGAAGGTAAGAATACGGAAGGTTGCCTTGTAGGACGGTGGCGAAGTTGGCGGGTTCAGCTATGGAACACGAAGAGGGAGAGTGAAAAAGTGCAACGACGGGTTTGAACTTTTGGATGGTGGGAACGACAAATTCATGAGTCAGGGAGAACATGTTTGTTTGATTCAGTTTTCATTTGAATTACTTTGAAACTGTTACATGTTTGATGTCAACGAATAATGCAGTGCATGTTTTGATTAGAATAATTATTCTCTCGTGCACGTAGTCACCACACCTTAATAAGAACAGGGCGTGCATAAAAAGTAGCACACAGAATGTCATCAACTCAAATTGGATAACATGAATTGACTATGAACATTGTTCTCTGGCATTCAATTAAGATTCTACATCTTAATAAGACTTGTATCAGAAGTTACGTACTATACCAGACTTTGTTCTGCGAAGGAAGAAGGACAAAAACTGCTACATTTTTTAGCTGCAAAAGGCTAGCACTAATGCTTGATATATCACAGAAATTTTGGACAATATAATGGTGGTAAAGTTAAAAGATTGAGATAAGACGGGTACAAAGAGAAAGATAAATGAAAAATAACTTTTTGAGAATGTGTATTCTTCATAAACGCTTACTTTTATGAAGATCAAACTGAAGAAACTTCTTTATAAAGATTTTTTAAGAAAAATAAAATAGATTTATATATAAGTTAAAAATAACTTGTGTATAAATTAATTTGTAAAAAATTTATTAAATAATTTCTCTAAATATTTATTTTCTACTCATACAAATTGTAAAATGTTATTTTATTTTCTCATAAAATTCTATGGAAAGATTTATTCAGAAAAACTTTAAAGATCCAGAAGCGCCTTATGACTTTTGATAAAATATGTAACAATTGACGGGCACATATTCACTCTTTTAGACGTGTTTTCAAACACAGAAAGTAGCCGCGGCTATTTTGATCTTCTTGACAATGAATTTATTTTCTTACTAGAATAATAACAATTGTAGATATTTGAACAATTTTTAACATCTGGTCTCCACAATGTCTTCATTAACCGGATAAAGACTCAAATATGAGACAAGTAGAAATACAATCTAGATCACCTAAATAATAAATTGGTACTACATAGTTCGTCACAACATTTCCATATTCTATAAGATGTAATCACCCAGCCAAAAAAAATGTCAACCATCTTCGATCCTACGGTTGGTCTGACAATATAAGAGACTGAGAATTGTTAAGGGCCAGGAATGCAACATTCTGCCGTAAGCATAGATAATAACTCCTTAACAGAAGTAATCAGTACTTGAGTCTGTATCATAATCTCCTCGTGTGTTGAAAGCAAAATTCGTGTTGGAAACACACGTCTATATACAGATTGAACCACTGAATTTCTAACCACATTCAAGCAATTGGTTGACTGCCAGAGGCATCATTGTCAGCATCATTTGTCAAGGAGAGCAAATCCATCAACTCCATTCTACACTCGAGGCCTCTAAGATAGTGTCCCAGCAACATGCACCTTTAGGAGGTGTCAGTAGAATGTTAGATTCATTTCAGAACATCATCAAGAAACACTGCACTCATATTTAACTGTGAGCATTCCAAATCATTTTCCAAGTATCAAATATTATTTAACCCCTTTATACCAAGTCTTAATCCTAATTACTCGTTCTTGCATAATAAATAAATAAACATAAATAAAATACATATATGGAAATGAATGAATATGATTAAAAGCGGGGAGGAACTGACCAAAAGAGCAGGCGGGCAAGATAATCCCGAGTTAATGAAATAACAGGCTGAAAATGAAGAGCAGAGTTCTCAACAACCTCAGCACAATCCTCACTCTCAACATTTGTTGTCCCAAGTGTTGTATTTTCTGACATGGTGGAAGGTTTAGAATGCATCTTAGGAGAAAGGGTAGCAAGGAGACCATGGACAACAGAGAGGATGGTGTCCTTAAGCTCAGGGGATGAAAATTCTGAAAGCTGAGCTACCTGCTCATTATCCACAGACCCAACTAAGTTAATAACAAATTAAAAATAAACTGAAAATATACTTAAATGAACTGCGCAAGCACAATTTAATAATTTCATAATTATAAGGAACACAAGTGAACGTGCTTCTTCAAATGTTTGAATGAATACTTGAATTCATCACATTATCGAACTTATGGCGTAGCAATGGAAAAGAATACAAGTATTGAGACCTAAGACGAATAAAGTTTATTAGCATCTTACAGTACACAATTAGAATCGTATAAGTCAATAAATTCAGCTAACTATTGATTCATATCATAAGATAAATCTCAAAGAACTTTCCATCTTAAGATACAAAAATGAATCTAAGCAATTTCGAATCATTGATATGAATCACACGATTCATTTTCTTTTTTCTCTCACCAATTCTTTCTCATCAAATGAAAAGTCATATAAGCTAAAATTATTCAATGAAAAGGAATTGAAGGAGAATTTTTAGACAAAATATTTTATTATTATTCCACTGCATGTGTTCCATTTGGCGTTTTCATTGCTTTGTTTCCATTCTTCTTAAAGAAGGCTTCACAAACTCAAATATACTAATAACTTCTTTATATCTATTTCTAGTTTAAAATTATTATATCGAACATTATATATCATCTACATACTGTATTTAAGTAATTTTTCATGATCTATCTCTAAACGTAACGATTTGATAAAAATTATGATCAAAAGTTAGTTTCACAATTCTACAATTTGAATATCAATTTGACAAAGTTAAGAACAACAAAAAACCTTCTCACCACTTAGGAATGGTTAATGGATAAAAAGATTCCAAATATCACATAATTGATAGAATTTTAAAATAAGCAAGAAAAACAACTTAATATGAAAATGAAAAAAATCATATCAGAAAGAATCCTGCTCATGGTTAAGAGAATGAGTCACAGATGTAACAGAGCAAAAGGCACTTTTCACAAAAAAATTCAGATGTTTTTCGTCTTCATAGTCATCTCATACATAGGACATAGATAAAACAATATAAAAATGAAGACAAAATTACCTCTCTCGTTATGTTTTCAAGTAATATAAACGACAATTCAAGGCCACAAATAATTGAACTGGGCTAGCACAAAGCATTTACAGGGGGAATGGGTCCAAATGCAAAGAAAACTTGAAAATTCCTGAAAAGAGGAAAAACCTGTTCAGGTTGAAGTGATCTCAAGTAATCCAATAAATCATTCTTTTCCTCTCCAACAAACTGTTGCATTTGAAGAGCAGCACTTTTCCTCTTTACTTCATGTAGCTCCTGTAGAAGTGTCACACAAAATGGAAAGTAATCCAAATGAGAAAAACAAGCTAATTGGATTGCTGACCTATTTGAAAATAATTAAGGATCTTGAACGCAAATCAATCATTATCAAGAACACAAAAAAGAGAACATGAATCAAAGGATGATGAGCATAACATAGCATCAATCAAGAATTAACAATGCAAAATACTTTTCACAGGCCATTCAAGGCATCATGAATCACAAGTTTAAACCCTTTCAAATACCAAGAAACAATCCCTAATTTTACAAAATACCTTTTTCATGGAAGACAAACGAGATTGCAAATTGAAAATATATTGTTGAGCTTCTGCAGATATTTCACCAAGGTCTTGAATGTCAACATCCTCATGAAGCCTTTCAACTTTGGAAGACAAATTTTTATTTCTACCAAAGTCAATTACATTTACACTGTCATGCATCAACCCTTGTAAATCGACTTTGGCACTTTCTGCCTTCGGCTTCTCTATATCAAACATATCAAGGTTTTTCTCAAGACATAGCCTATATTCAACATTGCGTAGTGTATACCTGCAATACAAGAAGAAAGCTTTTCACGTTCCCTCTAAGTATGCATTACTAGTTCATGCACAAACACTGAATACAATAACATTCTTTAGAAGTTTTAAATAATATGGTACACCTATCAGTGTAGATTAATTTAAGTTGTGTAGAAATATCCCCCTTCCCCCTTTTCTTTTCCAAACGGCTAATCCATTTATGTGCACAAGTTGTTGAATCAGAGACACTAGGTTTCAAGAGAGTAAAATTCAAAAGAGATTTTACGGCAAACAATAATAGTAAAACAAAAATAATAGCCCCACGAAATATATAACTGAACATACCCAGTCATCATTGAAGAAATCAGCAACTTGGAGAGGGGTTCCCACAGAGCCTCAATGACAACGTTAAATTGATCAGATGGAAGCAAGCCCAGCATTCCAGATATAGTCCTTTTCATGGCATCCGCGGTTGTTGGTGGAACATCTTTCTGGATATGGCTAACATCCAGAGGTTCTATCTCTTGTATCAACTCAGTGAGCACTGATTTCTACAAGCACAACACTCAATAGTCAAATTTCACGGACAAACATACCGAAGCAATTTATAGTGTACATCAAATGCTAAAACACTACATTTAAATATCTCGGATGAAATGCCACACTGTAAAAATGTTACACTCGATTAAAGAAAGGTATGACTCCTTTTCCACTCTACCTGCTTTTCACAGTACCCTATTAAAGGGCTTTTGTAAAAGAAGTCACGCCTGGAAATTAAGAAGCGTAGTATATAAAAACCGAACTATGTAATCAAATTCCCACTCCAATAGAGGGGGAAAATTAAACAGCCACATCAAGTAAAGCTATGCTAACAATAATAATTTATGGAAAAAAAAAACGAAGAGGAATGGAAAACACCTTGGGGTTGGAGGTGAAATCGTCGAAAGAGTGGGAAGAGGAAGCAAAAACGATAAAGGGGGAACGAGGTTTTGTACGAGAGAAGGATAGAGAAATAGAGGGGCGAAAAGTTGACAGAGAAGGGTGGCGACGGAGAAGAGGAAGAGAAGAAGAGGAGAGGATGGAGGAAAGGGTTGCCATGAGGAAGACAACCACCAACACCCACTCTTCCTTCCCTTCTCTCTATGTGACGTTGTCTTGCAGCCACAATAAACAACATAATAAAGAGTAAATGTATGTGGTGATAAAAATAAGGGCAAACACACAGGTCAAAATAAAACAGGAATCAGGATCGATGCCTCCTCCACCAATTGAAAAACTTGTGTAATTGTCTTTATCCCTACTCACTCTACGTTGGAGTGTCCATTAATCTCATAACAAGAATAGAAAAGTATATAAATTCAGACTGAAACTATTTCACCTTGAATGGATGAAAAAATGGAAACAGGTTAAACAAAAATAAAATAAAATTAGTGTATTAGATTTTAAATTTGATTAAATTTAAGATGTAGATGTATATAAATTATATTTATTTATAAAAATCTATCTAATTGGAGACTTTTCTTTTGTAACGATATTTTGACTTGTATTTTATACCAAACAACCAAAAAATTACGATAAAAAATATTTATAAATATATAATTTAGATTTAATTATATTTTTAACCCTTAAATTTATTTTTTTATTTTCAAATTAAAATATAGTTTAATCCCTTATATTTATTAAAGTGTGATTTTTTAAAAACCATTTCAGTTAAAGAAATAAAAAAAATATTTTAATCCCTCAAATTTAATATTTAAGATTTTTTTCAATTTCAAAGTGTTAAAATAATTATTTTTTAATTTGGCATATCAAACGTAGAATTATCCTTAATTATAATTAAAATTTATAATAAATATTTCTTATAAATATATTATACTTTATATTTAAGATAAACAATTTCTATTTAAATATTGTTGTTTTTAATTATTTTTCAATTATTGTTATTAATATTTAAAAAAATATTTTGATTTAAGTGACATTTCACTTTAAACAATGTTAAAAATAGAATCAAACTTTAGAATTCATGTTATAAATTTGTTAAGTAACATTTAATTAAATAGGTGTTGAGTAAAGAAACAAATTAGTTAAATTTCAAGAATTATTACATAATATAAATATAAAATAAACACAACCTAAATTTATGAAATCAAAAAATAAAACACAAAATAATGAAATGATTTATCATGAAACTTATATCAAATAATTTATAAACAAATATAATTTACTAAATTTTAATTATACGAAGAAGTGATAATATCATAAGAAGAAAAAAAAGGATTATGAATATTTAAAAGGTGAGAACAAACCGAGAAAACACTTAATAGAATGAACCTGAGATAAAGAGACCCAAAAAATATAAATCAGATTAAGTGAAATTTTAAATTATTTTTTTTAGTATAATTTTACTTCTTCTATTTTAATTACTGTTTAAAAATTATAAGAATTCAAATTTTATTTTTTTTATCCAAGTAATTAATTTATTCTAAAAAAAATCCATCAAATGAATAACTTATCATTCGATTGCCTCGTTCAAGCACTACATTTAAAACTAGATTAACTGTTTGACCAGTCAATAATTCATGGAGAAAGACAAATATACTTTATCCTTCAATTTGGTTTACTAATATAGAATTAAATTCTAATTGGACTAATATTAACATCAAAGTTATCTATGTTTTGTTTTTCTTTTTCTTTTTTCTTCCCTTTTAGAATTTCGTGTGAAATCTCCATGGAATAGAATGGTACACCAATTTCAGATCAATCTTTATTAGCGAAGATTTCTACTGTAAACTTGGTTCTTTGGTTTTACTTTAAACTTTCTTTTGTTATTTTGTTTTCCTTTTGTTTTATCAGCGAAGGTGCAACTTCAACATGAAGTCCTACGTTAGATACATCTAAGATTTCAACTTCAAAGCCCTCACTTATCTGCTTGTAAACACAATTTTCCAATTTAAAAACTTACAAAAAGAGGTTCAATAAAATAACTGTTTTATCAAGAATTATTCATATATAGTACAACCGAAATAGGAACATTAAACAGTGGTTCGGTACCACGCAAAGTACACATTTTTAGCTGAAGTTATGCATCAATGAACCTAATAATAGCATTGCAAACATGATATGGTAGTGTCATGTGATGGTTCAAGTTAGCAGTTTGAATACTAGAAACTACAAACCCTAAACCCTAAAAACTATTACAAATGTTAAATTTTACGAAGTGACTATCGAAAACATGCTTTAGGTGGATTGTCCACTAAAAATGTGAACATCAAGCACTAAATCTTCTTTGTTTATTAACTCAAAGACGCAAACATGTCCAGGTTGCAACTTACATTCCTTCGCAAATTGGCTCCACCCATTGGACAGCTTTGTCAGAACTACACCCATCAAATTTACTCGCCACAATTTATTTCCAAACTGTAACGTCAGAACCTGCTTCATATGGAAGTACTTTTTCACAAACGCCACTGGTACACGCTGCATCAAAATATATTTTCATCACCTCAAGATTATATATATATATACAGGTCTAACTCTAAATAAAAAATAATTATAGCCTATTACGTTAGGTGACTAATAATGACTTAATTTGCTTCACAACTAAACCTTACCGGTCTGCAATCCCCCTTACTATTTGTCTTTATATTGACTTTGAAAAAGGGATTTTTGGAGGTGAAACTTCTAGCTTCTCGCATAGCTCCATTTGTGAATGACATAACAACAAAACCACATGAGTTTAGGATGAACTCTATATAATATTGAAATATCGTGCATGCTACTTAATTCAACTTTAGTTTTTCCTAAGAAATAATATGATATTAATTACCAATTGGTCACAAAAGCATTCTTGTATAACATTTACCTTCAACAACACTTCTTGTAATAGCTTTTTGTAATTAATCTTTCTTGCTATATGTTAAAAATGGAAATGCAGTTGAAGGTGTTATAAAAACATCTACATTTATTCTTTACCTTTGATGGGAATATCAGTGATACATTTGAAATCTGGGATATTCATAGGGTCACCATCTCCTTTAACTGATTCAAAAGAAGAAAATACAACCATTATTTTGCACAGATAGTATAATGTAATTTGAAAAGACCAACTAAGATTACCTTGTGAACTTGAACAATTATCTTCTGAAATCCGAATGATTGATACTTTAAAACATAGGCTTTGGCTCTCGGTTAGCTCAAAAATACAAACATCCCCAGTATTTAAACGATTATTTGATGCAAAATTGTTCCATCCTGTGCAAAATTTGCCATCCTTTAATTTTACAGGCCAAGTTCTCCCATCCAAGACCTGGAGGAGTGTATCATATTTTCCCTCTTCCTTGAAATACTTTTTTACAAATGTTGATGGAATTACCTGAATTTATTCTCATAAGAGTTAGAAAATCTACACACTAATATATTATTGCTGCCTCAAACACAACATACAAAACTATTTTGATGGCTAAAAATGAAGCTTGTCAGCAGCTCACCAGCAAATATCCTTTCACGTAGGAATTCTTCATGACAACCGTAAAAGAGGGAGTTTTAGATTTGGTGGCACCACGGCTGTTCTCTGAAACATTGAACATGATATGTCAAGAAAAATTGACTTAAAATGGTCAAAAGATCCATGGACAGAAAAGGATGATTATGAAATTAATAACGTTTAATCTATGTTTCTTTATTAACTCACCGAAACTAGTACCTTGAGACTGATCAACTTTAACTTGGACATGCTGAGGCAAATTGGAGTTTTGTCCAACAACTTCACTTGAGCGTGTCCTATGTTTTTTAGGAGGTCTGGGACTTGATGTTTTTGGAGTTTCCTCGAACAAAACTTTAGCAGAGTGGTTTTGAGTACTTTTGGAGGGATAATTTATTTCAACGGCACTTCCATCGAATATGTGTACCTCCAATTTACTTGTTTGTTGGTATTTGAATATTACAAGATGACCGTGATCAAGCGAGTAATAAGTAACAAATTCCTTCCAACCCTTTTCAAACCAAACATCACCAGCACGATCTTTAGTCCAACAAATTTCCCATTCAATGCCATCTGGAAGCTTGAGAAAAACTGGGTTTGACAAATTAGCACCATGTTTCTGAGTGAACTTTTTTGGAATCATCTGCAAAACTTTCTGTTAGAACACATGAAGAAATTCACATGAATTTAATTCTGTTGGTTCCATGGATTCGACTTAAATTATTCAGCAAATAAGTGAAAGGTTTTTTTATATTTGAGAAAGAGGGGTCCACTTAAGAAACTTAAACCTGACTCTTCCCTCTAATTGTCTTCTGTTTGTTTTGTATTTCCATTAGAAGTTAAGAAATATGAATCATATTAATCTTACACAAGTTTCATCATACTTTTTCTAATATGACAGAAGTTTAAACGTAAATGAAAATGAGCATAGAGAAAGATGAGGTGAAGGAAAGAATGCTCACAAGTTTTCCTTGTTGAAGAGTAGCATCCAGAATAATCTTGAAGAAGTGGATGTCAGAGATAAGAGGGTGACTTTCTGAGCAATTGGAAATCATGGCTGTCGTGACTTGGATTACAGGTTCTCGTGGTGCAACTCGAGCTAGCTAGCACTGGTGGATATCAGAAACAAAGAATCAGACGCTGAGAAAACACAGAAATCACAGAGCAGGCAAGCATGAGAGAGTGAAAATGGTAGATAAACCTCTCCATAGAGAAGTTACAAAGCATAAAAAAGAAAACAGAAAATGCAAATAGATTCAACTGAGGAAGGTTTACTTGGATTGGATTCTGTTTTCCGTTTTCACATCTTATAAAATTGTCATTTTGCTTTGAATCTGTTTTTTGTTTTCGAACTATGCTGTGTTTTGAAGTATTCGCACAAACCTTAGGAAAAAATGCATGAAAAACAAAACAAAATACAAATAAACATTCTAAGAATGAGAAATGTACCTCAGAGCAGTGGCCTGATCTCACAGTATATGCTCCTTCTTTTCTCACCAGTCTGCAAGTGTTCACCGGTGGATTAGGAGACACAGATTGGTAAGCTATTTTAATAACAGAGAAATAAAAAATATGTTTTCACATTCCCGGGAATGTAAAAGATATCATGAAACACACTTCTTATGGTTTTTTCAACTTGCATTATTGATGTTGGGTGAATTTCTGAATTCGGTGTCAGAGGAAGGAAGGTCCAAATTCTCATTAATTCCTCAGTCAAACAAAAAAATATATATGAACACAATCGCATGGCTCTCCTTCTATAACAGAATTTTAACAATGAAACATAACATAATACCATAAATGATATGAAAAAGGAAAATACTGTAAGGGAAATGGATAGAGGTATTACAGAGTAAAACTGGACCCGTGGAAAGGAATTGCACCCAACAATCTGCATATGATAGGTTGAGCTCATATGGAGAAAAGTGCCACTTAAAAGGTTAGTCCAAAATGTGTTAATAAAGACAGACACCCTACAAGGAACAAGATTGGTGGGGAAACCATAATGTTTTGAAACAATAGTAACAAATTAATGCCTTTTTGAGAATCTCTCAACCACAACCAAAATGACACCGAAACCAAGATTAAGAAAACAAACAACCTTATTCCCTGATTGTAAAGAAAGTATTTAATTTTTCAAAGAAGAAAAAAATGAAAATCAATTTAATCCCAGTTAACAAATTTAAATTTTAAATTTAATATTAATTAAACAACTGAAATATTTTCCTCTACTAATTATATGGTGACATGTCTTGAGGTTAATTAAATTTAAGGTGGTAGTGAGGTTGGTAGCAGGAGGTGAGTAGTGTGTGAGCTGTTTAGGCTTTGCAGTGCCTGTGCAGTGCACTGAGCTTAGCAGCTTTTATTTTGTTATTATCTGTGCAGTGCCCACACTTGGTAACAGAAGGAAATAAGGAAAAAATAGTTGGAATATGAGGGGCTTCTTGATTTGTGCCATGGACTAGGTGAATAACTTTGCAGGAACTAACAAGAAAATCTTGATCTGATACTGAGGAGGTACAAGTGTGCGTAGCAGTTGTAGATGATGAACAGAGAACCCTGAATGGGTGGCTCACTGTCACTGAGAACAGTGTCAAGTGTCATCTTTCTATCATAGTCAATGTTAGCAGGTAGGTTGCAAGGACAAAACTAACTACTTTCAGTAAGACCAGCAAGAATGCACCAACCAAACTCACTTCATGCCCGAGAAGTCGATTTCATTGAGGAAAAATCAAAAGAAAAAAAAATTGAAAAAAATTGAATTAAGAGACATAGTTAGAAAGAAAAAAAAAATTATAATCACTTGTGATTTTCTATGCAAATTTGCCTAAACAAATAAGTTTATATAGAATAATTTATTTGTAAATTATGAGCTCGAAAGTAAATATAATGTACATTTGGCTACAAACAAATGTCAAGATTAAGATATGAAAAAGTAGAGCAAGATTTTGTTTGGTTCTAGAATTTGTATTCTTACGATTTTGTTCTTAAATGTGTCTCTTGAATAAAAATTATATATAAAATATTTTTGATTTTGTTTATTAAGTAATATGGGTCATAAATGTATCAGAATTTAAAAAAAATAGAGAATATATGAAAAAAATAAATAAAATATTTACATTTATGAATTTAAGTTAATTTAGGAACGAGGATGGTTGAAAATTAAATTGATTGAGGAGAGAAATACACTTTTACCTATAAATATATATATATATATATATATATATATATATATAATCAAAATATAATTTTATTGTATTTTCTTTCTCAAAATTTTAGATATATTCACTTTTAAAAAATTTATTTATATATTATTAGTGAAAATACATTATATCATTAATTTCTTTTAAAATATTTTTAATATTTTATTTTATTTTCACTTTTATTTTTTAAAAAATAAACCTTCTTTTTACTAATTATTTATTATATTTTTCTCTAATAGTATTTCATTGTTTTTTTCATTCATTCATATATATATATATATAAAATAAATACGTAAATTACAATGAAAAGTGATATATTTTTTATTATTAATTATGGAACTTCACTCGTTTTTTTATATAGCAATTGCTTTCCACTGTCTCAGCGGAGGGTTAATATTTATGATTATAGGAAAAAAAATTAGTAAATACTCAAGATAATACATAAAATTATAAATATATCTAATCTCAATATATTAAACTTTAAATAAATTATAGTAAAATTTAATTTTGTGTGTATATTTTATTTTTTTAACTCCCCTTTTCCTCTTTAGTCAAACATGTGTATGTGTAATTTAGAATTTCTCAAGTAAAATTGTTATGCATGAATCTTATGATCTTGTAAAAATATGTTTCAGAGTCTTAAAGTAAAAGGTTAAGAGTAGTTTAAATATATTTTTTTTAATTAATTTACAAATACGTTTTTTAAAGAAAAAAAAAACGAGACAGATAAAAACTTCAACAAACAATATCTCAAATGTTCTATTATAACGGACATAAGACGAGATTCTCGTAACCTTGATGTAACAACATCTATTAAATATTTTATTGATCAATAAAATACTCATTATTTCCTATTCACAAAATATACAAACTATTAAAATCATTAAATATTACTATATTAGTAAAAATATAGACATATTATGTATTTATATTTTTTATATTAAGTTTTTTAAATATTTTTATTTTAATTATGTTTTTTAAATGTATCTTACTTTTTTTTTATCTATTCATTATAGACGTAATATACTTTTCTTTACTCCTTTATATATTTGATAAAAAAATTTATATTATAAAAAATTATACAAAAAAAACCATTAAAAAGGAAACCTATAATATACATAAAATATAAATAATGCATTTTAACGCGAAGTGAAACGTATACTTTATATAACATTGGAATAGTTCGTCACAAAATCATTCTTAAGAAAAAAAAACAACTATTAAAGAAAAAACACTTTGCATTAATATTCAAAATTAATGTATTATCATAGTAAATTTAAAATTAACTACTATATGTAAAGCCAAGTATGCAAATATGATGTTAATATAACTTCCTTTTCTAACATTGTTTGTTACTTAAAGAAATAAACCATTAGTTGTTTATTCATAATATAAGTTAATTACTCAAAATATACTGATAAACTATTTGTTGATTGATATCTTACATACAATTTTATTTTATTTTTTTCTAAAAATGAAAAATGAACTTCTTTATCAATAAACAAAGTTAAATGTTTGCAAAGACATCACTTGGAAAATAGTAAGTGATGCTATATAAATGGATAAATATACAACAGATTTATTATCCGTAAAAATAAAGATATAGTGACTAATTTTCTGTGTAATTTAAATATTATTTTAAAACATAATTATTTTTAATTCAAAATATCCATGTTGATAATCCTTTTTTCTACCTCTTCCCGTCCCATCTACTCTGCAGTTTCTCACTATATATTACTAAATTAATTTGTGTAATATGCTGATAATATCATTTAACAGAGAAAATAAACATTAATAAGACAAAAAAAAAAAAAAAAATCTACAATCTGTTCATTTTCATTTGAAATGCAACTTATTTATGAGCCAACAACAATTTCAAGGTCTATTTGTTTTGCAAACATGTCAAATAACTACAAAAATACCGAATTTTTACACGATTCTTATGCAAATCTCTGAAAACAAGAATCAAAGTGGAAACAACGGTAAAACCGTTGTAACTATGAGTAAAAACCATTAAATGAAAACAAAATGTATTTTCATAAACCAAACTAACCCTTATCATGTTTCAAGCTTTTATTAACTTTTCCTAGGGCATAAAACTGAATGAGAAGCCCCCAATCCTTGTCACTTTCTTTTCAACCCTATTATTAGGCAAAATTCCACGCTCTGCATATTCTTAATGATAGAGACTGAACCCAACTTTTGCACTTTCACAAAATTTCAGATTGCAATAGTAGAAGAATATGAATGCAAAACTGCTACTAGCATTTCTCAAACTGAATTAATTTACCACCCCAGAAAGAAAAAAAAAATTAGCAAAATGAAAACCTTCTATTTTCTTATAATAATTGATATTCATTTCACATCGAAATAATCCCCGTTAGCCTAACTAACCAAGGCAAGAAACAATTGTAGCGTATTATAGCTGGAGTGCAACAGCAGCATTTCACCTCACAAAGAGACTGGTACAAATTTATAAACCTAAAAAAGCATAAAAAATTCCATGTACGAGAACTAAAATGGGTGTCTTACATATAATGATTATAGAGAAGGAACTTACAGAAAGGGAGTGATGAATGATGTCTGAATTGGAAAAGGGATTAGCAAAGAGTGAAAATAGAGTGAGTGAGAGGTTCTTGGGTTTTTTCGACGCAGCTGAGTCTGTTGCGTTGTGGACAAAACGAGGAACGAAGAAAAAAAGTTTTTGATATCATCTCCTATTTCTCAATCAAAATTTTATCATCTTGTTCTCAACAAATCATGAGTAATTATGATTGTTTTGAACGTGGAGGAGAAAAACTTTACCTTCCCACGCTGGGCATCAAGTTCTGAAATAAATTTACCTTCCCATGCTGGGCATCAAGTTCTGAAATAAAAGATTCCTTCCGTATCAAATTTTCCTTTTTTGTTTTTTGTTTTTTGTTGGGTTTTATGGTGGGACCGCCCAATAATATATTATTGTTAGTACCATTTACAGTCCATTAGTTATCAACAAATTTATTTCTTCTAAATAAGTTTATCTTAATTTATTTTAGTCATACAGATGAACTGGAGCCTAACCAGAACTAATTTCTATACACATTCAAAAATTATATTATTTAAATTTAAAATAGTTTACACATAATAATTTTTGACAAAAATGAAATAGGACCAATTTTCAAAAAAAAGAAAAAAAGAGATTTTTTATAAAATAATTACTTAATAACATTTTTTACATATTCATGTCAATTTTTTAAAAACAGCGGAAACATAAGAAAAAACACAGAAAAGTGTTTTTTGGAAATAAATATATTGTTGTTGTTAAAAAAAAATGGTTGCTTTGAAGGAGAGAAAGTTATTGACAAAAATACTGTATTTGTATTATAAGATTAAAAATATATATATATATATATATATATATATATATATATATATATTATCTACATTATAAAAATATATAAACATCTGTTTATATAATACTAACAAAGTTATTGACAATTTGTTGTTTAAATTAAATAATATAATAGTATAAGGTATTCATTAGGTAATATGACAAATCAACGAGACAAAAACAAGTTACATTATATTTTATCTTATCCAATCTCAGTTTGATGACGAGTTTTATACATCAAATTCGATAATAATAATAATAATATATTTATTATATTTTATTATTTTATTTAATAAATGTGTACTTTTAAATATTTAAGTATTAATTAATATGTTTATTTGCTCTCACTCTCTCTCTTCTATATATATACGTACTTTGAAATTATAAAAAATATTTTAAAGAATTATAATCTAATTGATGAAATTCAGTCTAATAGAAATTGAGTTGAAATAAAAAAAGTTGTAAAATTAAACACTAATTTAATATTTTTTAATTAGATTGGGTAGCGTATTTTGTTGAAACTTACCCAATCTAAATCATATTTACTTTATACAAATGAATCTAAACTTATTTTTTTATATATTTTCTTAGTTAGATCGAATTTTATTTTTATTATTTATAATTTTTCTTTAAAAAAATGTTTACATGTGGCCAATAATTTAGATATTTAATAGTCATTTAAGTTCGGTTTTAGGGAAAAAATATAAGAGATGAAAAAAAGAAAGAAAGAGAAGATTCATAGAATAATTGTAATTTTTAAAGTTAATCATAAAAAGTTATTTTAAAAATAGATGAGAAAGATTATTTTAAAAAACATATATCTTTTATCACACATTCTTTATACAGTTTATTTGTGTAATTTTCTATAGTAGTCAGTTTCCATTATACATTTTTTTCTTAAAATGAAACAACCTACAATCTGTACAATTGTAGGAGTCAACGTATTAGATTAATTTATAAAATTAGAACTTTTTATATATTTAAATTTAGGAAATACAACGTCAATACTATTAACATATTTTTTGTCAATAGTGGGTCATTTCCCAAAAAAAGGCCCATTAGTCTAAACCCAGGAAGGTCCAAAAGACGCCGTACTTATGTCCTACAGTGTTTTTATTTCAACGGTGGCCCATATTTGGAGGAGTAAGAAGTATAAACGAAGCACCGCTTTTTTCTCACTTTGGCGCTGAGATTGAGAAAAGGGAACTCTCAAGAAACTCAACTCTCTCTCTTCCCTCACCCTCCCTTCGCATCCAATCCCCATTTCAGATCGACCCTCCTTCTTCCTCGCACTCCTTTTTCCATTCGTTGCGGAGACTGCTCTCTCACTCACGCCACCAACGTAAGTTCCTCTTCCACGCCACTTCCTTCTCATCTCGTATTAACCGTCAGCTCCTCCAACTTCGTCTGCTTTTACCTCTTTGAACTTTCCGTCTCCTATTTGATTTTTTCTATGAACTTGTAGTAGCTTAAGTGAATATCTTTGTTTATTTTGACGGAGAGGGCTTTGTTTCTTTCGTTCTGAAGGAGCTAAATGCTTTGTGACATTGTTCCGCTGTTATCTGAATGATTTCGGACTACTCTCCCCTTTTTGTTTATCTGTTTGTTTAGTTTGAGGCCAAGGTTTTGTTAAATTCGATAGATTGGCTAATTGGTTCATAGTGCTGCATGAATGATTATTTTGGTTTTAATGTTTGACTCACTTTCCCACTTATATTTATGTTTGCGTTACCTGGTGGATAAGCTCAAGATTCATTTTGTAGTTAGTTGAGCTCTCATTTAGACTATGGTGGCGGATGCTGCAGTGGTACATTTTTCCTCAGACCTATGACTAGTCCAATTGGAGAATTGACAAGCAATAACGACGGTACCTCAGGGTGGATGGGTACTGAACAATCTGAATTGTCTGTGAAAACACAAGGGTCTGAATGTTTACAAAAGGGACAAAGGGAGTCTGGTACCGTCTTAACCAGTTCACCTATCGATGAAAAATCAAATCAAGTTTCTGCCAGTGTGACAGAGAATTCTGTTATTCTACCGCTTGCTTCATCGAATCAAGTTTCTGCCAATGTTACGGAGAATTCTGTTATTCTACCGCCTGCTTCATCAAATCAAGTTTCTGGGAATGTTACAGAGAATTCTGTTATTCTACTGCCTGCTTCATCAAACGAAGTTTCTGTGGATGTTACAGGGAATTCTGTTAGTCTACCGCCTGCTTCATCAAATAAAATTTCTGCCAATGTTACAGAGAATTCTGTTATTCTGCTGCCTGCACCGCCTCAGGATGATTTGGAAAAGAATTGCCAGACCGTAGAGGGTTCACACCTTGAACAAAGTACCGATGAACAAGTCCCTGTACAGTTACCTAACGATAAATCTGAAAACCCATGTCCATTGTCCGAAAATGAACCTGTAGTATCTCCATGCCAACCATTATCTGAAAATAAACCTGTAGAATCCCCATGCCAACCATTATCTGAAAACGAGCCTGTTGAATCTCCATGCCAATCATTGTCTAAAAATAAACCAGTAGAATCCCCATGCCAGCCATTGTCTGAAAATGTACTTGTAGAATCTCCATGCCAATCATTGTCTAAAAATAAACCAGTAGAATCCCCATGCCAGCCATTGTCTGAAAATGAACCTGTAGAATCTCCATGCCAATCATTGTCTGAAAATAAAGCTGTAGAGTCCCCATGCCAACCATTGTCTGAAAATGAACCTGTTGAATCTTCATTCCAATCATTGCCTGAAAATAAACCTTTAGAATCCCCATGCCAACCATTGTCCGAAAATGAACCTGTAGAATCCGTTCCTGACTTTGCTATTGATGGCCAAATGCAATCTAGTCCAGCTGAAGCTAATATGAGTTCTGGGAATGAATTGTTGGATTCACCTACTGGAGATGTGAACAATATTAGTTCCATTTGTCCAGAAAGAGTGTCTTATAGCCCCACTAATTCACTATTGAGGCGCAGGGGTAAAAGAAACTCAAAATTATTGAAGAAGACGTATATGCTACGGTCAATAGGAAGCAGTGACAGAGCTTTGCGGTCAAAAACAAAAGAAAATCCCAGGGCACCTGAAACAAATAATAATAATGATGCAATGCAGAGGAAAAGTGGGAGGAAGAAGAGAAAGAGTGGAGAGGTGGGAATTGCCGATCAATTTTCTAGAATCAAAAGTCACTTAAGATATTTATTAAACAGAATAGGCTATGAGAAAAACTTGATTGATGCTTATTCTGGCGAGGGCTGGAAAGGGCACAGGTATGTAGATTTTATCAGCACCTTGTGCTTTGTTTTACTTGTAATCTATATTTGCATATTAATCTATGTTAGATCTTAGCTTATATATTTATTGATATAATTGTTGTTGATTAATTGCTGGGAAATTGAAATGGAACTACATCTGAAATGTTCTGGCAACTTACCTTTTCCGGGTAGAATGATTGTATTCTCTTAACTGTTGTATTCAAGTTTCAGATTGTTATTGCATGAAGTCTCATCATGAGTTCTGAAATAGTATGCAATTGTGTGCTGAACGAAGACTCCTTTTGTTGCCTTTGGATAAAACAGTTTAATGGGATCTTAGATATTTAGATTTGACTTTGTATTGAGATATTATATCATATGGTATTTTGATCATTACTTCCTTTCCAAAAATAAATGTAATGGAATTAATTTTATGACTTCCTTTTATTCCCTTGTGCTTGAATTTCCAGCTAAAGCTCATGTCAACTTCTCAAGATCACGGTTAAGATTTGTAATTGTGTACTGAATCAGGCAAATGATTGGGAACTAGCAAGATCTCAATCTTCATCCTGTAATCAAGGAATTTCCATGTGCGCTGATCCTAGGGTCTGGTACTCTGGGTTGGATTTTGGGCCCAGTCTCTTTGGACCTGAGATTCCAATCTGTTTTGCAACCCGCAAATTGTAAATTTTGTTCCCTGTATTTCTTTGGCTTCTTTGGCCTTTTATTCGGCAACTCTCTTCTCACTTCCCCTGTCTTCTTTGGTTTGAGTTTTTTTCTCTCGGCTCAAGCATTGTTATGCATTGTCTCCTCTCCTTCTGGTTGGGTTGGTGGGATTCTATTTTTATACTGCGCTGGTTGTATTTCTTCTTCCTATAACACTGTCCTGTGCCTGCTGTACTGGGATGCAATTCTTCTTCTGCCTCTGTTCTTTCTCAGCTTGGCTATGTTTTTTCTGAACAAAATATGTCAGCGGGTGGTATTGCATTGCTGCCACTGGCTCTCTTTTTGTTATCTCTGTCTTTTCTATCATTTGTATATCTTCATGTTCAATTTTGCATCATCAGGGAGGAATTTGTGATCTGTTTTTTTAGTGTCCATGTTGCAATATTTTGATTCACGATCTTTCACTCCATCTTGATCCTCAATGGATATGGTTTTTGACTACATTACAATCCATGGCTGTTTTGTCTGAGATTGACTAAAGTGTACCATTTGAATTTTATCTTAATTATGTGAAACGCAATTACTAATGTCTATCTGTATGATTTGAATTTCATCTTTAATTCTTCATGTGCTTTGGAATTGGTTCAATTTGGTCCCTTGCTGTTTTCTTCTCTCACCCTTTCTATATCTGACCCAACTGGCTTGAAACAAAATGTTTAGGTAGTATCCCAACAGGACTGCATGATTAAGCAACTGAGCTAGTAAATCAGTCGATCAAAGCTTATACCTATGCGCTTCATTTTATTTGTGTTGTTGAACAAAAACCTTTTTAAACTTACATTTTGGAAATTATATACACACACTTCAATTCACATGCAATTTTTAATTTGATGTCCTCTTTTTCTGTATATTTTTGTCATGATTCTATATTCGTACCCTCTCTTTATTTGTAGAGCTAAAGATGTTGTACTAGACCATTCTGTACTTTTTGTTGCAGTCTTTGATTGGAGTTTGTTCACTCTTGTTTTATTGTGAGCCTGAGTAAGATTGATAGTTGCACTGCTACAAGAGTCTTATCATGCATTTGGGAACCTTCATGCTTGATATATGTTTCCATTTATTGTTTTGCCGATTGGTTTGATTGTAATAAATTTGCAGTATGGAAAAATTGAAGCCTGAGAAAGAGCTTCAACGGGCCAAGTCTGAAATTCTTCGACGCAAGTTGAACATTAGGGATCTATTTCGAAATTTGGATTCATTGTGTGCTGAAGGAAAGCTGCCAGAGTCTTTATTTGATTCCGAGGGAGAGATTGACAGTGAGGATGTAGGTTAATCTTTTTATATTGAATTCCTGAATTATATATTGTTTCTCGATGGGTTTTGGAGATGTGATTACTTTGAACTATATGGTGCAGATATTCTGTGCAAAATGCCATTCCAAAGAGTTGAGCTGTAATAATGATATAATTCTCTGTGATGGTGTTTGTGACCGGGGATTTCATCAGCTCTGTTTGGATCCTCCGTTGTTAACTGCAGACAGTAATCCCTGGTCTACCTAATTGATTGGTCACTTTGTTCTTCAAACTTATTTATCATTTATGTACTTACTTCTGTGGCTTACAGTTCCACCTGGTGATGAGGGTTGGTTATGCCCAGGATGTGATTGCAAAGATGACTGCATGGACCTTGTTAATGACTCCTTCGGAACAAGTCTCTGTATTAATGACCCCTGGGAGGTCAGTGAGCTATTTTAGTGTCTTGTCTGTAAATCATTAATGTTTTGAATCCTTCTCTCCTGATCATTTGTCTGATCCTTGTTTAGAGGGTTTTTCCTGAAGCAGCAAGAGCTGCTGGAAATAATATGGATAACAACTTGGGACTTCCTTCTGATGATTCTGATGATGATGATTATAATCCTAATGGTCCAGAGGATGTGAAACTTGAAGGAGATGAATCAAGTTCTGATGAATCTGACTATGCTTCTGCTTCTGAGAAATTGGAGGGTTCACTTGGGGATCAGTACTTGGGCCTTCCATCTGAAGATTCTGATGATGGTGATTATAATCCTGGTGCCCCAGATGTCGATTGTAAAGTTAATGAAGAAAGTTCAAGCTCTGATTTCACTTCTGACTCTGAGGATCTTGCTGCTGCAATTGTGGATTACACGACCCATGAACAGAATGGTGAAATCAGATCGGCATCTTTGGATGATGTTAAGTACTTGAAAAGTTCTAGAAAACAAAAGGGTAAGGCTGGTAAGAAGCTATCTATGGCTGATGAACTCTCATCTTTACTAGAGCCAGATTCTGGTCAAGACGGTTCTACTCCTGTTTCTGGGAAAAGGAATTTGGAAAGGTTGGACTACAAAAAGCTGTATGATGTAAGTCCATTTTAATGGCATGTGCTTTAAAATACTATTTTATTGTTGGAAGTCCCACATTATCTGTCTCATGTCATTTGATATGGTTTAAATATATGTTAGGCTATTCCACATATTGCTAATTAGTTTTATGTTAGAATTTTAATATGGTATCATACCTAAAACTTAATTTCTTTCCGGTTGTTGTCTTGGGTCAAGAGTTGTCCTTTCTTGTGGATCAAAAGTATCCTTTGTCTGGTCGATAGGCTTCGTTGGATTCGTTGGAGGGGACTTGTTGGGAAGTCTTACATCGCCTACCTCATGTCATTTAGTATGGTTTAAATACCTGTTAGGCTACTCCACATGTTGTCAATTAATTTAATGTTAGAACCTTAACATTTATGATTCTGTATGCATGGTTTGCCTTCCCATTTGAAATAGGTTATACATATACATTGCATAACTTGAAACATAATACATAATGCTTGTATCTGAAGTATGAATAGGTGAGTGTGTAGAGTCAACTTTATTTATTGTCTTGTTATTTGGTTTTACTATGACAATATTTTAAGCAGCTATTTTCTTTTGTAGGAGACATACCACAGTGATACTAGTGATGATGAAGATTGGACAGCCACTGCTACTCCAAGTAGAAAGAAGAAAGGCAATGTGACTCCAGTGTCACTAAATGGATATGCTTCAAATAATTCCAAGCACACTCCTAAGAGGAATGGCCACCAGAATAAATTTGAAAATACAAAAAAATCACCTGCTAAATCACTCCATGGCTGTGTGAAATCTGATTCCAGGGATAGAAGGTCTTCAGCATACAAAAGGCTAGGGGAAGCTGTAATTCAGGTATTGTTAAATTACCTTCTAAATTTGTTTTTAAAATTTAATTTTCTGTTTAGAGAATCTTTCATTTCAGTTTCTAATTTGCATAGTTGACACCATTGCCTTTCAATTGAATTGTGTCCCATGGATATCATAATTGCCACATTTAAATTGTAGTGTGAAAAGACTTTTGGTTGGGGGAGTATTGTTTCTTTTAGTGGATGACTTAGGATTTGTCCTGAAAAACAGAAAATCTATTGGAATAATATTGATGAGATATTTTGTTTTACTGCACAACACATAACTGGTTCTTTTATTGGGAATATTAGTAATATCATTCCTAGTGCAGTTACATAGTTCTGTGCTTCATTTTTTAATATTTGTACTGTTGGTCAGTTCAATTTAAAAAAAAACTATTAAATTTGATTTTGTTATCCAAATCATGATACATATCAACAAGTAAAACACGAGATTGTTCAAAAAATGTTCTGAGATTTGTTTAGTTTTTCTTAAAAAGTTATTGTAAACATATATTGTGTCGATAAATCCCTTTAATTATATGAATAGTTGCATTTGTAATTTTATATATCTTTTTCAAGAGCGTACAAGGTTGTAAACTGTTAATTTGCTGAAAGAGAAAAGTTAGGTTATAAATAGTAGTTTCATGTTAATTGGCTTAGTGCTGAAAACGTATATATTTTGAAATAACGAAGGGGAATTTGAACTTCTTAAGCATCGAAGATATGACATTGATTGAGCTAAAATTTAAGCTGGATCAAGTTGGTGTTTAGGATCTTGAAATCATAGATGAAAATCCATCTTAAAATCTGTTGTGACTGAACTTAGTTTCATTGTATGTATAATCAGATCAGATTTGGATTTAAAATAAGCAATCTTAAGATCTTCATACTACACCATAATTAGTTAAATACCACAACCAAGACTTGGAGAGTAATTCTTATAATAATCATGATGAAATTAAAAAAAAAAAAAATCAACGGTGTCCCTATTGTCCAGCCACATTACATGCTCCCTATGAATGCAATTTACAGCGCTGTGATGACCACAATAGCCATGACATGAAAATATAACCATCTGAAAATGGGGGTAGCAACCTAATACTCCACCCTGATGCTTCGCTGCGATTTCAGCACTACAACACATGAATAACAACTACGAAACAGTTGCGAGATAAGAATGTTGGGAAGGAGTGAACCAACAGGAGAAATCAAAATAAGGATTAACCTATTTTAGAGAAAGTTGAAGTAGCACCTATCAAAGAGAAGGAAATGGGAAGTTAGGTGGTTTGGTCAGGTGAGATGACTAACCAACAGAGGCTCTAGTGAGAAAAGAGGATCGAATGGACACACATTTCTATCTTGTACCATTGATATATATAACTTTTCTATCTTGGACACACATTTGCATTCGTGTCTGCTAAAGGACTTATCTTAGAGTGACTGTTGTCGTATTTTCAGAGACTTCACGTATCTTTTAAAGAAAATCACTATCCAGATAGAACCACAAAAGAAAGCTTGGCTCAAGAACTTGGACTTACTTGTCAGCAGGTCATATCTTTTAGCTTTGCACTAGTGAATGTATTTTATCTTACGTTTGTGACTGCTCAATTTCCCATTCTTTTTTCACTTTCAGGTTGCCAAATGGTTTGACAATACTCGATGGAGCTTCCGGCATTCATCAAAAAAGGAAACCAATTCAGGTAGAAATGCTTTACAGCAAACTCCTGACAGCAGAGTTGAAAATGAGGGGGATGAATGTGAATTAATGTCCCAGGAGGTCAGTGGAGAAAAATCAAAAGCCCCAAGCTCTAGAAAAAGGAAGCGTTTATCAGAACACCAACCATCTGAAGCACAGCTGGATACCAATGGCAGGGCATCAAGCTCACCAAATACTCAACAAACCCTAATAGGCAAGAAAATGAAGACAAGGAGAAGAAAATGATACGTCATTGAGAACTCGGGTTTATCCTTTTCCTAAGGCCTCAGTAAAGTATCCATCTTTTTGTGAGATTGAGATCCCATGAGATGATCAACTCGGATCTCGATGGATTTGTTTCCATTCAGGCAGGTAATCATAAGATGTGCTATATTGTTTGTATTTTTTAAGAATAGCTCTCCAGGTATTGATCTCTGGTGATTTTGTTTGCGTTTCTCTCCACGCAAACACTAAAAATAGATCACTTGGTAGTTTTACAATTTTAGATTTTTTATTTATTTACAGAGATTCCATTACTTGTTCCAAAATATGTTTTCCTCCTTTTATTTAGGGGGTTTACAACAGCAAAAAAAAAACGATGAGAATTGGGGAGTAATTTATCTTTGTACGTCAGGATTCAGTGTCATTCTTGTTTTATTCTGCAGGAAATCCCCTAGTAAAGGTAGCAGCCAGCTCATTTGTTTGACTGTTCACAACATATGGGTTGGACGCTAATCTTTCAATGATCGTAATTGTTTGGTTTGATTTTCAAGTTGGGTTTTTTGGCAATCCCCATTTCTTTTTAAGATATTTGTTTTGTTATGCGTTTGAGTAATAGAGTGGGAGGGGAGCATCATATACTTAAATTGCGTCACGCTTCTTATAATGTTGAGAAGCTATTGAATGCCCTGGAACTGAAGCATGATGATGATAATAAACTTCATAATCTCGTTATTTGTGGACTATATCGTCTGTATGTGGAGAATGCACAGAGGAATGGAAATAGGGTAACATTGTGGGACAGGTGATTGATAATTACGCTTTTAGCCGATATCAGAGGGGGAACATGACGCATATTACGATGTTGCTGTTCCAGATTACATGCCTCTTCAAATTCAAGGTGGAACGCCGCTTCAACATGTTTATGGGTTTTTATTGAAGACTGCTATTCGCCGGCGAGAAAGAAATCATGAGGGGATTACATTTTAAAATGTTATATATAACAATTTCGTTTAATAATTTACTTTTTAAAATTGAATTAGATCTTCAATAAAAATCATTTCAACAATATAATTGTGATAGTTAACTATTACATTGATGTCATTTGGTAATTATGGATAGCAGAATTTATTTTACACTGATGAGATATTTAAGTATACGTTAGTAATTATTATTATAATTAATAAAAAATTTATTGGTGAGATTATAATGTATTTTTTATGTATTTTATCTAAATTTATTTATTTGTTAAATAGAAGAAGTTTCATAGTGTTAAATAAATATAATAATTTAAATTAAAACATTTTAATTTATGATGTTAGTGGGTATAAGTTTTTGGAAGTTTCAAAAAATAATAATAATTAAAATGTTATTTAATAATTATACATATATTAGAATTTATATAAGAAATTATTATATTAAAAAGTTAAAAGCTAATTTTATTTGCAACTTAAAAAAAATAATAACTATTTTATTTAATATTTTCAAACTTAAAAATTATATTTAAAACTTTTATATTTTATGGGAAGTACTTTGAAAATTTTCATAATCTAATTTGGAATGTATAATTTAAAATAATTTTTTTTAGTTATTTTAAACTGATCTTTAAGAAACATTTTATAATAAAATTTATTATAATTCACAAATCTTACTTTGTTGTTTAGGGGTCTCAAGGTAGTTTGTTCAAGGAGTTTTTTTAATGATAAAGATGTGATAGTTGAAAGTTCTAAGAGTTCTAAAATAAATAATTTTTTTTATTCCGTCAATGTTATCATAATAGTATATGAGAAATATAATATTTTAAATTTTTCTAAATATATTTTGGTAATATTTCTATATAATACATATTTGATGTATCTTGGTGAAATATTGAATAAATTTTAAGAATAATATATTTTTAAAAAATTACTCAAATAATATCTATATAAATTTATATATTTAAATAGTCATGTTTATTGATCACATAAATTTTTTTTCGTTCACTTTTTATTTTATTTTATTTTACTTCTCTTTATTTCTCTCTCTTTTTTCACTTGAACTATAATATTAAAATTTAATAAAAATATGTTGAAATAAAAATTTAAAATAATATTAAAAATAAAAAAATACTAACTAATTATTTCAAATTATGAAGATAATAAATAATTTTATTTATTTTAACAATAAATAATTTTATTTATAATGATATAAATAATTAATTTTAAATTATTTTATCATAATAAATAATTACTTATTTAATTAAAAATATTAAATATTTATAAATTAAAATGTATTTTTATGCAATAATTATATATAGATATAATAATTTTGATTTATGATAATTAATTATATTAGGTAATTTAAAAAATATTTATTAAAGAATAATTAAAATAAATATTTAATTTTTTTCTTAATAATTCTACTATAACAAAATATTTGTGATATCTCAAATTTATCATATAATATTTTATAAATATAATATATTAAATTATAACATTTTTGAATTTTTAAATATTTTTTCAATAATAATAAAGTACTTATATTATTAAATTTTAATTTACATTTTAAATGAATAATAAGATAGAGTGAGAAAAAAAACAAGAGAAATAAAATAAAAAAATAACTTAGAAAAAAGAGGAAAACATGGTATCATATTAGAAAAAAATATTTTTTATATTAAATTTTATGTATGAATAGTAAGTAGATTTATCTGGGTAAATAAAATTTTATTTAAATGATTTTTTTTACATTATGATATTGATTATGAATTCCATGATTTAAAGTGGATAAATTATTTAATTTATTTTTGAAATTTTAAAAAATAATATAAAAATTGTAATGTTGTTTCAATTTCTTATAATAATTTTTATCATAAACAAATTTGGATATATAACATTTATTTATAAAGATATGCATAAAGTAATTTTGTGAAATTTGATTTTGATTTCTATATTTTAAAAATTGATAATTTATATTTTTAAATTTTATAAAAATGTAAATTTAATTATCTATCAATTTTGTTACAATACAAAATATAAAAAAATATTAAATTTAAATATAAAAATTAAAGAATTAAAATTTATTAAAATTATATATTTTTAAATTTGAAGAATTAAAATTATTATTTTAAATATAGTTAATCATAAGTTGAAAAAGAAAAACTTATCCTTATATTTTTGGCCTTGGAAGCATTAGTTACTTTTGTGACATATAAAGGGTGCATACTGACAATTAATGATCACTATGTTCTGGAACAAAGTCTTCGAAAAATTCAATAACTCAATGAAGATTTTTTTTTTTTATAAATCCTTTTTGAAAGTTTTAAATTTTATATTTTAATATATATTTTAAATTCTTCTTAAAATCTTATTTTATAATAATATTTCATAATTCTTATTTTAGAATATATATATTTTTTAGAATGGATTTAGAACATGTCATCGGGAAACTATTTAATATTTTGAATTGTATTTTTTTTTAGAAAGTATAAACTTTGTTATAATAATAGGAGGTGGAGAAAGAAATTATGGGGTGGAGGAAGGAATTCTGTACGAAGTGTAGACAGGGTTGTAAGAAGGCCTAAGTGGCTCACTCGAAGGGTCAATATGTAATACCAATTCTCAACCGATCTTCTGTGACTGCAACTCGGGAATTACCGAGTGAGTTAAGACCCGAAGCTGATGATGGATTTGGAAGTCGACGAGAACGACTTGAAAGCCGCCGGCGCCGAACTCTTCGCCGAAGATGGACGGCGAGGCATTCGCATCAATGGCTGGGTGATCGAAACTCGGAGGCACTCTATACTGAACTCCTCCACCATCCAAGAGTGAGTGGTTCTGGAATCACGCTTAACCCTAGTTCCTGTAATTTCTAATTTGAAAAGCGTTTATTCAGTTGTAATTGATTTTATTGAAGAAGTTGTGCTCTAATGTTTCTTATATGTTTCAACGTTCCCATCTTGTTATGACCGTTTATTTTTTAAAATAAAAACCAGAGAACTTCGATTTGACGATGAATGTATGCCTTGCAGGTGGGAACAGAAACTTGATACGTCTCATTTACCAGAAATGGTTTTCGGGGAAAATACTTTAATTCTGAAACACTTGGGTAGTGGCACCAAAATTTATTTTAATGCATTTGATGCTCTTTGTGGTTGGAAACAGGAAGCCCTGCCGCCAGTTGAAGTTCCTGCAGCTGCTAAATGGAAATTTAGAAGGTGAGCTCATGACATGTTCACTTTCATGCTTATGTATACTCAAAATTCTGATGACTTTGCCTAGGTTCATTTGCTGTTTTTTCTTTCTAGCAAGAAATTCATATCTAGTATGAAGCTGCCTGGTAATTGTGTGTGTTGTCTCCCCCTCCTCAATGGCGGATGTTGAACATTAACGTTTAGAGGGTTAAATAATATATTATTAATAAATAATAATCAAATATGAAAGGATTAGTGGGTTAAATTTATAAATATACAGATATATTTAATAATCATTAAATTGAAGGGGAAAAAATCATAATTATTAATATAAGTTATAAAATTTTATGGGTTGTCCCATCACCTTTCAAAATCTCTGCCACTGCCCCTCCTATTGAATAGGAGGTGTAAATACCTATATGACCGTTGTGTTAGTCTCACATTCTTTTGGGGGAAATGTGCAGCAAGCCCTCTCAGCAAGTAATACTAGATTACGACTACACATTTACAACACCATATTGTGGAAGTGGCACTATTGAGAGTGATAAAGATCTGGTATGTATTCTTTTCTTTGTTTTTTTCAGATTAATCTGTCATCCTGAATGTCATTTTTCACTTGAGACACGAGTACAATTCTACAGATTATTTTTTGTCATAAAAAAATTAGGCAAATTACATTGATATTTTATTTATGCTTTATTTAATATATATATATATATATATATATATATATATATATATATATATATAACTTTTTTTTTGTGGTAGGATGAGAGAGGAATTTCTAAGGAAACCAGTGATATCCTGTGGGAAGACTGCAAAGATCAAATTGATGTAGTAGCACTTGCATCCAAAGAGCCCATACTTTTCTATGATGAGGTGCGTAGTGAATAACACTTGCTCAGAATTGTTTTTGCATGATAATCTTTCTATGAGAAACAGTTTTGTATTGTTCATGTAGCAAGAACTTAAGTGAAATAAAGGAAAAATATACTCCTTTTTTAGAAATTGATCATGCTGTTAATCTGCACATGTGAAATAGTTTAATGAAATCTGCTATATATTAATGATAGTCAACAAAAAATCCAAAATAAATATGCTCCGGTTTTTACTTGGCTGAGTGCCTTACCTATAATAAATTGTCCATATTCTCTTCCTTGATGGTATTTACTTTCATCCTAAATAAATTAATCCTCATTGTGAACAACAGGTTGTGTTATTTGAGGATGAACTTGCTGATAATGGAGTATCACTTCTTACTGTAAAAGTGGTAATTACTAATTTGGTTTCTCCGGTTGATAGGATATTTGATTTTTTGTTATGCAAATTAATATTGATTGCCAATGACTGGTGATATCTCTTCTTGGTTTACAGAGAGTAATGCCAAGCTCTTGGTTTCTTCTGTTGCGATTCTGGGTGAGTTGTACTCTGTTTGTATACTAAATTAAAAATTCTTTCAGTCTTTTAAGTGAAGTTTGGATAACAAATTAGTTATTTCATTATTATTACTCTTATGGTTGATCTTGTAATGTTGCTCTTATAAAATACTGAAGTTATTACTAAATTTCTATAATTCCACTGACAAACATTGAGATTAGTGTTCCTGTCAGTCCATTTTCTTGTATCACCACCACTTTCCCTAAACTTCAATTTTAACTGATTACTCTGGTACTAATGCAGCTTAGAGTTGATGGAGTGTTGATTAGACTGAGAGAAACACGCATGCATTGTGTTTTTGGTGGAAATACAAATCCCATTATACTTCGAGAGAGTTGCTGGAGAGAATCTACATTTCAAGCGTTGTCTGTAGTAAGTTTGTGCTATGCACTCATGCTTTGTTCTTTGCATTAATTACAATCCTTTTTATTTTAATTTTAATATATAAATATTATCTTGAAACGGACCAACCCACCTCGTCCTTGGCCCACTAAATTGGTGGGTTAGGCGGGATAGGTCAAAATCGGTTGACGAGTTAAAACTACCAACCCATCCCGTCACTTTTTAGATGGGTTGGCCAGTCGGTTTGTTGGGCTTAACCCGATTTGCCATCCAATATTATGAAGTGATAGAAGTTGTGATGCTTAGTATATATGTTTGAAAGCGCTAAACCATCATTAAAAGTCAATTATAATGAGAGTAGGGGAATGAATAATGCAAACCAATTTATCCAACTTCAACAACCACTTTTCTGACTCACATCTAGTCCTCTAGCACAACTTGAGCTTTTTCCCCTATTTGCCTATTACAATGTCTGATTTCAGCATTTCACCGAAGATCCTCAGAATTATCATGTTACAAGGTGAAAATCAACAAATGGAATCTCATTATAGAAGTCAATAGAAGATACTAAAATAGCTTTCTCAAACTGTATGTAGACCCCAAATCTTGCCCGGCCTCATAATAAAGACCAGAAGACCTCCTTTTCGAAGATGGATGAAGCCTAAGAAGCCATTAGGAGAGACTATTAGGTCCCATACTAGGATAGGAGGGATTTTCTGCACGAAAATAAGGATTTTCGCCTTTTAGGGTCGAGACCGCCGTCTCGCTTATCGGGACCGCCGTCTCGCCACTTCTGCAAGTTGAGACCGCCGTCTCGCCACTTCTGCAAGTCGAGACCACCGTCTCGCCAACGAGACGGACGTCTCGCCACTTGCAAATGCGAGACCCCCCTCCTTGTTGACGAGACGGCCTTCTCGCCATTTTTGCAAGGCGAGACGGCCATCTCGAATGGCGAGACAGCCGTCTCAACCTTGTCAGACAAGACGACCGTCTCGACCTGACAGACGCGAATCCCTATAAATAGTCGCGCCTTCACCCTCATTTCACACCGTTCTTCCATTCTCTCTCTTACAACTTCTTCAAATTCTCTTCTTAGAACCCCTCCGAAGCATTTCTGGAGTTTCCGAGAGTTTCTTTAGAGTTTTTATAGCGTTTCCAAGAGTTTTTTTTTCCGGCGTTGTAAAGAGTGAAGGGCTGCCAAAACGCACCCTAGCTTTCAAGAAATTAATCAAAAAGCTTGCTTCAAAGGTTTCTTCTTTCTCTCCCTCTCTTTATTGCCTTTACTTTTTATATTTAAATTGTGTCATAGATATTAGAACCATGTAGTCATTATTTTAAATTCCGCAAATAAAAGGGTAAAAGCGTCTTTTCATAAGTTTATTTATTAAAATAGCTGGCCTATCATAGGGAACCCGAAAGGGGCGTCGTAAGGGAACTAACACTTCCCTTACACGTAACTAACTCCCTTACCTAAACTCTAGTTTTGACGACCAAAGTCAGTTTTCGAAAACTAACGCCTTTCTACTCCTTTTTCGGTGTTTCCGGTAAAAACATCGATGGCGACTCCATAAGAACCCTTCAAAATTAGTTCTTGGGTTAGTCCGGTTATCGGACAATCCAAAAACGCCCTTTCAAAAACCTCGCCTCTAGGTTCAGCCCGGTTATCGGACAATCTAAAGGCGTTGTAACCACACCCATAAAAACGCGAAAATAAAAAAGTCGGAACTATCGCGTCACCCCGACCGTCTCGTTTTGACGGCGGCGACACTGTAAAACTGATCAATCATCAATTTTTTGAGTTCTATCTTCTATTCATGGTGTTTTTGTCTTTTCTAGTCCCTATATATATATATATATATATATATATATATATATATATATATATATATATATATATATATATATATATATATATATATATATATATATATATATATATCTGTATGTAAAACTAAAGCCATTAGAAATATCAATTTTCTTATTTATTCTCTGTCTTGTCCTTGTTGTCTGGGCAGATTGGAATACGAGGCCTCCTTTAATGCATTTCCTCCTTATAATTAATCTGGTCTTTCTTGCTAATAAACAGAAGTAATGATAGGCTTCTCTTCAGTGAGCAATGGATATATCTATCATAATTTATTATAAAATAGATTTTCTTAATGCACTAAAACTGAAGGATGAATACAACTCTTCTTATTTACTTTAGAGATTTTTCCCTTGAGAAAACATATAATCTCTCTTTCTCCTTCCCTTTAAAATCTAGCTAACTCAATTATTTCCAAGCCCTGTGACTATGACTGTCGGCCCAGTGACTGGTCGATGTGATAGACTCTGTTTTAGTTGCTTTGATTTAGTTTTTCTTGTATCAAATTAGCTTTAGCTTTTTGTTCCTATGTTTTCCTCATATTCTTTTGCTGCTTTTATATCTTTCTAGTTGATTTGGCGAGGCTATCATTTACTAGTTACAATTTATTGTTGAGTGTGTTTCTCATTGTACTTGACTGTCTTATTGATGCAGATAGGGCACCCTTTTGATTCTGGCGCGTATGGTGATCCAAGCTTCATTAGCCAGAAGCTCCCCATCATAATGCATACGACCAAAAAGCTTGTAATTTCCTCCTAAGTTATAAGTCTGTAAATTCCCATAATGGAAAAGGGTTTCTGATCAATTCTTATCTTGTTCATATTTTATTCATCTTTTGCCTGGCTGTTTGAAACCATAAATTGTTTCTTATGGATAAGCTCTAGGTGCTTTGTTCTTGTACGAAAGGTGGGGGTGGGATACAACTTCTTTAATGTGAGGGACTCATTTCACTTGAAAAAAAAAAGAGATGTTATAGTTATTATTATAGGTTGACATTTAAACAACTTTATAATTTGTTATGCAAACTTGTGCATTTGGTCACAATTTATTTTTCTAACATCTATAATTTTTCATGTTTCCCTCTAAAGTATAACCTTTCGTGTAAGAAGCAAAATTCGTTGGGAAAACGGAAATGCATGGAACGGAGCAGGCGCTTTCACTATCATTCACATTAGACATTTGGAAAGGCTTGTCCAGGTTGTCTTAGTATCCTCGTGAATTTTGTTCACGAAACGCTATTTTTAAACAAGAGAATGGTTGTAGCAGATGTCACTTTCTACCTAATGGGATAGGTAACAAAGTTGGAATATCTCCTACTCTAATGCTCAGGCAAATATACGCGTACCAGAGTCACTTCCAGGATTTATATTGCCAGAACGTGAAGTTTGACTAGAAATCATAAGGACTTAAGCTTAATGTAATAAATCATGAATTTTCTTCGTACATGGGCGTTAGTAGCCAAAACTGTCTTGTTTGAAAGATTCATTAGAATTTGTCGTCTTTAAATAAAACCTAAAATTAGGAGTTAAGGCTTTACATATTTTTTTGGAAGCATCCCCATATTGAACGTACCTAGCACTCACAAAGTGTGGTACATGCAGGATGAAAATCAGGATTTTGATGTCGAAACGCAGAATATCTGTGAGTAACATGCCAAGTGAGCACCGCATATCAGGAATTATATAAACTAAAATAGATAGCCAGGGTGTATAATTTGGGTTTCTGGTGCTAAACATTTATATAGACAATGGAAACTACAAATCTCCTACCATATACTATGCAGTACCATCATCATCTGAGTTATTGACTCTTCCAGGTCAAGGGTCTTCTACCTGTGTTTTTCCCCTTCTTAGGTTAACGAGCAAGCTCTTTCGGCTGAGAAAGGATGATAAAGCTCCAAGGTGTAGCCAACAACTATCAGAGTCTGAGGTCTAAATCAAGCTTGAGTGGCTCCTGTGGTGGCTGGGGCTGTTGTGGAACCAAGCGAAAGCTACCTGGCCACACCAGATCAGTTTGATCCTCTGACGAGAAAGCCGTCCAAGCCATCCCAAGCCTTGCATGTGCATCATGAAAGCTGGGTGCCACCACAGTACCTCCTCTGCATGGCTTGTGAACGAGTGAATGAGGCTGGACACCAAGTGATCGAAGCATAGTAGGTGTGTTCATGGAGAAGCCCAATATTGCCATCGACCTCTGAGATTGGTATCTTCTGGCAGCTCCCCTTTCCCTCTTGTGGGCGTTTTGATGACCTCCTAATGCCTGTGAACTGAAGAACTTCCTCATGCAGAAGTTGCATGAAAAAACTTTTGCAGTGGCTGGTCTTGATTGCGAATCAGGGTCTCCAGCAGTTGAAAGTGAAGTGCCTCCTATGTTCAGGTTCAACCACTCTTTGGGGCTGTCATCTTCGCTTCTGTAGTTGTCCTGGTCTCCGTTCATCACTTGACCTGGTTGTTCTTTGGCTGTTGATAGAATTGTTTCATCTTCTTTAATCATCATTTCCCCTAAATTCTTTGATGAGTTCGGATGATCAAAGCGAGTTGAATATATGAAAAAAGGCTCATTGGAATCCTTTTAAGGTTAGATCAAAAGCAGAAAAACTAATGGACAGGGGTATCAAAGTGTAATGGAAATGAGATGGGATGTTTTTTATTTTTTGTCATCCCATTCAGTAACCCCACCTGTTGATGCTTGGTTCTGTAGGGAACAATGCTTATGTCATCTTCACTGTTGCCCCCTTTCAAGCTTAGGATTCCCCACTATCATCTTTTCTTCCTTTCCTCTTTTGTCCTTACAAAGTTCTATCCTTCCCTGGCTATCTTAGGAATACCTATAGAAATATAAGGTTGACAATGCTAAATCATTCCATCCGTTGTCAAAATCAAATCTCTCATTTTATTTGAACTGCCTGCCATGTGTGCTCTTTATACACCATCATGTAACAAATCTATATGCTATACTTTTTCCTTGAGTAGGATAGATATTATATATGATGGATTTCCAAGATGGAGTCTTCATGTTTATCCACTTTGGTCACTGCTATATTAATTGATTTGTTTATTCCCACCTTTTATATTCCTTTTGATAGTGAAAGTAGGATCTGACTTCTGAGTTTAAGCATATGTAAGGTAGGGTTGGGTTGGCTTTTCATTGCTTTTGGATTTGATGTTTTGTGGGGGAGGACGGTACCCTTCTTATTTCCAATAATGGTTCTAAAAAGTTGAAAACAAGATAGCCTGGTCCATAGCTATTTAAGAACAGTTTTTCCTGTCGACCCAGGGCATCTGCGTGGGTGTTTTCTTGTTGGGGCTTTTTGGTGTTCCTCTTCAAGCTTTGTAGTTGGAGCGTGCATATGCGCAGAGGAAGAAATGCACCAAGGGTCCAGTTCCACCTGCACATATACACTTAAGTTTACCTTTTTCAATGGTCCTTGGTCTTTCTCTCAGTAAACTGACTCATAACAGGAAATTTCCATCGTTATGAATAGGTGGTAGTCCACAGTCCACACACTTTCTCCCTGAAACAGACCATAGAAAAAGACACCGCACCAACCAATCCTAGCTCAGCTTTGTGGAGTGTATGTAGATTGAAGATAAAAAGCGTTTGGTCCTTGGTCGTGCATTGCATAACACCGAATTCAAGGAACAGTGTCCTGGTTTCTGTCTCATAGCTACTTTTGAGAACAACTTGGGGGAGCAAGAGATATTTCTAGATTCTGTTTTTTGTTACAGATATTTCAAGTTTTACGAATGGATAATTTCTATCTTGGAATTTTCGAATGGATAATAACTTAGAGATAACAAGGATGAGTCCAACTTAGATTGATTAAACAAGATTAGTTTATCCTGTATCTAACAAGATCAAAGTACAGATGCCAAATATTGTATAAATTAAAAAGATGCGGTACATGTGTCTGCATTGGAAATGGATAAGGGTAAACTGAAAACAAGTGCTATTTTTGGTCTGCATTAATCATGATATAATGATAGAAGACATCACTTTTACATAACAATCTTTAATAGGAGAGTCCTGTAAGTAAAGAAACTGATAAATTTGGTTTGGATATAAGGATTTAAAAAAAATAAAAATAAAAAATAGAAGATGAATAGGTGATTCTTCAGCTTTATATTTTTCTTCTAAATGAGTGAAATTTGGTTGAAAAGTAGATATCTTAAATACTCTTTTTTTAATGTTGTTCAAACAAATATTCTTGTAGAATTAAAAATTAAATAAATAAAAATAGTGGAATTGATTTGGTGATTTTTTTTATTATTAAAACTACATAATTTACTTATATGATTTTAAGAAAAAAGTTGGTGGAACTTAGATATTTTATCTTTCTCTTCTTATATTTATTATCCATGTAACCCTCAATATATTATTTTATTTTATATTTTTTATCTATAATCTATAATATTATATATATTTTTTACTTAATAATTATATATCTATTATATATATATATATATATATATATATATTTAATTTTATATTTAATTTTTTTATTAATGCATAATATTATTTTTTATTATGTATTATTTTTAGTTATCTATATTCAGTTTTATTTATAATTAATTTTTATTTTGAATACAAACTTATGTTAATTATTTTATATATGTATATAACCATGTATGTTTTGAATACCGTTCTATAAATAAAATACCTGAATCATGAAATTTTGAAGAGATCTAATATGTATAATAATAGATTATATAATATAAGGAATAGGTTACATTAAAAAAATATTATTATATTTATTATATATAAATTAATGTTGATAATATACATAATTATAATTATATGTGATTTTATAATTTTTTATTATAATAAAATAAAATTTATATTTACATATAAATTTAATTTTTTGATATGTAATTGATTTTATTTTTATTTAATTATTATATTATATTTTTTTAATTAGTACTTGAAATGAAAATTTGTATAATAATTAAAAATTATTTTAAAATAATTATTAGTAATTTTAAAATTTTAAAATAATCATAAATTATTTTTATATTTTATATATAAAATAATTTTAATATATTTCCCAATTTTATGTATAATATAATTTAATCACAATTCTAATTTATATTTATTTTATCGGTATAAATACAAGGATATTTTAATTATTATATATTATAAATTATTATTTTAATTTTTTTATTCAATCATTTAAATTTTTTACTCATTTCTCCTCACTTTCTTCTCTTTTTACTTCACTCCAAATAATACAATTTTCATTTTTTTTTCTTCCTTTTTACTCCCTTAAATTTACTCTCTAATCCATATGCTGGAAGATTAAATCAAACAAAACATCTTATTAATTATCATGTAAGATTACTTTGAAATTAACATTAAACTATGCAATTTATTAGCCGTTTTCAATGAAATACTTTCCATTTTTTATGACATTGATGTCACATTTTAGCCATTCTCATTATCTGTTTTAAGTTATATTTAAAGTTTATTTAATTGGTTTTATTATCTCTTTTAATTTTTTTAACTAAAATTATTTGTTAATTAGCATTACACATCAATTTTATTTTCCTTCTCTTATACACACTAAAAAATTTATTTCCCTTTCATAGTTCTCTTGATATGGATGACAATAATAGACACGTTATGAGTAAAATATTATAGTATAATACATAAATGTGAATAGTAATTTTAATTTATTTATTTTTCACTGGGTGCTAATTCATGGACAGACTTATCAATTAAAAATTTAAAAGATAAACGGTTACAATTAAATTGAACATTTATTTTTAAACTGTTTCAAACAAACATTAAATCATTAAAGAATAACATTAAATTATTTGTAAAGAATCTTAAATCATTCAAACACAATAACCAAACATTATAAACATAATCACTCTTTAACTTCAGTAATGAATAATGTGTTTCAATGATTAAATTAATAATTATTAAAATATATAAGATATTTTAGTTAAATTATCATATGAAATAAGTGTGAGTACGAGACTGATTGAATATATAGTATTTATATTCAAACTCATTCTTATTAAAATTTGTCACTAAATACAAGCGCAGAATTTAACTTTATCTTAATTTCAAATAGACCTATAAAATGTCAAGTACTTTGCACTCACATGGATAGATGTCTACAACTAATGTGACTACAACATGTTTAAGACTATTTTTCTTATCACTATGAATCACAAAATGAAACAATGTTCATAGATTTGCGATTGTTAATAATATAGAACAGCAGTTTCAAAAGGCTTTAAGTTACAATGGTAATCCTAACCCGTGTAAGATCCATTAATTTATTAATTGGTATCTGTAGTCTTTAAACTTTTTCTTTTTAATGCAAATGAGATGTCCAATTATCTTGAAATGTTGCTAAAAGAAAAAAAAGTTATAAAGTTTCAAAAGTCTTGTTTGTTGTGTTCTGCCGCCACTTTGAAAAATAAAATCTATTTTAAAGATTTTGCACATTTTATTTGACAATTAGATTGTTATTGTCTTTGTTAAGATTATGGGAGTACATTAACTACTTAATTAGAAGTAAAGTAACACAAATATTACAAAAGTAAAAAGACTTGATGACTTGTGTCTACGTTAATATTATAATAGTAAAATTATAATAACATACAAAAATTACCGTATTAGCACACAAATATATGCCCCCAAAAAATTATTAAATAAATAATTAAAAATATGTGTACCATTCGTTTAAAATTTAACAGTTCAATTCATTCAGTTCAGTCGGAAAATAGATTTAGAAATTAGTTCATTATTTTTAAATAAAAAATATTAATTAAACTGATATAAAACTAAAAAATAAATATAAAATCAATAAAATTGAAAATTTTGATTTATTTTTTTTCCAATTAATTTTAGTAAAAATAAATAGTTTTTTTAAATACACCTTTTTATAAAAAAATATAATATTTTTAAATATTTCTTTTATTTCAAATTAATCATCTTAACTTTAAATAATAATTATTTTATTATATTTTTATCTTATCTTTATCTTTTATTATCTAATATATTTATATTTATAATTTTTATTATAATTATTGTGACTAAAATAATAATATTTTTTAGTTTTATTGTTATTAATAAATTTATTATATTATAAAAATATTATTTTATAAAATTTAATTTAATTATAATTAATCTTGTAACCCTTAATTCGTGTCTTCCGGATATAACGTCAGATCTAGTTTTAAAACGATTAAATTATATAAATTACAACTCTTCAATAGTGTATGCGTTCATTAGTAAAGATTATTAGAAGAGATTGTTGTATAAGATCAATGGTTGGTAAATAATTAATTTATATTTATAACAAAGGCTAAAAGGTATTAAAAAGAAAGGTAAAAAAAAAAAAACACTCATTCATGGACCAAAAAAGTGCATTACTTGATAAATGATCGATCCACAAATATTATTTGAAAAATATTTAAAAGACCACAAATGTACAGAATTTAACAAAAACCAGATACAAGAACTAATCCTGAATGTTGTTCCGATATGGAAAGAAAAATGGTTTTCTCTCTTGAATAAGCACAAATGATAAATAGCATAACAGATGAGTCTAACTCGAGATTCCTACAACTGTTAATTTGCAGAAAACACTATCCATAATTATTGGTCACCCGTTTCCCCAAAGGCAACTATGAAAGTCCAACAGCTTCCTCACGTACCTGAAACAGCATAGAAATCACAACAGCATAAGCATGCGAGATTTACATGGCATTCAAGATTTTAGTCGATATTGCTCAACTGGGTATCGGATTATTTGCTCATGAGTTTTCATCACACAAAGGATTTTTCTTTTTGGGAATTATGTATTCTCATGCGCATGCATCGTATATATTGTAATGAAAATTGAAACCACCAAAATAGCTGCATTTGCTAGCAGCATTTGCAAAAAGGCCCGAGTGGTCATAGCATACAACGGACTAAGAATATTACTCATAAAAATAGTAGCAAGCAATCTCGACATATTCCTTTTTAAGATAAAATACTTATAGAAGACTTATCATATAAAGGAACATGCCAAGTGTGTAATCATCCTTCAAATGAAAGGATAGACAGTAGTTTTTGACTATCATGCCTAGCTGCCCGAGACTTTCAAATTGTCTTCATAGGAAGATTTTCGAGGCAGAAACCTCTTTAGCATAAAAATCTAATCTTTCAGAGCAAGGGATTTGAAGTTGGGTCAAGGAGGTCATTTAAGTTTAAACCATAATAATCAATGGGGATTTAGAACCTCACCTCAGGAATCAGGATCACCTGTGAAAGGAATGTAGTTTACTCATTAGTAGCATTATAAAACCGCTGAAAGGGCTGGACAAACAGCCATTTCAAGGATGACTCTGGCATGGATTTTATTTCTGTTAAATTAAGCACATATATGCATAGAATTCAATAAACTGACAAAAAATACTCAAATAGTTTCATCCAAGTGATTTTTTGTAAGCCTCCGTAAATCTTGTTGTAAACAATAAAATTTTTATATTTAGGTAAAATCGTACAAGTTAAATATAGTTGAATAAAAGTGAAGAGCCAATAAAAGTAAAATGAGCAGGGATTAAATAACTGCTCAAAGCATACAAGATTTGTCAATACTGAAATTAAAAATGAAGTATCCAATTAATTGATTGACAAAATGTTATGCCCAGGGAAGAAAACACACACACACACACACTCACACACAGACACTTGCTTATCTGACTACTGCTTCAGTTCATCTCCAAGAATAACAAATCACTTGCTTACAAATATGGTTTAACTGAAAACATCACTGAATTTATAATTTTGAATGAAAGAAAACAAAAAAGGAACCTACTATGCAGCATTCTTCTCTCGCCATATGAAGATGATCAATGTCCTGGCGCATCACCCATCTTTTCCATTCCTCCCTATAAATTTGAATCTTAATACCTTCTTATGAACCAAGCTAGACAAACTCACACGTTCTACCCAACTCATCTCTTCGCATAAAGCAACAAAAGACTACCCAGATTTAACATCTATCAGGCCTACAATATAAGTTTTTTTTTTCTTATATTCCAGAATATTAGTAAAGGTTTTTAAAAGGGATATTTGGGGTGAGGCAATGGAGTGAATATGCTTAAAAACAACATGAACCATTTTCACATTCTCAATTTTCATGCATCCTAGAACCAGCAAGACTCACAAAGAGACTACTAGCGATCTTGACAAGAACGACGGAAGGTACCATGGGACAGCTCGCAGCAGGCACGCGCACTGACAGCAACGTGTGACGTCATGCAGGTAATAGCCATTGTACTGTGCAGAGGTAAAAGTGATTGTGTGCATCCCAATTGCCCCAAATTCCTGTTAAAAAAAAAATTCTCAATATAAGCCATCACAATGCAAGAAAATTACAAAAATTGATTCAAAATTTAAGAAATTAAAACGAAGGCAGATTAGCGATTCGTCTTGAAACGATGTCATTTTTGTTGTCGTTAATTAAGCAAAGCCAGTGAAATGGCGAAAAGAGAGACCTGGTAGCAGGCATGGAAAAGCGGCGGGACTGGACGCGAGGGGCGGCGAGTGGCGGCGGACGGAGGCGTGGAAGGGTTGACGGCCCCGACGGACGGAGAGAAGCCCTGGCTGTGGATACTAAAGAGCGAGAGAGAGAACCGGAACGCCAAGCCATTGCAATCCAAACTGAGAGATGCGAAACGCAGTTTTAGGGCTTTGCAAGGGTTTAGTGGTGGTGGCTGGTTGGTACTACTGATGAGGGAGTAAGAGCCGTAGGTTTTGCTTAGATATACCGTGGAGCATACAAAACGATGTCGCTTTTAAGATTCTTCCAATTTTTTAACCCTGCAAATATTTAGAATTTTTTATATTTTTGAATAAACTCATTCATAAATATTAAAAAGAAAACTGATAAATAAAGTTCATAAACTAAATTAATTCAATATAACGTAAAATATAATTTTAAAAAATTAAATGAGAATTTTTACAATAAACTAGTTTTAGTACATAAAAATATTTATTTCCTTTTTATTTCTCTAAAAATGTTTGAAAAAAAGTTAATTCAACGTGCCCTAAATTAATTTTTCTACTGTTAATAAATCTTATCCATATTATTTACATGAATAAAATAAAATAAAATTTCCATCTATTTCTTTAAATCCAAACAATTTAAAACACCATAATTCATTTTATTTCTACTTTTTGTCTATCATCGTTCAGCTTTACTTTTTACTTCCTATAAAAATAATACATTAAAATTTAATCTTACTAATATGTATAAATTAATAAATAAAATTTATTTTTAATTAAACTACAACATCAAGTCTTATTTTAATCATAGTTTTTTTATTAATTTATGTGTTGTGTTGACACTTAAATCATCCTTATGTATTTCTTAATGCAATCCACTTTCAATTGAATAATGATGATAAATTATATGAATACATCCATCAATTCTGTAGTGAATTCTCAAAATGTATTTTTTACTCATCCATGCATCCTTTGTGGCTATATGAAAAGAATAACTTTAGGAAGCAAGATAAATGTATCTTGATCCAGCAAACTACATCCAACACTGAAACCAAGTTGCAAAAAGCAATGCCTGTTACTTGGAAGTACGATGATGGGAAGATTCAAGGATTAACTTTGCTGAGGGAGTATGTCTTCACACACTTCAACAGGTTATTATAAGAGTAAACTATGCCAGGTGATAAACTTGTTAAGACCATGGTTCCTCTATAATGTAGTCTCACTTGGGAATTCTGTCTTTCTGACCAAAGCCCAACTTCACTCAGATCTCCTTCTTTCCAGCAAAGGTTGACTGTCACCCCACCACGAGCTTTCAATCCTTTCACACAACCATTGGCCCATTTATCGCGTGGCAACGCTGGAAGCAAGTAGAGGTCCTTCATTGTGCTTTGAACAAGCATTTCTGCTATTGCTCCTGAAAAACTGTCACCAAACAGTGTTTCTTTCTCAGCCAATGAAATGAGAATAAATATATAGCTCAAGCTTTTTAAGTGATGAAAGTGGAGTTCAGTTCATACAAAAAAAATGAGCCTTACCCAAAGTTGGCATCAATCTGGAAGGGGGGATGAGCTGTGAACAGGTTGCTGTAAAGTCCTCCTTCGTAATCACTTTCATGATCAGGGTCCACCAAGACAATCAAGTGTTTTATCATACGATATGCATGTTCACTATTGTGAAGATGTGCCCATAGTGAAGCTTTCCAAGTTGTCGACCATCCTGGACCATCATCTCCTGTAATACAGTGCACGAATGTTAACTACTGTTGACTTGTGCTTGCATTGTAATATCGAAGAAGAAAAAGAATACAGATTTACATGATTTGGTTAAAGTAAACATAATTCGTGGAGAATCATTATAGTAGTCTACTAAACTAACTAGAGGCTTTAAGACAGCTCATAGTCCAAAGTAATATCTCAAGTCTCTACACAAAAAATCACTTTGGCTATTCACAAGAAAAAACACACGGAACCATTGGAGAGTATGTATATGGCTGTTCCTGTTTAAGAATATGAAATTTTTCAACACAATAAATAAGAGCCTAGTGGCATACATATTGCATGAAAAAAAATATATCATCTGAAAGAGTTTAGCTCTTAAAGTTCTCACAAAAAACCTCTTTTAATTAGACTAAATTCCACAGCTTTACAGATGCCTGGAGTCTTCTCGAGACTAATCGTGTGCCCTGGAAATAGTCCAAACAGATGAGAAACATGTCGATGATGTACATCTGGGTCCTCAAAATCTTCTGCCTGCAAAATATGTACGGGGGTGCTATAGTTAACATAGAATTGCTCGCCAACAGTTGAACTTGGACATTGCAAATCAGAACAACATATCGGATGACAAGAACTGGCCAAGTGGACATTAAGAGGGAGGGAAGGAATGCAGATTATAAATATAATTGCTTACCCATTCCATAATGGAACCATCTCTAGCAACTTTTGTCGGAGGAAGCTTAGACTGATACTCAGTGACTCTTTCGATAATAGCATCGTCATGTCTTCCCAAAACCTGTTTTTGAGAAATTTAGTGACCAAGAAAATTAGGATAAAATATGAAGCTAGTAGTGGTTTGAGTATTATGATCATTTTCACCTCAGCAGCAGCAATCATTATAGAGAAAACTTCTTTTATGATTGCAATGTCCATGGTTGATGAGTAGCTCACACTAGCAGGCTTTCGGTCTGGTGCAGTGAACATGTGCTCTGGTGAAGTTGATGGATTAGTTTCCAATAATCCACCACGGCCTTCAATCAACCAATCCAACAAAAATGATGTACATTCTTCCAACAAAGGGTATGCTTTATTTTTAAGAAAATCCTAGTATACAAAAGGAAAATTCAATATCACTTACCCAGTAATACACACACAATATACTACACAAAACAGATATAATTTATGAATATAACAAACAAATATATTGATATATGTGCCATCATAAATTATTAGATTTTCCATCCCTTGGTATCCATATCTAATAACTAATCTATATTTATAACCCAAAGGTTCATTGGTAACAATGGCAGTAAATAAGTTGCATCCTTAAATGAAACTTGAAATCTATTTTGAAGTTTTAGGTTGCGGTTTGAAAATCCATTGAACCTTATAATACTTATAGCATGTTGGCCCTGGAATTATTAATCATCATAGCTGAACAAAGCATTGTTTGGATTAGTATCAATTTTCAAATTATATTGAGTTCGTAAAACATAATACCCAAAAACAGATCAACTGGTTATATAGAACCCTATCATGACATGAGGATGAGTAACATCTTTCAATATTTCAAGTCCAACACATAGTTATGCCATGAAAATAGAAGAAATAAGTTAGACATTCATGAAATAGGCCCTGTACAAGTATAACTGTTCATCATCAATAAGTTCAACAACTATCTAAAATTAATCCCCTAAACAACTGGTTAGACAGCTCTTTTCACAATATCAGTTTTGAATCAGTGCTTTTAAATCAAGGGTTAAATATTTTTCTGAAAAATCAAAACTTACTTTGTCCATTGTATAAGTATAATGCTCCCATAAATGGGCACAAAGCCAAGCTCCACCCATAGGCCATAAAGCCCAAACCGCCTCACCTCTATCTGGTGATGATTTAGCCCATATATCAGAAACTTGATGTGCAACCCAACCATTTGTTTCATAGTTCACCTGTATGCAAGAACACAAGAAAATATGGATAGAGCATAAAAAATTCATGACAGGGTGACCAAAGGTAATATGCTGGACTATATTTTCTTGTCTTTTTACTTTCTATACATTTTAGCATTAAGGATGGATCTCTTTCATTAATATAATCCCAAGAAAAATATGAATAAAAGAGGGAAACGAACAAAATACCTTTGCAGTTTTTTTACCATTGACTGACAAAGCGGAAATGAAATCAAATAAGGGCTCTTGACACTCATGTAGGTTGCTAGAAAGGGCTGGCCAATAATTCATTTGAAGATTAATGTTCAAGTGAGGAGCACCACTGGATGACGTACAAAAAGAGACAGATTACAAACTCTCAGAAATTCTTCATGAAATTACTTCTACATATGATATTTAATACTCCATATCCATGTGAAAACTCTAAGCCACCTTATAAACAAAAAAACTATAGTATACTATTTCTTTTTTATTTATTTATTTAAGAGGGATGAAAAGAGAAGGGGGAGACATACTCCCATGCAGGCTCAACATCTTTGTTCCAGATACCCTGTAGGTTTGCCACCTGAGATCCAGGACGTGAACAAGAGATTAGCAGATATCGACCATATTGAAACAAAAGCTCAACAAAGGAAGGATCTTCATCAGTCTGAAAAGATTTGACTCTGGCTGAAGTTGGAATGGTATCACCTCCCTTTTGAGAGATATTTGTTTGGGAGGAAACCGATTGCCTTTTGTAAAAAATAGACTTTCCTAAATCACCCTTGGAGCTTTTAGAGAGTTGCAATGAGACACGATGAAATAGATTTTGATAGTCATCCAAGTGGCGTGCATAAAGATCAGCATATGAAAATTTCTTCACAGACTTCATTTTACTGAGGGACTCAGAAGTAGGGTCCTTCTTAGACTCTTCAGGCATAGTAAATGGGCCGTCAAAGGAAGAAGAAGCTGTCAAAAGCAAAATAGCCCAATCTGAACCTTCAACTGTTAGCTTCCTATCATCCAAAACTTTTATAACCCCTTTACCAATCTGCATATCAAAAACTGCAGAAAACCGAATTCCCTTTGGATTGTCAATTGAATTCACTCTTGGTCGAATCCTACTACCAGGACATCTCCCTTCAATTATTATCTGATTTTGGCCACTTACCCTTGAATCATGATGCATTTTGCTATCAAAATATACTGTAAATGATAGTGACCCAGGTTTGCTTGCAGAAAACCTTGTCACTATGACTTGGTCCGGATTCGAAACAAAATGTTCTCTCCTAAATTCAACATCGCCCACAGAGTATTTTATTTTTGCCGTTGCAGTATCCAAATCCAGCTCCCTGTAATATGACTCCTTCAAATATTTATGATGAGACTCATGAAACTCTATCTTGATATCACCGAGAAGTTGGTATACCTTCATATGAAGAAATCACAGTTAAGAAAATGAGTGCCAATATTGTCTAAAGCTTCTTGACTCATGCACAAATCCATAATCCAAATGAGCACCACTAAGCACACATTTAAAAGGGGGACGTGGGGGCATGAATGAGAATACTAGTTGAATAATTAAATTATGATAGCAGAAAAATAGCATTCCTTTGTTTATATATCATATTGTCGGGTTCTCAACCCCTAACATAAGTTTTGTAAGTAGTATAGTTCCTAAAACTTAGAGCAAGGATGGTTATATGAATAGTTTGTGATATAATACATACATCGGAAGGCTCTCCTGACAACTTGACAGCTGCTGCTGTAGCTTCAGAGAATTTTCTATCATCGACAAGCTTTCTGACTTCAGCCAGTGCTTGTGGAGCACTTTTGTTGGTGTAATCTCCAGGAATCCCAGTCCAAAGTGTGTCCTCTACAAAAAAATATCAAAATTTTCACATGAGCATGCTTCACGAAAGAGAACATAGCTAATCGGTTACACCATGCATAACATAGTACAGCATGACCATGTCCTTGACATCTCATCCCAATGTTATAAGTTCCGAATTAGAAATGCCTACAGTGTCACCCACTAGATGCAAAAAAAATACAAAAAGAAAAACTTTTTTAGCAAAAGTTTCTCCCTAGATCTTTTCTGAATAAACTTTTTTCCATAAACACTTACAGAAGAAAAAAATAGCTAAGTTTCTCTCATAAGCTAATTTTAGTTTATGCAAAGTTAAAATCAACTTTTAGAAAACTAGATGAGAAACTTTTTATAAATTAAATGAGCTTATGGGCGAAGCTTAATTCGCTTTTCTTTATTATTTTTATTCTTACAAGTCTTGAACAAAAATGTTTATCCAAACAAAAGAGCCTCAGCAAAACAACACCAAAGAACTAGACTTTCTAGGTGGAGAGTAAACCTGGCAAAAGAATATCATACTTGGGACTCAAGTCCCACACCGTACAATTGGATCCCTACAAAGATATTGAAGGAATCAAGGACAATTTGTAGGTGTTGCGTCGTTCACATCATTAATCAGAAACTTGGTGAATTTTAATATAACTTATACAGGATCAGTAAGTGATAAAGGGTAAAAAAAAAAATGCTTAACCGTGACTAATGGGGAATAAAACATATAGCTTATATCTCTTATCACTAGCATATAACAACAACAACAACACCTTCATTGACATTTGGATCAAAGTAACAGTAACTAAAGCGAAAGTTTTCCTGATTGGAACTGAAAGCAACAATACCATTGAGCTGGAGAACTTCGGTGGGTACGCCACCCCAAACCATGGCACCAAGACGGCCATTGCCAATGGGGATGGCATCGGTCCAGTGCGTTGCAGGCCCAGCAAAACTAACCTTCAAGGGCCTTGGAGGAGACTCTTCGTCCCCTACATTCGTTGAGGTTGGCTTCCACCAGTTCCTCTGTGGGGTGTTGCGCACCATAACCCGTTCTCCATCTTGCATTGCCCAACATAGCGAGCAAGAGAAGACAAAGTAAAGAAGAAGTCGGTGGAGTAGCAGAAGCTCGTATCTGTGCCTGATAGCTGTTAGCATCTCTACTCGGAATGCACCTAATGAGATGGGTTTCCAACTATATTACATAAATCATTTTGTTCTGTCGTTTACATCTTGTGCTTTGTCGTTTATTTCATATACAGTTTATTCTCATGTTTCATTACCGTTAAAAAAAATTACAGTTTTACTTTACATCTATTATTTTAACTTTGGGATTAATAACATTTTTTTAAAATTTGGAACTTTCACTCATTTTAGTTTTTCTGTTAAACTAGTTATACTTTCGCCAAGGCTATTAAGTTATTATTTTTAGATGAAAATATGTTTTAGAAATTTGTATTTAATTCAGAAAAAAAAATCTTGACTTTGTTCCTTTCAAAATTTATAAATTTAGTATTTGATTTGAAAATATATTTTTTATATTATATCTCGTTGAGTCATTAAATTATTTATGAAATATTTTTAGAATTTTTTTTCATCTTTAAATTTTTTTACTCTGTTTTTTTTTTCATAATATGATGATATATTATATCAAAATACATAGGATCAAAAGTTAAAAAAAATAATAAAATTAAACATCAAATTAGTATTATATTTCAAGATAAACATATATTTCAGAAAAGTTTTTTGAAATTTAAGTTGCGAATAAAAAAGAAAAATGATAAAGCAAATAATTAAAATTAGCTGTGAATGAACAAGAAAGCATATCAGAGACTGCTTTAAATTGGACACGCATTTGCAGGCCCACACTGACCCCTGTTCTTCCTGGGAGAAGAACCTCTCCCGTGTTGGCGGTGATTATTGTTTTTAATATTTTAAATAATAATAATAATAATATTTTAAAATAGAAATTTTTTTTTTCTAAAAATACTAATGAAACAAGAGTCACGTATCAACATCAGATTTCTTTTTTTTATCCAACAATCCAATCTTCAGAAACTAGATCTAGGATTCGTCCCCGTACTTTCTAAGAACCCAGCAAAAAATTAAAGAAATTTATTTTAAATGTTAATCTAATTAATTTTAAAAAATATTTAATGCACACAAAAATTAAAAACAAAACGTATAAAAGGATTAGAAAAACTTTTTAACAACTAATGATAATTGTTAATTGAAAAACCTCCAATATTTTAGAGTCCAATGGTGGGGGTAAAGTGCATATAATGGAAAAATGAATATAATATATTGATATATAATATGGAATCGACCTCGAAAATAGAGAAAAAAAATGAATTGGACAATGGAAGGGGTGTTTCTATTTTGTTGGGGGCAAAAGAATGGGAAATATTATGATTTGCACGTGATCGTTGCAGGAGAAGGATGAGGATGATCTGCGATTCAAACAGTGGGGCTGACAGCGTAATCACGAGATTTCCAATATTCACTCTCTTGTCTTCCACAGATACTCTCATCACGTGTTCTTTAAGATAATGTTAAGTTTTTTCTTATTCTTCACGTTCAAATGAGTTGTATTGTAATTAACTATTTTTTATGTAAATTAGATAAATAGCTTGAATTAAAACACATAAATTGAACTAATGAATTATCTTTTTGTCTATAATGAATTAACTAAATTTGCTTTTTTACGACTAATTCAAACGTAGACTCAGATAAAATGTGCATACAAATTACAAACAGTTTTGCATTAGCAACAAATCAATATTCAACAAACTCATGTTTGGGAATTTTCAATTGAAGATAAATCGTTGTGAACTTTCAAGCCATTTAATAAATCTATTGCTATTTACAGAATATTTTTTAAAAAATATAATATTAATTAAAGTTTTTCTTTTTATCAATAAAGTAAAATCGAAAGAGCATAAACTTCTGTCTCAAGAGATCCTGGGAGCATAAATGTAATTATGGAAAATATAATTACTAATAATCAATCATAATTAAAGGGCTTAAGTCGAGGAAGGTCTAATTATTGGCAAGAATATTAATTATGTCACAAATAAAGTCTCAAAACCGTGAAATGTTCAATAATTACATCTGTATATTTTTTTCTATATTTATGCATATAATAACTTTAATATTTGATTTGTTAGTATGTTTAATGTATGTATATTATCATGCATATATACTTTCATATCCATTTATACATTCAAAATTTCAAATAGATGTCTAATCAAGTGTCATCCCTGCTGGATATTTATTTTTCTGCTTACATTATTAATGAAATTATTATTATTATTATTATTATTTGCATGCATTATTAATTTTAACTTTTTTAGTCTCATACATATATCTTTTAATTTAATTTGTTATAATATATGCTTTGTCTAGTCTCCTAAATTATAATTTTTTTTTTAGTTTCTAAAAGAAATATGGATTGATTTTAGTTTCAACTTTTTATTAATTATTTTCATTTATGTCTCTAGGAATTAAGGTGAAGTGACGATGTTACATATAAACTCAGTCTGAAATACATGATTTTTTATTTTTTTACTAAATTTTGTTTTGAGACTCTTTTTTTTTTCTTTGGTATCTTAATAAATAATTTTGATATTAAATAAGATGTTAATAATAAATAATTAAAAATATAAAAAAGTCATGAAAATATAAAATATTTTTTATTTAATATATTTAATGATTTGTTTTCATTTTAATAAAAAAATTATAATTATAAATTTTAAATTTAGGATGTAATTATAAATATGGAAGGAGTTTTAAAAAAATTGGATATCCCTGACATTTCAAAAAGCCCACTACAAATTACCTAGTAAATTAAATATTTTAGTTTAAATAGATTTTATGACCTGCGTCGATTATATTGGTTATTAAGCTGAGACATATATCACATGAAAAAACATATCAGTTGCCATTACATAAAATAAGTTTAGGGCTAAAAAAATCTAAAAATATAAATAAATACTTTTTATAATAATTTAAACTAGAATTTTATAATTTATTATTGTACGATTTGAAAAATAATTTATTTGGTACTCAAACAAAAATCTATCCTATACTTATATTTAATAATAAGCTCATACTTCTATACTTTTTATCTATATATTTTCAATATATAAACTATGTGTTTAAATTTATAATGAATATTTTAAATTATCATATACTATTGATATTTTTAAAATATATTCAAAATGAATGTAGGTGAAAAATATAAGAGATATATTTAAAAGTAACATACAATGAGTTATATTAAAATAGTTATTACTATATTAATTAACCTTTTTTTTTCCTAGTTGATAATATGAAACTACAAGAATGACAGATAAAACATTTGCTTAACTATAGTGCACTAATGGCTATTGAATATTGTACAAACATTACATATATATACTACTTAACCACAATACCATACACGAACCTTGTACTAGTCTCCAAGTTGAATTAGGTCTACAACATCCTCCTTTTGTGGTTATTCTGGTGAGAAGTTCAAAGATTCATATGATAATGGTCCTATATATACTTGCATGCTTAGGGTGCTTTGGGATGAATAAGAGGCAAGTCAACTTCATCACACCACTCCATATACCTAGTTTCAAAAGAAGAACACTTAGCTTGGTTGGGCAAATAACTAACCCAAAACTCTCCCCCTATTCTCCACTTCAAAACACTTCCTTCCATATCTTTGCTCAGCCTCCACACTACTTCCTCTCCATATTCATCACCAGCAATAACCACCGATCCGCTTTTAGTAAACGCTCTATTTCCCTTTACATATCGCCCTCTTAGTCCATGAACGTGGTCATCACCCGCTTCACCCGTGGGCTTCCACGAGCCCACTTCCAGGCCCGTAGTATGATCATGCAAAACAGCGTCGAATATCGCTGCGTTGCCTTCAGCGTCTTGGTCCATTCTCCAACTCTTGCTTCGCGTCCTCCTCGACGACCTTGCCGACGCTATCACGTTAGAACCCTGCGACTTCTCCAAATTGCCCTTCACAACCTTCTGGACTTCCACTTCGCTCTCTTTGTTCTCCGTCGACCGCCCCAAGCTCAGCCCAGTACAATAAGTCGCTCCGATCTCCGGGCCCACCCAGACCCGAATCCGGGACGGGAAGTGTTTCTCCTCAATGAAATCCACGTCGTCGTTTTGATTAAAACCTAACCTCGCGACATGGAGGCGTATGTTGTCCACACGTGCACGAACCTGGATGAACCCGTCGCAGAATCCAACGGTGTACTCTATCTGCACATGTGCCTCAAGTTGGTGGTGCGCCAGAGCGTAACGGAGAATCGACTCCTTAGCGTCGATCCCACAGAATTGACTTTTTTGAGCGTTGGTTCGCGCCACTTTCATGGTCATCACTGGCGCATAACCCTTCAGAATCCAAAGACCGTGAGCCTCCGTCGCGTAAGAGAATCTGGGAGAAGGCAAAAGCGTTTTTAAACCTAACCCTACGCTCAGTTCTTTTATCATGTGCAGTTTTGTTATGATGTATCCGAGGGTGCGCATGAAGCAGAGTTCGGTGTCGACACCGACGGTGATGAAGAAGGTGCGGAGGACGGAGGCGAGTTTGGATGACGCCGTTTGGAGGGTGGGAGTGAGGAGGGAGTGGAAGTAGAGAGAGCCGGCTTCCGGGGGAGCGTGGAACCCGCAGAGCCAGAAGAGGCGCATGGTGAAGACGAGGTTGAAGAAGGTGGAGAGGGACTCGGGTGTGTGAGAGTCCATGATCCAAGCGATGGGGTCGGGCTTGAGTTTCTGAAGCTGGGAGCGGGGGCAGGTGCTATCGTGCGCCGTGGGTGACTGGGATATGATTTCTTGGAGCAGTTGGAGGAGGAGAGGGAGGAAGGGGTTCTGTGATGAGAGGTGGCACTTTTCGGAGACCCACAGAGGCTTGTGGGCATTGTGCGGATGAAAGCCTTGCAAGCATACAGTGAAGGTGACGACCGCTTCCGAGTCAGACCCGGAGGTTCTCTCAGCTTTGAGGTGGATGGAACGAGTTGAATTGTCGTTGTCCTCACTGGCGAGTTGGAACATGAGTGGTGGCGAGTCAGACTCGTTCCACTCCAGCGAGTTGGGGAGCTCACATATCCAGGACCAAATATCCATAGTGTTTGCCTGTGTGTGTTGTGGAGTGTATGGGGAAGGTTTGGTTGGTTTGTGGAAGAGGGGAAGGGTTTTAAGGAGGGAATGGATGATAACGGGGTTGCCAACTTGGAAGCAGTTTAAGCCACGCAGGGATGAGGAACTGGTGGTTGTAAGGGGCGCTTTGTGTCGTATTTGAGGTTGAGGTTGGATTCATTGATGGCGCCACTTTATTTCATTTTCTATTACTTCATGTTCTGCTACTTTCTATGGCTGTAGAATGGAGTAGAAATTCTTGTCATGTCCATCTGATTACTACATACGTAGACTCTGGTTTTGTCATGGTAGTTTGGGGCCTTGCGCCTTACACGTGTGCCCCAGTGAAGTTTGCAACAAGGCTTGAGGAATCACACAATGAGATAAATGAAAAAAAAAACACAATTTATTACTTGTCCTTTCTACAACTCGCCAATCATCCTGCTTTTGTCGTTACGTTCAAAGCCAACTACGTTCTCATTTGTAACAATAAAAAAAAAATCTGAATTGTTTAAAAAATTTAACTATTTTTATTTCTACTTTTACTTTATTTAATGATAATTTTTTCTAAAACTTTAATTAATGACTTACTGTTGAATACATTTTTACGACATATATCTTTTATTTTACCATAAGCTCATTTAAATAACTATTACAAAATTTAAAAAAATAGTAATATATCAACTGTTTCCTTTAATTTATATAATCATATTCTTTATTTCTATATCTCCTTTTTCTTTACATTTTATTAAGATTTTGTTAATCTTAATGAATTTTTTCTAACCTTAAAACAATAGCTAAATTAAAAATATATAAACACTTCGTTAAAATTTAAAAGAAAAAGAGGAAGTATTTATTAAAGTGTGCATACTTATGATGGTTAATTCACTTAGAACTTGTAAAACGAGACAATTAACTACACTCCATTCTTTTTTATTATCTACAACGAAAACAGATTTAGCAACGAGTAGTTTGAGTACTCAAAGAAATACTACCTCCATTTTAACACATGAACAGTAAAAAAACTAACTTCGCAGTTCAATTAGTTTTTCTAATATTTTCATATTTTTCTAAATAGTTTTTATCATAATAATATATATATATATATATATATATATATATATATTAATAAATACATTAATATATAAGTAAAATATTAATAAATATTAATGTATTTTAAAAAAATAACTGAAAAAATAAAATACAAATTTATATTTACAAATAAAATAAAAAAAATGTTCTTTATTTTATAAATAAGAAAAAAATAATATTGCAAAATCAAAAATAACGTGCACATAATCCAACCTAGAAGAAGAACAGGTTGAGTTTAAAAAAATCACCAAAAAATAATATAGTTCAATACAATGTTTATTTGCGAGGTTGAGTGATAGGTGTTTCGAAATTTGACTCAATTTAATCTGGTGATTAAATATCTTTTTATGAACTGTTTTTTCAAAAAAAAAAAAAAATAATCATGTGCTAAGCTGAATTCGTACAATGTTGTATCTGTTTGTACATTTTTAATATAGCATTTATTGTTTGTTACAAATTTTCTTATTTCTTTTATTGACTTGTGATGTACTTATTAAGACTTAAAAGAGTGGCAGAGAGTGAAGTACTTATTAACACTATTTATTTTTCAAGTAAAACGCACATAGTTTCAGGAGACGTGAAAACTCATTAATTCTGGTATTATTATTATACACAATGAATAGTAACAATAAAAAACTCATTTACACAGTTCAAAACTTACGTGTTGAATAAAAAAACAAAAAAACTTTTGGACAACTTTAATTGCCAATTTATGAAAGGACGAACTTAACCTTATTAAATACAAAAGTTTGAAATGACAAATTTATCACTATTTTGAAAGGAATAAAGAAAAAAGAAAAAACTTAAAACAACTTCAACAACCTTTTGTTATATATTCCAGAGAGATATATATAACTATTTTTTTATACACCTTTTTAAGTACACATTTTTTAGATAAATTGCAGGTGTCCTTTAATAGGTACTCTTATAACGAAAATATTCAAATATTAAATTTTTAATTAATCAAATACCCAGTTTTAATAACACATATTATGTCAACTAAAAATAACACAAATTGTAATTAAAAATAAAAATGAAGATTACTTTTTTCTATGATAAAAATAAATCTAAAGGATTTTTAAATCAAGTTTAAACTATTTTTTTGTCGCAAAATTTTTTTTAGAGTGTAATAACAACGCAAGAAAAAATTACTGTAAGGTGAAAGAAAGAGGACGACACGGGTAATACTAGAAAATAAAAATAATTTAGAGATATTACGTTTTATTATTTTAACAAGGAAAAATATATTAGTTGTGAAAATATAATTTTTTTATTTGCTAGAAATAAAAAAGAAAAACATTTTAAAAGAAATTTTTAATAAAAATTATTTAAAAATAAAATTAAATAATTTATTATGAGATACTAATTAAATTATTTAACTTAATTAGAATTGTTCATTTAAATAATTTTTTTATTAATAAAATATTTTATTATAATTATTTTTATTTTTAACATAATAACACGCTTTATTTTATATTTTACTTTAAAAAAATGTGGATGGATGGAAGAATATATTATTAGAAGGAAATTGAATTGGAAAATGATGACAAATGAATTGATACAAAAATTGAATAGTAGATCCCATTGGCGTGTTGGAGGGCTCAAACACGGTTTTCTCGGGCCAGGTGGGTTTGACCATTGGTTGCCGAAAACCCACTTCCCCACACCACACCACACCCAGCCCATCTTCTTCTTTTTCTTTTCTTTTGTTTTTCTCTCAAACATTTTTACCAATTTACATATGTCCCCCCTACACTCTTTGCCAAGTGACACTTGTTCCTACCTTTTCCGCTTCCCTTTCTCCCAAAACCCCCTCCTCATAAATTATTTCTAATTTAATATTCTCTCCTTCACTCTTTCCTTCTTCCCGTTCTTTCCAACTTCCAAGCATTCATTTTTCGATGGAGGCCAGAGAGGAATTCGAAGTGGACCATCTCACCGCACCCATAGGGACCAGTTTCTCTCAGTTACTATTCGGAGATGACGATGACGATCATCATCATCATCATGCAACTGCATTGCCTCTCGCTCAGGACCATTACTCTTACAGTCACAACCACCTTTTCTCCTTTCACAAGCCTCCCAAAATGCTATGTTTTGGAGACCATCAAAACCAAGCCGACCTTTTGCTTCCTCAAACCAACGTCACCCCTCAGAAATCCGTCATCACTTCCAGTGACTCCTCTTCTGCTTCCTCCTCCAACTACACCAACTCCGCCTTCAATTCCTTACCCAAGTCTAATGTATGTCACAGTGTCGGTGCATATATGTATATTTTTTTTCTTGGTTAGTACAACTGGAGAATACTCATTCTAGTGTTGTAGGTATACTATTTTTTTTTTTCATTTTGTCTTTTGTTGAAGAGTTTGCAGAAAAAGCGGAATGGGTTGGGACAAGAAGCAGTGACAAAGGTAGGTGTTGGAGGCCAGAGACAAACTAAGAAGAACAAAGCAGAGAACCCCACCTCAACCGGACATGCAAAGGTGAGGAAAATCAACCATGGACTGTTTGCATGTCGTTTTATTCTCTGTCTTCACTTTGAACTGAAACATTCCGAAGTGACGGACACACGACCTGTCGTTTTCTAATAAAAAATGTTGTATGGTTTTTAAAATGGGAGATGTATGTTTTATGTTATTGTGTTATATCATAGTTTCATGTAGTTTGACGCATTATTTGGAATAGCAGAGGAAGGAGAAGCTTGGGGAACGAATTGCAGCGTTACAACAGCTTGTTTCTCCCTTCGGCAAGGTGAATGAGATGCGGGGTCTTTAAAATTGGAATTTTGTAAATTTATGCGATCAATAAATATTGAAAAGAAAAAATGTGGTTGATTGAATTGAGATTTTGAATGTTGATTGAAACTGCATGTGCAGACAGATACAGCATCAGTGCTTCACGAAGCCATGGGTTACATAAGATTTCTTCATGACCAAGTTCATGTCCTGTGCTCTCCTTACTTGCAAAGTTTACCTTCCTCACCCCACCAACATCAGCACGTGAGTCCCATTCCATCTTTCATCATTCTCACATTCCTCTTTCTTGTCCAAGGTTTTTAATTCAATTCATGTTTTTGTCTCCATCTTTGACATTCTGAGAAATTGTAGTAAATGCAACTGATGTCACAATTACAACCATTTTTGTCGCAATATTTGATATTGTGAAAATATTGTAGAATGCAGTCACAATTGTGATTGCAAAACCCTGATCTTGTGGATACAATAGCATGTTTTTTAAAAACCTTGATCATGAGTATGATTTATTTCTACTAAACAAAATCTACCACTAGCAAATGTGTGAGAGGGTGAGTAGCAGGTCCCGCTTGATGGGGACAACATACTGCACATTACCTTACTTGAAAATGCTGAGCCTGGTTTGTGGTCACTGAGCACAGTCAACACTGTGACACTTTGCCATTTAAGGTAACACTTGATGACCGAAGAGATTTGTTGTGTGTGCGTTATTTCAGGGGGACGGAGAAAACAATGAAGAGGAAGTCAGCAAGGACTTGAGAAGTAGGGGTCTGTGCTTGATCCCTGTGGGATGCACCGGACACGTGGGCAGCAGCAATGGTGCTGATTTTTGGTCACCTGGTGCAATAGGGAACAAGGTTTCACCATCAGCCAAGCAGTGAAAAGAAACGAAGATCAATGAATCCTTTTCAAAACTTGTAGCCTTTTGGGAAATGGGTTCCTATGTCTGCCCAAATTGGAGTTGTACTCAATATGACAGCTTATCTGGAGATGGATGGGTGAGGAGGTAAGCTGCAAGAAATGGCAAAAAGGGATAACAATTAACAAGAGTGGTTCAAAGTTCACACATGGGGTACAAATCAGAGGTCATGATTTTGTCCTTAATTATGTAACATCTGTTTTGGGAGTCCTTTTCTCAGGACAACTATATCTATATATTATCATTGTTCTATAGAAGGAAGGAAGCAAATATTTTATGTAGGATTTTGGGATGTGTGGCCTTGAACCCTGAACTAGGATTCTAGGATTCCTTATATTTTTATTTTATATTTTGTCTGTAAATTTCGGTAGGCGACGCAATCAATGAAGTTATATATTCCATATATGTTTAATGTACACAATAATCTAGTCTTTCGTAGTCTTACATAAATAATTAAATAACAGCATGTCCAGAATATTGAACTGTAAAAATGTGTCCATTGAAACGATGGTCTTAGGATATTTTATTGTTGGTGTCGTCACATGTGACGGGATTTGCTGTGGTTATTATTGTTTGGAGTGTTGTACAAAATAATGGTGGTGCAAGATGAGTAAATGTTGGTGCAGCATCCGAATCCGCGTGATATTATGGCACCATTTAAAACCAATTTGCTTCATCGGTATGAATGTGATATTGGAGTTATATAGCAATTTGCTTCCCACATTATTAAAAGGCCAAATCCCCATTTGTTATTTTTACATGTTTAGTTTGCTTCTTATCATTTAATGACTATCACGTTCTTTCTTGTTGTTAATAAGTAGTTAGCCTTTTTTTCTAGATTTTCTATTTTTATTATAGAATAAATAAACTATTATAATCAATACACGATTTTTTAATTACTATAATTTATCACAATTTGAAGTTTACAAATCAAATTTAAATCATGATTGGTTAATATTGCAACAGTTCTAAAATTAGAAACCGATAAAAACAAAAGAGTGGTAATTCGAGGAAATTGAAAGAAAGGTAATATATGAACTACACAGTTCTAAAAAGGGAAGAAGGGAAATAATAACAATATTAGGAATGTGAAAAAAACATGGAATTTCAAACATATTGCGTCTTTGAAGATGGAGCTGGTGTTGGAAGAAGAAGAGTGGAGAACATGAAAACAATTATTAATTTTTTGTAACTTTCGGGGAAATTAATTATAGCTCTGGTTTTGTTTATGAATCTTTGGAAATTTTTGTTTAAAACTAAGCATAAGCATGCTTGTTGGAGTCTGGTTTTTGACCTGGGTGCGCGTGTTTTTTGGGCTAGAAGAATTCGTTGTAAATATGGAAAAAGCGTGTTGACTTGTATAAAAATGCATTTCTAAAAGTTTTAATTAACTTTTTGTGGAGAATTCAAAATCATTAGGGTTTTTATATCTCTATGAGAGTGATGATAATCTGTGTGATGAAACAACAATTTACTAATCCTATTTTGGTTTACATAGACAAAATTTAGGAGCAATCTTTAAATATATTTTTTAATTATGGTATTATTATGAATTATACATGATTGAAAGTATTTTGTGAACAAGCCTTAAACAATTTAAAACAATTTCAGGGCCTTAAGAATGATACGGGCCTATGGCCCATTTTTATTTACATTACGAGACTAAGCCCATTTTTCATTTGATTATACTTTAACTCCATTTTTAAGTTAAGTCTTGATAAAAAAAATATAAACAATTAAAAAAAAGATAATATCATAATATATAATAAATATAATTCTCATTTATAAATAAATAATCTTCGTTAGTTTTATTTATTTAAAGCGAAATATTTATATTAAAACAAAAGCCACTTGGTATTTATGAATTACGGAAACAAAAGTTTCTTTTTTTTTTGCAGATTATATGAAATTTGGTAGATATTACTGAATGCACTAGGCACTGAGATTAGTCATACAAAAGGCAGAAGATTAATTGAATTGGTGAAATGCAGTGATGCTGGGACCAGAACTATAAATCTGGTCAAGTTCAAATTAAATGCACACACATGCTTGAAAAGTGGTTTTCTTGCTGAGATGTTTGTTGCAGTTTGCATTAATAACCATTCCTACACATTTCTCCTGCATGACATCAATTTGACCAGAAAATTTGATCCTGAGGAGTCTGCAGCTACTAATTCAATTTGGATTGGCCTTCTCTTAACCAATTCATTGAGTCCAAATGCAGATGTGAATACAGAATTGGCTTTAAAGAATTGTTTTGAATGTGATCATGTCAATATTGTCTGTGATGGTTGACTTCTGAACGTGTACGAATAAGAGCAATGTATTGACGAACATGGATTCAGAGTGTGAAGCCTAAAAAGACTGCTGAGATTTTCATCAATCTATCTAATTAAAAGCATGGTTTATATTTTATAATACAATTTAATTTTTAAGGCACATGGAAAACCATAGCCATGACCATCTCCCAATAATAGTCCACAGTCAATATTTTTTATGTACACCAAATGCAAAAATCTAATATATTTATTTTTGGAAATGCAAATGAAATTTTAAGTTTCATGTAAAATTGAAGAAGTTGAACAATATATTAAAAAAAAAATTCATGCTCCAATATTTTAAAATTTTTGATTGAAAGTAGTATTTATACGAATTAAACTCAAATCCATTTTAGTCTTTTTAATTAATTTTATTTTCCACAGCTTTTACTGAGTCATGTTTGAAGGATAAACTATTTTTTATCTTTAGTCTTATAACTAATTCAATGCGCTTCAAATATTAATAATAACCTTCAAATTCCGCTACCTATACCTGTGTCCCCACAAAATAATCAAGTAAGACACAAAAACATGCTTCGTTTTTTTTTTTTTTTTTTTTCAACCTACACACGCACACATACTTTCTATAAATATGACATTAATCTTGGTCCAGACCATGCCAATTCTAAGAGGGAAGTTAGGAGCTTAAAAAATGAAGGGTTACTCTCTTGAAGTGGCATTTAGAGCAAGTTTTTGGGTCATCTTCGTACTCTTCCTCTCATACTCCAACTATGTAGAGGCCACGAGACCTCTCCAAGATCAATATTCTTCACCTTCCTTCATTGCTTTATTCACCAATCGAGCTTATTCTGGACCTAGTCACAAAGGACGAGGTCATTGAACAAACTCTTCAATTATTTTCCTTTGTTTTTGTTTTTTCAACTTATCGTATGAAATATTGTACTGTTTTCTGGGTTTAAAAGCTGCCCCAAGTGTATATAGTTAATAAAGAAACTTTTCCTCCCTATTTATTATCCTCTGTTTAATATAGTTTTTTTCATTTCCTGTATCAATTGAAGGACCAATTTCTCTGGTAATTAAGAAAAGTCCTGAGATCAAAAGAATTAGTCGTTAATCAACACTTGTTTGTTTCAAGCTTGAGCAAATAGAGAGTTTTAGGTCTTTTATGTCACCATAACATTTTACCAAGTATGTACTTGATTTTATTAGCAACTATTTGCTATTAAAAATTGGCTAATTAAGCATGAATACTTTGATTTTTGTTTTATTTTTTTTAGTTAAAAAAAATGTAACCCAACTAGATTAATCCTAGAAGCTGGATGAGTTGACTTACTTTATTTTTTAAAAACATTATTGAAGAAAAATAACTAAAATGTCTAAATAGCTAAATGTAGAATATATCCACAGTAGCTAAATAAAAAAATGAGTTCAACGATAAACTAAATTTTAATCAAAATTAATTTATGGGTTAAATCAATCAAGTTAAAATAATTAAAATGTTTCGTATAAGAATAAAATATTTTGAACTCGTATCAATCATGATAATATATTTATGTTTGAAATATTATTTATTTTAAAATTTTTATTTATCATGATAAATTTTTTATCTATTACAATTTTATTCTTAAAAATTATAACGATACAAATTTTAAAATAAAAAATATCTTAAAATATAATACCATATAGAAAAAATAAATTACTGGTTAAACTCATTATCGATGGGATTAACTAGTGAGTTAACCATTTGTTCGGCCTCCAATAGTTTTTGTGATGTATAAAAAATATATCAATGTTCTATTGATGGGCCTCCTAATTGCCAATTGAGCCCACTAAAGGATTCGTTGTAGAGGGACCCTGTTATCCAATTCTTAATTAACTCGTTACTGGATCAATGAGCTTGAGCATGATTGGGACAATTTTTTCTGTTTCCTATATTTATTTAAAAAGATAATAATATCTTTATTAATTTTATTAAATTATTGATTTCAAAATATATTTAGTATTATTGATTTCAAAATATATTTTAAATATTATTTATAATTTTATTTTATTAATTAAAAATATAAGCAAGTTTTATTTTGGCCTCCTTCAAATAAGACGTTGGCTTTGTCTCTGATAATAGAAAATCAATTCAAAACAATTTCGAAAAAATAATTTTTTATATGTGAGAATTAAGTTTTGAATTAGGAAATTTATAATATAACTTCACTATTATGAAAAAGTAATTTTTATAATGTTTTTGAAAACATTCATCTGAAATAATTCCATGAAAAGTTCAATCTAAAATATTTTTAGAAAACTCTCAAAAAAACTTATGGAGAAAGGAATTCAAAACCGATTTTATAACGAAGATAATATTGTATTTTTGTATGAATATGGGGTGCAGGAAGCATCAGCATACCTTATATCTACGAATTTGGACTGGACCAATGCTCATTCGTATAACTTTTTTTTTTTTTTATTACTACTAATATATGAATGTTTTTCCAAGTACTGGATCAATGCCACTGTAATAAGGGAATTTTTTTCTTAAATAATACTCTTTTTAAAAATATTTTTCAAAATAGCTACACAACTAGTACTATTTACTGTTTACGTATTAAAATAATCGATTATTTTATATTATGATCGATTATTTCGCGCAATCAATTCTCGCTCAAGCGAAGAAACCCTTCGTTGAGCGAGGAAATCTGTAACAAAGGGGTAATCTCGGGTCAATTCTCGCTTAAGCGAAAAAACTCTTCGCTTGAGCAAGGAAATCTGTAACAAAGGGTAATCTTCAGTCAATTCTCGCTCAAGCGACGAGTATTTTCTTCGCTTGAGCAAGAAAATCTGTAACAAAGGGTAATCTTCGGTCAATTCTCGCTCAAGCGACGAGTATTTTTGCTTGAGCGAGAAGTGATTAAAATATGTGGTGACCAAAATTGTGATTATATAGAAGTTAAAAATAAACTTTTGAATAAACTAATAAAAAAGAGCTTTTATAAATTAGTTACTAGATTAGGTAGAATTAACTTATTCAGAAACTTATTCTATTTTTCTTTTCTTAGAAGTGTTTGGCAAACTATACAAACAGAATTCTAGTAGGTTTCTTTTCTTCTTTCCTTCTCAAATAAAATATAGATAGATAACAACCTTACTAGGTACAGTGGTTCCATATTTTGCTCCCAGGCATATCCCCAATCATTACGACTTCTCCATCCCCATACTCCAATTTTTTACCTCTTAGCGCAACCTTGTCACCAACAACAACAAACAAATATCAAATAAATTTGCACAGAATTCAATGATAGGGAAAAAAGCAGAGATAAATAAAACAAAAAAGGTGAGGATACACAGATATTAGCACAAAAAGAGCTTGCAGTATACATATCAATTTTATTAGTTTAATTTCACCAACCAACATTTTCCCCGTAATGCTACCCTAGAATCCTGTTACTGTATTTTTATTTTATTTTTCTTCATTGTAGGTAACTATTCGACACTGAACTAATCCATATGAATGACATTTTTTGTTATAGTTGCTCAGTCAAAATCTATAACTTTGTCTTTGTCCTTATGATTTTATACCAATAAATAGTATGCCTTTATGCCCAGTTTAAACATCATTTAGAAATTCTGCTCTTCCAAGTCAGAATGGATTAAATGTAATTAAGTGCTTATAAAACATCAAATAGACTGAGTGGAACTACCAATCCTGAAGTACAGTATTGTGGGATTTCAAAACTTCCTAATCACAATTAATATATCATGTATCAAACATTAAGAAATATACTCATCACTCTCTCAGGATAAGGTATCACTATTGAATTAAGGGAGAAATCAACTTTTTAACCACGGGTCCACGATCAAAGCAGTGTTTACAAGAGAAAAGTAAGAAAGAAAGAGAAGAACCAAGAACAAAAGTGATTTTCAGAATAGTATTGAAATCACAATTACAATTATTTTTACAAAATTCTTAGAAAGAATCCTTTTTCTTAAGGATCAAAATTGTCAGACAAAATTTCCATGTCGAATCTGCCAGCAAGGAACCGAGCAAGTAATTGGGTTCCTGACACCTTAGTATCCCCTTCATCTTCCGCCTCTTTATCGTATCATATTTTGGTTTGTCATCTCAGATTGATTGCCAGTTAATTGAATTGAGATATTCATACATTCTAGCTAATATAAAGAAGGGTTGATTGAATTTGTAGTATTAATTGAATTGGCAGATTCATACTTTCGTGCTAACGAAAAGGCTCGTTGTACGGATTTAGGTTGGAATATCTTTACCACCATTTCGATTTCTTTCTTTAATCCACCTAAAAAAATATTTAGTATATATTCTTCCGATATATTCGATAGATTCAATTTAGTAATAATTGAATTAAATTTTTCATAATATTCATCCACATATTTCTTTTGTCGTAAACATTTCAACTTTACCATAGGATCATCACTGCTCTCAGCTATTTTCTGCTTTATTTGTTTGAAAGAAATAGCAAACTCCATAAAAGTAGTATCCATCTTTTGAGATATACGTTCCTCTGCCTGAATAACCATTTGAGATATACAATTCTCTGCTTGAGAAACCATTTGAGATATAGGTTCCTCCATGTCTTTTAGTGTTTGAGTGATCGATTCTTGGACTATTTGTTTTTCTATATCTTTTATTGTCTGAGTAACCGATTCTTGTACTATTTGTTTTAAAGAAGTAGCAAGCTTCATACAATGAATATCCATCTTTTGAGTATGAATATCTATCTTTTGAGATATACTTTCCATGTCTTTTTTTGCCTGAGTTTCTTTTATTGACGGAGTCAAACGAGTTGCATCTACCATCTGAATTATTCACGAAGGACCGAATTGATTAAAGAAAAAGAGAAATCAGATGAAAGAAAAGAGAAAAAAAGAAAGAAAGAAAGAAGAGAATAATGAAAGAATAGAATTCATTATTAGAATAACATTGAGAGATATATACGCACCATTTTTCAATAAGAACGAAAGAATAAAATAGAATGTTAATAAGAACGAAAAAATAGAATAAAATGTTTAATGTGCACCGTTTATAGAGAAGAACCAAAGAATAGAATAACATAGAGATATATACGCACCGCTTGAAGCGATTACTTTATTTAAGTCACCTTCAATTTTTTTTAATAGATTATTATGAATAAATTTTAAAGGATAATTAATTTAAAAAGGATGTGAAAATAAAAATAATTTTTTTTTAAATTCTAATTAATTTCAACGTAAAAAAATAACTGAAACATCATTTATAAATTTTAAATTAATAAATACTATCTGATATAAATCAGATTAACAATGTTATCTTCCACCGTTAATGGTCAATGGTTTATAAAGAACGGTGAACCACAAGAAGGAAATGAAGTGGAAGATGCTGCATAACAGGAGGCTCCAGTTGAAACTAACATTGTTGAATTTGTTTCACCATTGGACAAGGAAAAAACCATTATAAATGATATTGGGAAGAATGATGATATTGCTACTCTGTTCAAACACTAACATTGATACTCAAATTGAAGAATTCCAGAACAAATCACTGACATGCAGTTCTTCCTCTTTCATGTTGGTTGTTATTATCCTGCGGCTTCTTTGCGGTGGGAAAGGCAGTGTCAAGGGCTTGGTCATTGGGCTCATATTGAACAAACGCCTTTAGGTTTTGGCTGGGCCTCTATTGGGTTTGGATTTTTTTTATGTGGACAATTTTCTCTCTTTTGCTGTCAGTTTTGCTGCAACGCCAACTATTATAACTAATTATCCAGCCTTACATGTGATTTTTATATTATATATATAGTCTGCTTATGAATATATCGGTTGAAGGAATTTTTTTTATCAATTAAAACAATATTTTTCTTACATCAATATTTTTTTTATTATATATAATAAATTATACTCTTTTTATTATATATAATAAACTTATAGTGTAATATTATAAAAATTTCATACTTTTTTTTAAAGTTTATTTAAAGACTTTTATGTTATTTTTTAACTCATTAGCATTTTTGTTGATCATAGAAAACACATAAAACTCAACTCCATAAACAAATAAAACCCTAATCTCCAAACCTTTCCACCGCTACCACCTTGCATGATTAGGTCCATGATTTTCCTGCCAAGCTGAGGAAGCATGTGCATTACAATAAAACTAATCACTAAACCAAAATATAATAGATTTTCTAAAATATATATAACTGAAAATAAAAAATAAAATAAATTACAGTCAAAATGATCATTTGCCCTATTTTCTTACAACCATAACAGAATATATCATATTTCAGTCTCTGAAATGTTGTATTTTCTCATCTATAATGAATTTAAAAACAAGTTTTTAAATATAAAAATTATATTCAAAAATATATTTTTTATTATAATTGTTTAATAATTTTTATAAACAAGTTTTTAAATATAAAAATTATATTCAAAAATATATTTTTTATTATAATTATTTAATAATTTTTATAAGAAAATACATTATTAAATGTCTAACGTTTTAACAATTATTCCTTTATAATCATTTAATATATCACATGACAATTATAAAAGAAGTCAAACTCCCTCTCCTCCTTTTCTTGCAATTCCTTCCTCAGATTTTCCATTTGGATGTCATTTTCCTCTGCTTTCAAATACAGAGCATCCCCTGTGAAACACATGGCAAAAACAAATCAAAACAACACACATTTGTTTCAAGCTGATTATGCAGTGAATGATTGAATTGAACCCAAAACATTGAACATTTAGAAGGGTAAGGTGATTTAATTGAACCCCACCACCACAATCCACTTTTCAAAGGACATTAATAGCATAAAAGCACAAGGCAAAATCACCATGAATTCATGTTCTACAAATCATAATTTGCTTAAACAAGTACACAAGTATAGAGAGAGACCATCACATGTTCTTTGAATGAGTTCATCAAGCTCTGTCTTGATTTCAAGATAAAGTTTCTTCCATTTCTCCACAGCTTCATCTCTCCTTGCTCTCTCCTCCTTCATCTGCTCAACCAAGAGCTTAGCCCCCATCAATTCCCACTCCTTCTCACTGTTCTTCTCCATCATTCCAACCTCCATCTCCCTTATCTTCTCATCCTTCTCTTCCACCAAACTCCTCAACTGCTTCACCTCCTCCCTCAGCCTCTTCCCCTCCTGCTTTCAATCTGCCTCCTTGAAAGTGAACACCATTATGTCAAAAAAATAATTTATACAAAAAAACACATGCTATCCTATGATTTTGGCCGAGTTAAATCATATACATATTGATCAAATTAATATATCTAAAAAACTAGTCATTCTAGCAAAATTTTTAAATTTTTGCATATAATATTGTTATTAAGATGATGATTATCAAGAATTCAACACAAAATAAGGAAAGTTGATGACACAATGATACCAAACAAACTGTTTACAACTACTTATTGCAATCAGGGATATTATAAGACACGGTGAATGACATGTAGTCATATAAATAATGGAAACTGTTGTACATTGTATTTATGACTAATATAAACAAGAGCCTATGCTGTGTAAATTAGCGCAATTCATCCTTTCTTTCATTCTTCTGTCTCTTTCTCAACAACTATTTCAGACTCTTGCAATCCCCAATTTCTCACAGACACCTTTGATCAACCCATGAAATAACTCTAAGAAAGAATATCAAGTTTGTGCAGAGCATAGCACTCACATACTCGACAATAAAACTGATTCTTCGAGATTTAGTAACTGATACTGGTTCAAACCACACAGGACACTCCATGTCGGCCGCAACTTAGGAATGTAGATATTTATACAATGAAAACAACAACTTCTGTAGTGAGTTTGCAACCCAGCAGAGAGATGGAAAAAGAGAATTAAATTAGCATGCAATGTACTTTTACAAGCAGCTTCAAGAGCATAATGGCTCAGATTTGCATCGACCATCAAAACTGGAGCAGAAAGTAAGGTGCTTTTGAAGTGTAAGATCCAGTCAGATGTAAGATACTATTATATTTTCTTTTTCCTTGCTTCAGTCTTTTATATAACTGTCATTACAAAAATAAGTTCCAAAATTCATCTTTTAGCTTGCTTAAGTTAGTATATCACTGGCCATGCTTGAATGGTCAACTTACAAGAGCCTCCACACTAGCAACACCAGCTGCTATCTCACCCTTAACATCAAATATATTGCATACAAATGGTTTTTCAATATCTTTATCCTTCCATATACCTACCTCAAATTCAATAATATACAATAAAAATCATTATTTTACATAGTTATGATAGATCTAATGAAAAAACCACGAAGAAAAAATAACTTACCTTCTGCAGATAGGCCAGCAGATTTCCACTGATTCAACAACAGGTTTCCTAGATGAAAATAAAAATAAAGAGAATAAAGGAAGAATTCTGTAAGTTTCTTCTCTATATTTATTCTCCAAATGTCACTTTCATCAAAGTATCTTCTGTACATACACAATATATATATATATATATATATATATATATAATGGTTACCCATTCATCGTTGTATTGTCCCTGATGATGGATATGTGATACAAAAATTAAAGTTATTAGATGTTTTAGTAACGCAATGATCAATTTTTATGTATTTAACTGGTTAATAAAGTGTAGAAAGTCTAATACTGTACTCAAGATCTAAGTAATTAAAGGTAGTCTAAAAATAAGTGTTACGCATTGGACATCATAAATTAAACAACCAAGGGATCCAGTCAAATATAGAAAACTACTGGAGTTGATAATAGGAGTTGAGATGCACTATTGATCAGATTAATTAAGTATTACAGGTAAAAGCAAACTGTATCTATTTTATAGAAGGGCATCGTCTATTTGTAAGATGGATTTCATGATCTTTAGTAGATTTCCACCCAAGAACCCTTTTCAATCCAATACAATTTCCTCTCATTTCTAGGATTGCGCAGATTCTTCAAAAATTTATTTTATATCATTTTTTTGTTAAAAAACAATACTACTTTTGTACTTTAGTTTAAGTATGACAAAAACACATCTCCAAATTTTTATAAATAAATCAGAAAAATGTCTCCACTATGAACAACCAACAAATTTAATAAAAACCAGTTGAAGTTTCCATAAGGGGTGCCTCTTGACCACAATAAATGCTCAAATATATTAAAAAAAAGAAAAAAGAAAACAGCATTGCAAGAAAATGCTTTGTGATGTAAGAATTTACCAGCCATGTCAAACCCAATAGCCCTAATCATGAATGGCTTTGATCCTAGTTTTGACATGCACTCTGCTACATTCCTAGCCACACCTCCTTGGACATAATAGACTTGAATATTTTCCGGTATAAGAAGATAGGTACAAATATTATAGAAAAACAACACTTAAGAAATTTCAATCAGGGGTGATTGTCACAACAGTAAAAGAATGCTTATTCTTGTCACACCATTAACAAGATTGAGTTAACCAATGCCTGTTGGTCTAATAGCAAGAACTTCGGGCTTGTTGTTTACTGTTTAAAAACAGTTGATAGGTTTGTTTTCACTAGTGGTTGCACTACATCACTTATTTTCGGTATCATAAAATTGTTAAAGTCATTCTCTAGCTTTTATCATTACTCTTTGTCACAACATGTCATCCTCTTCAATCCAAAACAGTTTAAAAAATAGAGTTATCAAATAATTATGTTTTTCCAATTAATTCTCAAAAGCAGTTCTTCAAAATTGATTTCTAAAACTATTTTGAGAAACCAAAAAGAAAAATTAAATCTACCTCTCATTTTAATTTCCCATCATCTTCACTTAATGTAATCAACTTGAGACTTATATTGACTATTTACAAATGAATGGGTTGTATATAGTTCTCTTAAGCACCTCGATATTTCAACTTTATATTTATAGATGCATCATAGTAACTAAGCAAATATAAACCACAGTCCCAGAAAAGTAAGAAAAAATACATAATAATACACATACATATATATATATATATATATATATATATATATATATATATATATATATATATATATATATATATTTGAATTAACTTATTAAAATAACCACTTACAAGTACAGAAAATAAGAAGGAAAAAATGAAGAAAGTTTCTCTGAGATAAAATTAACTAACTTATGCAGAAGTTAAAAATAAACTTTTGAATAAGCTAATCAAAAAGAGCTTCTATAAATTAGTTACTACATTAAGTAGAATTAACTTATTCAGAAACTTATTCTATTTTTCTTTTCTTATAAGTGTTTAGGAAACTATACAAACAGAACCCTAATAGGTTTCTTTTCTTCTTTCCTTCTCAGATAAAATATAGATAGAATATAGATAAATAACAACCTTACCAGCGATAGTGGTTCCAGATTTTGCTCATAATGAAGGTGTAGCATGAATGTCCAACACCATACCTCCAATTATTACGACTTCTCCATTCCCATACTCCAATTTTTTTACCTCTTAGTGCAACCTTGTCACCACCACCAACAACAACAAACAAATATCAAATAAATTTGCACAGAATCCATAGAGAAAAAAGCAGAGATAAATAAAACAAAAATGACATCAAAAAGAAAGATTAGGGTACACAAATATTAGCACAAAAAGAGCTTCAAATTTAATTTCACGAACCAACATTTTTTTTTGTTAGAGTTGCTCAGTTGAAACCTATAACTTTGTGTTTGTCCTTATGATTCTATAATAGAATAAACAGTATGCCTTTTTGCCCAGTTCAGGCATCATTTAGAAAATCTGCTCTTCTAAGTCAGAATGGGTTAAATGTAATTAACTGCTTATAAAACATCCAATAGACTGAGTGAAACTACCAATCCTCAAGTACAGTAGTGTGGGATTTCAAAACTGTCTCTGAAATAATAAAAGATTCCTCCTAATCACAATTAATGTATCATGTATCAAACATTAAGAAATATACCTCTCTCAGGATAAGGCATCATTATTGAATTACGAGAAAAATCAAAATTTTAATCACGGATCCACAATCAAAGCAGTGTTTATAAGAGAAAAGCAAGGAAGAAAGAGAAGAACCAAGAACCCGAAGTGATTATCAGAATAGCATTGAAATCACAATTACAATTATTTTTACAAAATTCCTAAAAAGAATCCTTGTCCTCAAGGATTAAAATTGTTAGAGAAATTTTTCACGTCTACTCAGCCAGCAAGTAATTGGGTTTCTCAATCCCAGACACCTCAGTATCCAGTATCCCCTTCATCTTTCACCTCTTTCTTGTGGGTCAAATCATGTGTTACAAACTAAGATGATCAAATACTCACTATAACAGATTTAGGAATTAATTGTAAGAAAACATGCGGGAAAGAAAGGTAATAGAAAAGAATATAAATGCAACAGGAAGAATGGTCCTTCACTGCTACCCACAGAGCTACGCTCCAATAGAGACAAATATTCCCTACCCACTGATTTCTTACTCCTTTTTCCTCCCCTCACACTACATGACACTCCTCCCTAAATAACCGAGTTTCTCCCATCCCTCCTAACAACTTACTCTTCTAATAATTTCTCTTTCCTCGAGCAAGAAGAGTCACATTCCCTTTTTACCCTTTCTAGAATACACATACCACACTTTGGGTCCATGACATACCACACATCCTCCAAGTAGCGTCTTTCTTTTTAACCAGAATTATTGGGCTCGAAAACGGGCTCTGACTTGGTCTGTTGATACCCATGCTCAACATTTCTCTGACCTGTTTTTCTATCTCATCCTTGTGATGATGTGGATATCTATACGGACGCACGTTAATTGGTCTCTCTCCTTCACGTAACACTATCATATGCTCTTTACTCCTTGTCGGGGGCACTCCTTGTGGTTCTTGGAATACCACTTCATAGCATCTTCAATGACATTTCCAGAAGCAAACTTTAGATCCGTGGACATCAACATGCCCCCCATCCATGTACGCCTCCCAGTAAACAGGCTCTAAAACGCAGTTTGGGATTCTTGGTCCTCTCCCTTCAAATTCACCCACACTCCGTTTCTCACTACCCTCATGGTTTTCTTACCCCAATCAATAACCATCTCTCCCATGGTAGACAGCCAAGACATGCCCAAAACCACATCGATATCCCCTAACTCGAACAAGTGGGCATCGATAGTTACTTTGAGCCCTCCGAACTCCATTTCCACAGCCTCGCATTTTCCCCGAGCTACCGTTTTACTCCCATCTCCCAGCTTTATACTCATCCCCCTTGTGTCAACAGTCTTCCACCCCATTGCTTAAGTTAATTTCCTCGATATGAAATTGTGCGTGGCTCCGGTGTCCACCAATACTAACACTGGGACTCCTTGAATGGTTGCTCTTAGTTTCAGAGTTTGGAACTGCTGGCCTTCCTTAGTTTCCAAACTTCCCAAATCAATCACACTACACTCTCCATCAACCATCTCCTCTTCCTCAACTTCAAAGGTGTTTTGGGTAGGTTCATCATCTATCTCTTCCTCTTCGTCTAACACCATCACGCGCAACTGGCGATCTGGGCATTGATGCATTGGGTGGAATTTACCTCCACACTTGAAACATAGTCCCTTTTTTCTTCGTTCTGTGATCTGCTGAAAAGATAAGTGTCTGACTCCTCTGTCACCCCGTGATCCACTACTACGAGGGCTAGATCCACTTTCCCCTTCTACATTCTTGTTGAACCTAAATTGTTGAGCTGGCCCAAATCCCCCTCCTCTCATTAGATTTCCTTCTTCAAATTGCTCTCTTCCTCCACGAAACTGGGCCCAACCTGTTCCTCTAACTCCTTTATTTTGCAAACCTAAATTGGGCCTGTTTGAGTGAAATGACCCATTTCCTACCTCCTTGCGAGTCACTCTTCCCCAACCTGGGCGGATCCCTTGAAACTCTGCTTCCACTGCTCTTGCCACGTTCAACATTTTGGATCTGGATATGGGTCCTAGGGCCCTCAGTGAACGGATCCTTCCTCGAATATTCTCTTTCAAACCATGTACAAAGTACCCGAAGTACTGGTCATCTGGTAGTCTCTTCACCTGAGCAGTCAACCTCTCAAATTGTTCAATATACTCGTCCACGCTTCTCACTTGTTGCAGTGACGCTAACTGTTCGAACACGTCACCCTCCCCTAGCCCACCATATCTATCCATTAACTCACGTTTCAATTGTTCCCAAGTCATCTCCTCATCCTCATCAAGCAATGAATTGAAGAAATGGATAGTAGACCCCTCCATACAGAGCTGAGCCAAGCTCACCTGAGCCTCTGGAAGAATGTCTTGCACCCGGAAATAGATTTCGACGCGTGAGATCCACCCCGCCGGATCCTCACCGTCGAACATGGGTAACTCGACCTTCTTCACGCATTGTCGGAATTCCTCTAACACCTCTCCCTTCAAATGCCTTAGTGACCCTGGTGGTGTTGATTTCTTCTTCTCCCCATATTCATGTTCCTCTTGGTGGTGGTGGTTGCTGCAGTCACCCCCTCCCTCTGCATTGTTAGTCGTTGGCGATTGCTGACCGCCCTTTACCAAAGTCTGAAAGAGCTTCTCAAATTGTTCCTCCATCTTCCGCTGTGACTCCACCATCGCCTCCTTAAGTGTGCCAACCTCGTACTCCATATTAGTAAGTCTTGCCTCCATCTCGTCGTTCTTCACTCCTTTCTTCTTTGGTGACATTCACTCTAACAACACCTCGCTAATTCTCCCTCCCCACAAGTCGAATCCGGCAGGTCGGACCAATTTGTTACAAACTAAGATGATCAAATGCTCAGTATAACAGATTTAGGAATTAATTGTAAGAAAACATGCGGGAAAGAAAGGTAATAGAAAAGAATATAAATGCAACAGGAAGAATGATCCTTCACTGCTACCCACAGAGCTACGCTCCAATAGAGACAAATATTCCCTACCCACTGATTTCTTACTCCTTTTTCCTCCCCTCACACTACATGACACTCCTCCCTAAATAACCGAATTTCTCCCATCCCTCCTAACAACTTACTCTTCTAATAATTTCTCTTTCCTCGACCAAGAAGAGTCACATTCCTTTTTTACCCTTTCTAGAATACACATACCACACTTTGGGTCCATGACTTAGTTGATTTATCATGCCTCTTTCTTGTGGATCAAATCATGTGTCGAGATTGCAGCACCCAAAACTTCCCTTTGAAAAGGGTTGATTGAATAGCCAGATTCATACATTCGTGCTAATCTAAAGGCAAATTCTACAGATTTTGGTTGGAAAGTCCATACAATAATTTTGATTTCTTTTTTTAATCCACCCAAAAAAAGACTTACTCTGTATTCTTCAGATATATTTGATAGATCCAATCTACTAATAATGGAATCAAATTTTTCATAATATTCCTGCACAGATTTCTCCTCCTGCCATAAACGCGGCAATTCTGCCACAAGATCGTCAATGCTCTCGGATATTTTCTGCATACTCAATTCTTGCATAATTTGTTTGAAAGAAAAAAAAACCCCATAAAACTATCATCCATCTTTTTATATATATGTTTCTCTGTCTGAGTAACCATTTGAAATATAAGTTCCTCCATCTTTTTTATTGCTCGAGGAACCAATTCTTGCACTATACGTTCCTCCATATCTTTTATGGCCCCAGGAACCAATTCTTGCGCTATACGTTCCTCTATCTCTTTTCCTGCCTGAGTAACCATATCTTTTATAGCCCCAGGAACTAATTCTTGCCCTATACATTCCTCTATCTCTTTTCCTGCCTGAGTAACCATATCTTTCATGGTCCCAGGAACCAATTCTTGCCCTATACGTTCCTCTATCTCTTTTCCTGCCTGAGTAATCATATCTTTTATGGCCCCAGTAACCCATCCTTGTCCTATAAGTTCCTCTATCTCTTTTCCTACCTGAGTAGAAGATTCTTGCATTATTTGTTCTTTCATGTCTTTTACTTCCTCACTAACCAATTTTTGCACTATTCATCTTAGAGAATTAGTAAACTACATATATCGATCATCCATCAGTTTAGACACACGTTCCTCTATATCTTTTTCCATGTCTTTTATCGCTCGCCTCAGTCTTTGTTCCTCGATATTTTTCATGTCTTTTATCGCTCGCTTGAGTCACTTTTATCGCCAGAGTCGAACGGAAACGGCTAGTCTCTGCAATAAGAGATCGAATGATACCAATAAGAGAAAAAAAGGAAGAACGAAAGAATATAATGCATTATCAGAATAGCGAACTGAGATAGCAAAGAAAACTTACATGATTGGGCCTTAACGAGGAAATGAAAGGACAAGGAAATGAAAGGGTTTTGAGCAGAAATGAAAGGGTTTTAGCTAAAGAAGAAAAGGTAGAAAGAAATCTAACTTAGATTTTCTTAATCTTTCCCGTAAGAGAGTCACAGAGAGGAAATTGCTGATGCCCCTATTATATGTTTACTTTTAAGAGCGATTAAAGTGGAACCGCTATCATATATGTGTCACTTTTAATGGCGGTTCCACGTTAATCACTATCTAAAATGTACTTTTAATAGTGGTTAGTTCTAAAACCACTATCTAATGTGTTTTCCGCTTAAGCGGAGTTTCTTCGCTTGATTATGTAGCTCCTTGTCACGCCCTTGTTTCTCGAACTTGGTTGCGTGCGGCCTTAGCCTCTCGAGCACCCTTCGCAACTAGCTAAGTCAGCCTCACCTCACTCGGGATCGTGCTCGGTGTGTGCAAGTGTTTTGGCTAGAGAAAGTAGGAAAGGAAATTTAAGAGAACTTAAAAGGAAAATGCTTGTATTACTAGAGTACAAAAAAGCTCTCAAATGTTTGGATGGATTGCAAATGAGGGGGCCTCCTCTATTTATAGGCACACCTCCTCTAAGGAACTCTCTAGATCCTACAAGGGTCTTGGTCTTTCTAGACCCTTCTACAAAAGTCTCCATCTATCTTCACATGTCCTAGAACCTTTTACATTACTCAAGATGATTCTTGCCCTTTCTACAAGTCTCTACAAGGTTCTAGGATGTTCTTGTCCCTACTACAAATATCTACATAATTCTGGAGCCTTCTAGAAGCTTCCAATCAAGTCTAAGCCTTTCTAAAGGCTTCCATATACCAATAACTAGGCTTAGTGCGAAAAAAAGGCGGGCAAGACTTGTTCTTGCTCGTGTGCGTGCAGGGAGTGATGCGGGGCGTTACATTCTCCTCCACCTATTGTGGCGTCGTCCTCGTCGCCTCATAATCTTCAAAGATGTCACGAAATTGTCATAGGTCCTCTTTGAATTCCCATGATGCTTCGGACACTGGGAACCCCTTCCACTTGATTAAATACCGCTTCTTTGGTGATACCCCTTGTCTCCTTACAATGTCTGATGTGAGCACCTCATCTACTTCCTTGTCGAAAGACTTGGTTGTAAGGGGCGGTGCTCTCCGTGATTGCCCTCGGCTTGGGTCTTCCACATCCCTCTTGTAAGGCTTTAACATGCTCACGTGGAAGACATGATGGATTTTGAGTGTTGGTGGGAGATTGACCCGGTAAGCAACATTCCCTATCTTCTTGATCACCAGGAACGGTCCCTCATATCTTCGTACTAGTCCCTTGTGCAAGCTCCGAAAGGTCTTGAATTGTTGAGGCAATAGCTTCACAAAGACTAGGTCGCCTTGGGAGAACTCTCGCGGATGCCTCTTTGCATCGGCCCATTTCTTCATTCTTTTACGGGCCCTCTCCAAGTATGAGCGTGCTAAGTCGTCTTGTTCCTCCCAAGTTGTGAACATCTTTTCTGTCCCGGGACTCTTCCCATCCTTTGTAGGTAGGGCAATTGTGTGAGGAGTCAATGGTTGTCGTCCCGTGACCACCTCAAATGGGTTTCGCCCAGTTGATTCACTCCTCTGCAAGTTGTAGGAAAATTGGGCCACCTCAAGCAGCTTGGCCCAGTCCCTTTGGTTAGCGCTTACAAAGTGCCATAGATAACACTGTAGTAGCGCGTTTACCCTTTCGATTTGTCCGTCGGTCTGGGGGTGGAAGCTTGTTGAGAAGTTAAGCTCGGTACCTAGGAGCTTGAAAAGTTTCGTCCAAAGTCGCCCAATGAAACGTGGATCCCTATCACTCTTTGGGTCCATGACTTAGTTTATCTATCATGCCTCTTTCTTGTGGATCAAATCATGTGTCGAGATTGCAGCACCCAAAACTTCCCTTTGAAAAGGGTTGATTGAATAGCCAGATTCATACATTCGTGCTAATCTAAAGGAAAATTCTACAGATTTCGGTTGGAAAGTCCTTACAATAATTTTGATTTCTTTTTTTAATCCACCCAAAAAAAGACTTACTATGTATTCTTCCGATATATTCGATAGATCTAATCTACTAATAATGGAATCAAATTTTTCATAATATTCCTGCACAGATTTCTTCTCCTGCCATAAACGCGGTAATTCTGCCACATGATCGTCAATGCTCTCGGATATTTTCTGCATATTCAATTCTTGCATAATTTGTTTGAAAGAAAAAACAAACCCCATAAAACTATCATCCATCTTTTTATATATATGTTTCTCTGTCTGAGTAACCATTTGAAATATAAGTTCCTCCATCTTTTTTATTGCTCGAGGAACCAATTCTTGCACTATACGTTCCTCCATATCTTTTATGGCCCCAGGAACCAATTCTTGCGCTATACGTTCCTCTATCTCTTTTCCTGCCGGAGTAACCATATCTTTTATAGCCCCATGAACTAATTCTTACCCTATACGTTCCTCTATCTCTTTTCTTGCCTGAGTAACCATATCTTTAATGGTCCCAGGAACCAATTCTTGCCCTATACGTTCCTCTATATCTTTTCCTGCCTGAGTAATCATATCTTTTATGGCCCCAGTAACCCATCCTTGCCCTATACGTTCCTCTATCTCTTTTCCTGCCTGAGTAGAAGATTCTTGCATTATTTGTTCCTTCATGTCTTTTACTTCCTCACTAACCAATTTTTGCACTATTCCTCTTAGAGAATTAGTAAACTCCATATATCGATCATCCATCAGTTTAGACACATGTTCCTCTATATCTTTTTCCATGTCTTTTATCGCTCGCCTGAGTCTCTGTTCCTCGATATTTTCCATGTCTTTTATCGCTCGCCTGAGTCTCTTTTATCGCCGGAGTCGAACGGGAACGGCTAGTCTCTGCAATAAGAGATCGAATGATACCAATAAGAGAAAAAAAGGAAGAACGAAAGAATAGAATGCATTATCAGAATAGCGAACTGAGATAGCAAAGAAAACTTACATGATTGGGCCTTAACCAGGAAATGAAAGGACAAGGAAATGAAAGGGTTTTGAGCAGAAATGAAAGGGTTTTAGCTAAAGAAGAAAAGGTAGAAAGAAATCTAACTTAGATTTTCTTAATCTTTCCCGTAAGAGAGTCACAGAGAGGAAATTGCTGATGCCCCTATTATATGTGGAACCGCTATTATATGTTTACTTTTAAGAGCGGTTAAAGTGGAACCGCTATCATATATGTGTCACTTTTAATGGCGGTTCCACGTTAATCACTATCTAAAATGTACTTTTAATAGCGGTTAGTTCTAAAACCGCTATCTAATGTGTTTTCCGCTTAAGCGGAGTTTCTTCGCTTGATTATGCAGCTCGTTGTCACGCCCTTGTTTCTCGAACTTGGTTGCGTGCGGCCTTAGCCTCTCGTGCGCCCTTCGCAACTAGCTAAGTAGCCTCACCTCACTTGGGATCGTGCTCGGTGTGTGCAAGTGCTTTGGCTAGAGAAAGTAGGAAAGGAAATTTAAGAGAACTTGAAAGGAAAATGCTTGTATTACTAGAGTACAAGAAAGCTCTCAAATGCTTGGATGAATTGCAAATGAGGGGGCCTCCTCTATTTATAGGCACCACCTCCTCTAAGGAACTCTCTAGATCCTACAAGGGTCTTGGTCTTTCTAGACCCTTCTACAAAAGTCTCCATCTATCTTCACATGTCCTAGAACCTTTTACATTACTCAAGATGATTCTTGCCCTTTCTACAAGTCTCTACAAGGTTCTAGGATGTTCTTGTCCCTACTACAAATATCTACATAATTCTGGAGCCTTCTAGAAGCTTCCAATCAAGTCTAAGCCTTTCTAAAGGCTTCCATATACCAATAACTAGGCTTAGTGCGAAAAAAAGGCGGGCAAGACTTGTTCTTGCTCGTGTGCGTGCAGGGAGTGATGCGGGGCGTTACATTCTCCTCCACCTATTGTGGCGTCGTCCTCGTCGCCTCATAATCTTCAAAGATGTCACGAAATTGTCATAGGTCCTCTTCGAATTCCCATGATGCTTCGGACACTGGGAACCCCTTCCACTTGATTAAATACCGCTTCTTTGGTGATACCCCTCGTCTCCTTACAATGTCTGATGTGAGCACCTCATCTACTTCCTTGTCGAAAGACTTGGTTGTAAGGGGCGATGCTCTCCGTGATTGCCCTCGGCTTGGGTCTTCCACATCCTTCTTGTAAGGCTTTAACATGCTCACGTGGAAGACATGATGGATTTTGAGTGTTGGTGGGAGATTGACCCGGTAAGCAACATTCCCTATCTTCTTGATCACCAGGAACGGTCCCTCATATCTTCGTACTAGTCCCTTGTGTAAGCTCCGAAAGGTCTTGAATTGTTGAGGCAATAGCTTCACAAAGACTAGGTCGCCTTGGGAGAACTCTCGCGGATGCCTCTTTGCATCGGCCCATTTCTTCATTCTTTTACGGGCCCTCTCCAAGTATGAGCGTGCTAAGTCGTCTTGTTCCTCCCAAGTTGTGAACATCTTTTCTGTCCCGGACTCTTCCCATCCTTTGTAGGTAGGGCAATTGTGTGAGGAGTCAATGGTTGTCGTCCCGTGACCACCTCAAATGGGTTTCGCCCAGTCGATTCACTCCTCTCGCAAGTTGTAGGAAAATTGGGCCACCTCAGCAGCTTGGCCCGGTCCCTTTGGTTAGCGCTTACAAAGTGCCATAGATAACACTCTAGTAGCACGTTTACCCTTTCGGTTTGTCCGTCTGGTCCGGGGGTGGAAACTTGTTGAGAAGTTAAGCTCGGTACCTAGGAGCTTGAAAAGTTCCGTCCAAAGTCGCCCAATGAAACGTGGATCCCTATCACTCTTTGGGTCCATGACTTAGTTGATCTATCATGCCTCTTTCTTGTGGATCAAATCATGTGTCGAGATTGCAACACCCAAAACTTCCCTTTGAAAAGGGTTGATTGAATAGCCAGATTCATACATTCGTGCTAATCTAAAGGCAAATTCTACAGATTTCGGTTGGAAAGTCCTTACAATAATTTTGATTTCTTTTTTTAATCCACCCAAAAAAAGACTTACTATGTATTCTTCCGATATATTCGATAGATCCAATCTACCAATAATGGAATCAAATTTTTCATAATATTCCTGCACAGATTTCTCCTCCTGCCATAAACGCGGTAATTCTGCCACATGATCGTCAATGCTCTCGGATATTTTCTGCATATTCAATTCTTGCATAATTTGTTTGAAAGAAAAAACAAACCCCATAAAACTATCATCCATCTTTTTATATATATGTTTCTCTGTCTGAGTAACCATTTGAAATATAAGTTCCTCCATCTTTTTTATTGCTCGAGGAACCAATTCTTGCACTATACGTTCCTCCATATCTTTTATGGCCCCAGGAACCAATTCTTGCGCTATACGTTCCTCTATCTCTTTTCCTGTCGGAGTAACCATATCTTTTATAGCCCCATGAACTAATTCTTACCCTATACGTTCCTCTATCTCTTTTCCTGCCTGAGTAACCATATCTTTAATGGTCCCAGGAACCAATTCTTGCCCTATACGTTCCTCTATGTCTTTTCCTGCCTGAGTAATCATATCTTTTATGGCCCCAGTAACCCATCCTTGCCCTATACGTTCCTCTATCTCTTTTCCTGCCTGAGTAGAAGATTCTTGCATTATTTGTTCCTTCATGTCTTTTACTTCCTCACTAACCAATTTTTGCACTATTCCTCTTAGAGAATTAGTAAACTCCATATATCGATCATCCATCAGTTTAGACACATGTTCCTCTATATCTTTTTCCATGTCTTTTATCGCTCGCCTGAGTCTCTGTTCCTCGATATTTTCCATGTCTTTTATCGCTCGCCTGAGTCTCTTTTATCGCCGGAGTCGAACGGGAACGGCTAGTCTCTGCAATAAGAGATCGAATGATACCAATAAGAGAAAAAAAGGAAGAACGAAAGAATAGAATGCATTATCAGAATAGCGAACTGAGATAGCAAAGAAAACTTACATGATTGGGCCTTAACCAGGAAATGAAAGGACAAGGAAATGAAAGGGTTTTGAGCAGAAATGAAAGGGTTTTAGCTAAAGAAGAAAAGGTAGAAAGAAATCTAACTTAGATTTTCTTAATCTTTCCCGTAAGAGAGTCACAGAGAGGAAATTGCTGATGCCCGTATTATATGTGGAACCGCTATTATATGTTTACTTTTAAGAGCGGTTAAAGTGGAACCGCTATCATATATGTGTCACTTTTAATGGCGGTTCCACGTTAATCACTATCTAAAATGTACTTTTAATAGCGGTTAGTTCTAAAACCGCTATCTAATGTGTTTTCCGCTTAAGCGGAGTTTCTTCGCTTGATTATGCAGCTCGTTGTCACGCCCTTGTTTCTCGAACTTGGTTGCGTGCGGCCTTAGCCTCTCGTGCGCCCTTCGCAACTAGCTAAGTAGCCTCACCTCACTTGGGATCGTGCTCGGTGTGTGCAAGTGCTTTGGCTAGAGAAAGTAGGAAAGGAAATTTAAGAGAACTTGAAAGGAAAATGCTTGTATTACTAGAGTACAAGAAAGCTCTCAAATGCTTGGATGAATTGCAAATGAGGGGGCCTCCTCTATTTATAGGCACCACCTCCTCTAAGGAACTCTCTAGATCCTACAAGGGTCTTGGTCTTTCTAGACCCTTCTACAAAAGTCTCCATCTATCTTCACATGTCCTAGAACCTTTTACATTACTCAAGATGATTCTTGCCCTTTCTACAAGTCTCTACAAGGTTCTAGGATGTTCTTGTCCCTACTACAAATATCTACATAATTCTGGAGCCTTCTAGAAGCTTCCAGTCAAGTCTAGGCCTTTCTAAAGGCTTCCATATACCAATAACTAGGCTTAGTGCGAAAAAAAGGCGGGCAAGACTTGTTCTTGCTCGTGTGCGTGCAGGGAGTGATGCGGGGCGTTACATTCTCCTCCACCTATTGTGGCGTCGTCCTCGTCGCCTCATAATCTTCAAAGATGTCACGAAATTGTCATAGGTCCTCTTCGAATTCCCATGATGCTTCGGACACTGGGAACCCCTTCCACTTGATTAAATACCGCTTCTTTGGTGATACCCCTCGTCTCCTTACAATGTCTGATGTGAGCACCTCATCTACTTCCTTGTCGAAAGACTTGGTTGTAAGGGGCGATGCTCTCCGTGATTGCCCTCGGCTTGGGTCTTCCACATCCTTCTTGTAAGGCTTTAACATGCTCACGTGGAAGACATGATGGATTTTGAGTGTTGGTGGGAGATTGACCCGGTAAGCAACATTCCCTATCTTCTTGATCACCAGGAACGGTCCCTCATATCTTCGTACTAGTCCCTTGTGTAAGCTCCGAAAGGTCTTGAATTGTTGAGGCAATAGCTTCACAAAGACTAGGTCGCCTTGGGAGAACTCTCGCGGATGCCTCTTTGCATCGGCCCATTTCTTCATTCTTTTACGGGCCCTCTCCAAGTATGAGCGTGCTAAGTCGTCTTGTTCCTCCCAAGTTGTGAACATCTTTTCTGTCCCGGGACTCTTCCCATCCTTTGTAGGTAGGGCAATTGTGTGAGGAGTCAATGGTTGTCGTCCCGTGACCACCTCAAATGGGTTTCGCCCAGTCGATTCACTCCTCTGCAAGTTGTAGGAAAATTGGGCCACCTCAAGCAGCTTGGCCCAGTCCCTTTGGTTAGCGCTTACAAAGTGCCATAGATAACACTCTAGTAGCACGTTTACCCTTTCGGTTTGTCCGTCGGTCTGGGGGTGGAAGCTTGTTGAGAAGTTAAGCTCGGTACCTAGGAGCTTGAAAAGTTTCGTCCAAAGTCGCCCAATGAAACGTGGATCCCTATCACTCTTTGGGTCCATGACTTAGTTGATCTATCATGCCTCTTTCTTGTGGATCAAATCATGTGTCGAGATTGCAACACCCAAAACTTCCCTTTGAAAAGGGTTGATTGAATAGCCGATTCATACATTCGTGCTAATCTAAAGGCAAATTCTACAGATTTCGGTTGGAAAGTCCTTACAATAATTTTGATTTCTTTTTTTAATCCACCTAAAAAAAGACTTACTATGTATTCTTCCGATATATTCGATAGATCCAATCTACTAATAATGGAATCAAATTTTTCATAATATTCCTGCACAGATTTCTCCTCCTGCCATAAACGCGGTAATTCTGCCACATGATCGTCAATGCTCTCGGATATTTTCTGCATATTCAATTCTTGCATAATTTGTTTGAAAGAAAAAACAAACCCCATAAAACTATCATCCATCTTTTTATATATATGTTTCTCTGTCTGAGTAACCATTTGAAATATAAGTTCCTCCATCTTTTTTATTGCTCGAGGAACCAATTCTTGCACTATACGTTCCTCCATATCTTTTATGGCCCCAGGAACCAATTCTTGCGCTATACGTTCCTCTATCTCTTTTCCTGCCGGAGTAACCATATCTTTTATAGCCCCATGAACTAATTCTTACCCTATACGTTCCTCTATCTCTTTTCCTGCTCGAGTAACCATATCTTTAATGGTCCCGGGAACCAATTCTTGCCCTATACGTTCCTCTATGTCTTTTCCCGCCTGAGTAATCATATCTTTTATGGCCCCAGTAACCCATCCTTGCCCTATACGTTCCTCTATCTCTTTTCCTGCCTGAGTAGAAGATTCTTGCATTATTTGTTCCTTCATGTCTTTTACTTCCTCACTAACCAATTTTTGCACTATTCCTCTTAGAGAATTAGTAAACTCCATATATCGATCATCCATCAGTTTAGACACATGTTCCTCTATATCTTTTTCCATGTCTTTTATCGCTCGCCTGAGTCTCTGTTCCTCGATATTTTCCATGTCTTTTATCGCTCGCTCTGAGTCTCTTTTATCGCCGGAGTCGAACGGGAACGGCTAGTCTCCGCAATAAGAGATCGAATGATACCAATAAGAGAAAAAAGGAAGAACGAAAGAATAGAATGCATTATCGAATAGCGAACCGAGATAGCAAAGAAAACTTACATGATTGGGCCTTAACCAGGAAATGAAAGGACAAGGAAATGAAAGGGTTTTGAGCAGAAATGAAAGGGTTTTAGCTAAAGAAGAAAAGGTAGAAAGAAATCTAACTTAGATTTTCTTAATCTTTCCCGTAAGAGAGTCACAGAGAGGAAATTGCTGATGCCCCTATTATATGTGGAACCGCTATTATATGTTTACTTTTAAGAGCGGTTAAAGTGGAACCGCTATCATATATGTGTCACTTTTAATGGCGGTTCCACGTTAATCACTATCTAAAATGTACTTTTAATAGCGGTTAGTTCTAAAACCGCTATCTAATGTGTTTTCCGCTTAAGCGGAGTTTCTTCGCTTGATTATGCAGCTCGTTGTCACGCCCTTGTTTCTCGAACTTGGTTGCGTGCGGCCTTAGCCTCTCGTGCGCCCTTCGCAACTAGCTAAGTAGCCTCACCTCACTTGGGATCGTGCTCGGTGTGTGCAAGTGCTTTGGCTAGAGAAAGTAGGAAAGGAAATTTAAGAGAACTTGAAAGAAAAATGCTTGTATTACTAGAGTACAAGAAAGCTCTCAAATGCTTGGATGAATTGCAAATGAGGGGGCCTCCTCTATTTATAGGCACCACCTCCTCTAAGGAACTCTCTAGATCCTACAAGGGTCTTGGTCTTTCTAGACCCTTCTACAAAAGTCTCCATCTATCTTCACATGTCCTAGAACCTTTTACATTACTCAAGATGATTCTTGCCCTTTCTACAAGTCTCTACAAGGTTCTAGGATGTTCTTGTCCCTACTACAAATATCTACATAATTCTGGAGCCTTCTAGAAGCTTCCAGTCAAGTCTAGGCCTTTCTAAAGGCTTCCATATACCAATAACTAGGCTTAGTGCGAAAAAAAGGCGGGCAAGACTCGTTCTTGCTCGTGTGCGTGCAGGGAGTGATGCGGGGCGTTACATTCTCCCCCACCTATTGTGGCGTCGTCCTCGTCGCCTCATAATCTTCAAGGATGTCACGAAATTGTCATAGGTCCTCTTCGAATTCCCATGATGGTTCGTACACTGGGAACCCCTTCCACTTGATTAAGTATCGCTTCTTTGGTGATACCCCTCGTCTGCTTACAATGTCTGATGTGAGCACCTCATCTACTTCCTTGTCGAAAGACTTGGTTGTAAGGGGCGGTGCTCTCCGTGATTGCTCTCGGCTTGGGTCTTTCACATCCTTCTTGTAAGGCTTTAACATGCTCACGTGGAAGACTGGATGAATTTTGAGTGTTGGTGGGAGATTGACCCGGTAAGCAACATTCCCTATCTTCTTGATCACCGGGAACGGTCCCTCATATCTTCGTACTAGTCCCTTGTGCAAGCTTCGAAAGGTCTTGAATTGTTGAGGCAATAGCTTCACAAAGACTAGGTCGCCTTGGGAGAACTCTCGCGGATGCCTCTTTGCATCGGCCCATTTCTTCATTCTTTTACGGGCCCTCTCCAAGTATGAGCGTGCTAAGTCGTCTTGTTCCTCCCAAGTTGTGAACATCTTTTCTGTCCCGGGACTCTTCCCATCCTTTGTAGGTAGGGCAATTGTGTGAGGAGTCAATGGTTGTCGTCCCGTGACCACCTCAAATGGGTTTCGCCCAGTCGATTCACTCCTCTGCAAGTTGTAGGAAAATTGGGCCACCTCAAGCAGCTTGGCCCAGTCCCTTTGGTTAGCGCTTACAAAGTGCCATAGATAACACTCTAGTAGCACGTTTACCCTTTCGGTTTGTCCGTCGGTCTGGGGGTGGAAGCTTGTTGAGAAGTTAAGCTCGGTACCTAGGAGCTTGAAAAGTTCCGTCCAAAGTCGCCCAATGAAACGTGGATCCCTATCACTCTTTGGGTCCATGACTTAGTTGATCTATCATGCCTCTTTCTTGTGGATCAAATCATGTGTCGAGATTGCAACACCCAAAACTTCCCTTTGAAAAGGGTTGATTGAATAGCCAGATTCATACATTCGTGCTAATCTAAAGGCAAATTCTACAGATTTCGGTTGGAAAGTCCTTACAATAATTTTGATTTCTTTTTTTAATCCACCAAAAAAAAGACTTACTATGTATTCTTCCGATATATTCGATAGATCCAATCTACTAATAATGGAATCAAATTTTTCATAATATTCCTACACAGATTTCGCCTCCTGCCATAAACGCGGTAATTCTGCCACAGGATCGTCAATGCTCTCGGATATTTTCTGCATATTCAATTCTTGCATAATTTATTTGAAAGAAAAAACAAACCCCATAAAACTATCATCCATCTTTTTATATATATGTTTCTCTGTCTGAGTAACCATTTGAAATATAAGTTCCTCCATCTTTTTTATTGCTCGAGGAACCAATTCTTGCACTATACGTTCTTCCATATCTTTTATGGCCCCAGGAAGCAATTCTTGCGTTATACGTTCCTCTATCTCTTTTCCTGCCTGAGTAACCATATCTTTTATAGTCCCATGAACTAATTCTTGCCCTATACGTTCCCCTATCTCTTTTCCTGCCTGAGTAACCATATCTTTAATGGTCCCAGGAACTAATTCTTGCCCTATACGTTCCTCTATGTCTTTTCCTGCCTGAGTAATCATATCTTTTATGGGTCCAGTAACCCATCATTACCCTATACGTTCCTCTATCTCTTTTCCTGCCTGAGTAGAAGATTCTTGCATTATTTGTTCCTTCATGTCTTTTACTTCCTCACTAACAAATTTTTGCATTATTCCTCTTAGAGAATTAGTAAACTCCATATATCGATCATCCATCAGTTTAGACACATGTTCCTCTATATCTTTTTCCATGTCTTTTATCGCTCGCCTGAGTCTCTGTTCCTCGATATTTTCCATGTCTTTTATCGCTCGCTTCGAGTCTCTTTTATCGCGGAGTCGAACGGGAACGACTAGTCTCTGCAATAAGAGATCGAATGATACCAATAAGAGAAAAAAAGGAAGAACGAAAGAATAGAATGCATTATCAGAATAGCGAACTGAGATAGCAAAGAAAACTTACATGATTGGGCCTTAACGAGGAAATGAAAGGACAAGGAAATGAAAGGGTTTTGAGCAGAAATGAAAGGGTTTTAGCTAAAGAAGAAAAGGTAGAAAGAAATCTAACTTAGATTTTCTTAATCTTTCCCGTAAGAGAGTCACAGAGAGGAAATTGCTGATGCCCGTATTATATGTGGAACCGCTATTATATGTTTACTTTTAAGAGCGGTTAAAGTGGAACCGCTATCATATATGTGTCACTTTTAATGGCGGTTTCACGTTAATCACTATCTAAAATGTACTTTTAATAGCGGTTAGTTCTAAAACCGCTATCTAATGTGTTTTCCGCTTAAGCGGAGTTTCTTCGCTTGATTATGCAGCTCGTTGTCACGCCCTTGTTTCTCGAACTTGGTTGCGTGCGGCCTTAGCCTCTCGTGCGCCCTTCGCAACTAGCTAAGTAGCCTCACCTCACTTGGGATCGTGCTCGGTGTGTGCAAGTGCTTTGGCTAGAGAAAGTAGGAAAGGAAATTTAAGAGAACTTGAAAGGAAAATGCTTGTATTACTAGAGTACAAGAAAGCTCTCAAATGCTTGGATGGATTGCAAATGAGGGGGCCTCCTCTATTTATAGGCACCACCTCCTCTAAGGAACTCTCTAGATCCTACAAGGGTCTTGGTCTTTCTAGACCCTTCTACAAAAGTCTTCATCTATCTTCACATGTCCTAGAACCTTTTACATTACTCAAGATGATTCTTGCCCTTTCTACAAGTCTCTACAAGGTTCTAGGATGTTCTTGTCCCTACTACAAATATCTACATAATTCTGGAGCCTTCTAGAAGCTTCCAGTCAAGTCTAGGCCTTTCTAAAGGCTTCCATATACCAATAACTAGGCTTAGTGCGAAAAAAAGGCGGGCAAGACTCGTTCTTGCTCGTGTGCGTGCAGGGAGTGATGCGGGGCGTTACATTCTCCCCCACCTATTGTGGCGTCGTCCTCGCCGCCTCATAATCTTCAAGGATGTCACGAAATTGCCATAGGTCCTCTTCGAATTCCCATGATGGTTCGTACACTGGGAACCCCTTCCACTTGATTAAGTACCGCTTCTTTGGTGATACCCCTCGTCTCCTTACAATGTCTGATGTGAGCACCTCATCTACTTCCTTGTCGAAAGACTTGGTTGTAAGGGGCGGTGCTCTCCGTGATTGCCCTCGGCTTGGGTCTTTCACATCCTTCTTGTAAGGCTTTAACATGCTCACGTGGAAGACTGGATGAATTTTGAGTGTTGGTGGGAGATTGACCCGGTAAGCAACATTCTCTATCTTCTTGATCATCGGGAACGGTCCCTCATATCTTCGTACTAGTCCCTTGTGCAAGCTCCGAAAGGTCTTGAATTGTTGAGGCAATAGCTTCACAAAGACTAGGTCGCCTTGGGAGAACTCTCGCGGATGCCTCTTTGTATCAGCCCATTTCTTCATTCTTTTACGGACCCTCTCCAAGTATGAGCGTGCTAAGTCGGCTTGTTCCTCCCAAGTTGTGATCATCTTTTCTGTCCCGGGACTCTTCCCATCCTTTGTAGATAGGGCAATTGTGTGAGGAGTCAATGGTTGTCGTCCCGTGACCACCTCAAATGGGCTTCGCCCAGTCGATTCACTCCTCTGCAAGTTGTAGGAAAATTGGGCCACATCAAGCAGCTTGGCCCAGTCCCTTTGGTTAGCGCTTACAAAGTGCCATAGATAGCACTCTAGTAGCGCATTTACCCTTTCGGTTTGCCCGTCGGTCTGGGGGTGGAAGCTTGTTGAGAAGTTAAGCTCGGTACCTAGGAGTTTGAAAAGTTCCGTCCAAAGTCGCCCAATGAAACGTGGATCCCTATCACTCTTTGGGTCCATGACTTAGTTGATCTATCATGCCTCTTTCTTGTGGATCAAATCATGTGTTGAGATTGCAGCACCCAAAACTTCCCTTTGAAAAGGGTTGATTGAATAGTCAGATTCATACATTCGTGCTAATCTAAAGGCAAATTCTACAGATTTTGGTTGGAAAGTCCTTACAATAATTTTGATTTCTTTTTTTAATCCACCAAAAAAAAGGACTTACTATGTATTCTTCTGATATATTCGATAGATCCAATATACTAATAATGGAATCAAATTTTTCATAATATTCCTGCACAGATTTCGCCTCCTGCCATAAACGCGGTAATTCTGCCACAGGATCGTCAATGCTCTCGGATATTTTCTGCATATTCAATTCTTGCATAATTTTTTTGAAAGAAAAAACAAACCCCATAAAACTATCATCCATCTTTTTATATATATGTTTCTCTGTCTGAGTAACCATTTGAAATATAAGTTCCTCCATCTTTTTTATTGCTCGAGGAACCAATTCTTGCACTATACGTTCCTCCATATCTTTTATGGCCCCAGGAACCAATTCTTGCGCTATACGTTCCTCTATCTCTTTTCCTGCCGGAGTAACCATATCTTTTATAGCCCCATGAACTAATTCTTACCCTATACGTTCCTCTATCTCTTTTCCTGCCTGAGTAACCATATCTTTAATGGTCCCAGGAACCAATTCTTGCCCTATACGTTCCTCTATGTCTTTTCCTGCCTGAGTAATCATATCTTTTATGGCCCCAGTAACCCATCCTTGCCCTATACGTTCCTCTATCTCTTTTCCTGCCTGAGTAGAAGATTCTTGCATTATTTGTTCCTTCATGTCTTTTACTTCCTCACTAACCAATTTTTGCACTATTCCTCTTAGAGAATTAGTAAACTCCATATATCGATCATCCATCAGCTTTAGACACATGTTCCTCTATATCTTTTTCCATGTCTTTTATCGCTCGCTCGAGTCTCTGTTCCTCGATATTTTCCATGTCTTTTATCGCTCGCTCGAGTCTCTTTTATCGCCGGAGTCGAACGGGAACGGCTAGTCTCTCGCAATAAGAGATCGAATGATACCAATAAGAGAAAAAAGGAAGAACGAAAGAATAGAATGCATTATCGAATAGCGAACCGAGATAGCAAATAAAACTTACATGATTGGGCCTTAACGAGGAAATGAAAGGACAAGGAAATGAAAGGGTTTTGAGCGAGAAATGAAAGGGTTTTAGCTAAAGAAGAAAAGGTAGAAAGAAATCTAACTTAGATTTTCTTAATCTTTCCCGTAAGAGAGTCACGCAGAGGAAATTGCCGATGCCCGTATTATATGTGGAACCGCTATTATATGTTTACTTTTAAGAGCGGTTAAAGTGGAACCGCTATCATATATGTGTCACTTTTAATGGCGGTTCCACGTTAATCACTATCTAAAATGTACTTTTAATAGCGGTTAGTTCTAAAACCGCTATCTAATGTGTTTTCCGCTTAAGCGGAGTTTCTTCGCTTGATTATGCAGCTCGTTGTCACGCCCTTGTTTCTCGAACTTGGTTGCGTGCGGCCTTAGCCTCTCGTGCGCCCTTCGCAACTAGCTAAGTAGCCTCACCTCACTTGGGATCGTGCTCGGTGTGTGCAAGTGCTTTGGCTAGAGAAAGTAGGAATGGAAATTTAAGAGAACTTGAAAGGAAAATGCTTGTATTACTAGAGTACAAGAAAGCTCTCAAATGCTTGGATGGATTGCAAATGAGGGGGCCTCCTCTATTTATAGGCACCACCTCCTCTAAGGAACTCTCTAGATCCTACAAGGGTCTTGGTCTTTCTAGACCCTTCTACAAAAGTCTCCATCTATCTTCACATGTCCTAGAACCTTTTACATTACTCAAGATGATTCTTGCCCTTTCTACAAGTCTCTACAAGGTTCTAGGATGTTCTTGTCCCTACTACAAATATCTACATAATTCTGGAGCCTTCTAGAAGCTTCCAGTCAACTCTAGGCCTTTCTAAAGGCTTCCATATACCAATAACTAGGCTTAGTGCGAAAAAAAGGCGGGCAAGACTCGTTCTTGCTTGTGTGCGTGCAAGGAGTGATGCGGGGCGTTACATTCTCCCCCACCTATTGTGGCGTCGTCCTCGTCGCCTCATAATCTTCAAGGATGTCACGAAATTGCCATAGGTCCTCTTCGAATTCCCATGATGGTTCGTACACTGGGAACCCCTTCCACTTGATTAAGTACCGCTTCTTTGGTGATACCCCTCGTCTCCTTACAATGTCTGATGTGAGCAACTCATCTACTTCCTTGTCGAAAGACTTGGTTGTAAGGGGAGGTGCTCTCCGTGATTGCCCTCGGCTTGGGTCTTTCACATCCTTCTTGTAAGGCTTTAACATGCTCACGTGGAAGACTGGATGAATTTTGAGTGTTGGTGGGAGATTGACCCGGTAAGCAACATTCCCTATCTTCTTGATCACCGGGAACGGTCCCTCATATCTTCGTACTAGTCCCTTGTGCAAGCTCCGAAAGGTCTTGAATTGTTGAGGCAATAGCTTCACAAAGACTAGGTCGCCTTGGGAGAACTCTCGCGGATGCCTCTTTGTATCAGCCCATTTCTTCATTCTTTTATGGGCCCTCTCCAAGTATGAGCGTGCTAAGTCGGCTTGTTCCTCCCAAGTTGTGATCATCTTTTCTGTCCCGGGACTCTTCCCATCCTTTGTAGATAGGGCAATTGTGTGAGGAGTCAATGGTTGTCGTCCCGTGACCACCTTAAATGGGCTTCGCCCAGTCGATTCACTCCTCTGCAAGTTGTAGGAAAATTGGGTCACATCAAGCAGCTTGGCCCAGTCCCTTTGGTTAGCGCTTACAAAGTGCCATAGATAGCACTCTAGTAGCGCATTTACCCTTTCGGTTTGCCCGTCGGTCTGGGGGTGGAAGCTTGTTGAGAAGTTAAGCTCGGTACCTAGGAGTTTGAAAAGTTCCGTCCAAAGTCGCCCAATGAAACGTGGATCCCTATCACTCTTTGGGTCCATGACTTAGTTGATCTATCATGCCTCTTTCTTGTGGATCAAATCATGTGTCGAGATTGCAGACACCCAAAACTTGCCTTTGAAACTATAAAATAATCGATTATTTTAATACGTGAACAGTAAAAAGTGCTAGTTGTGTAAATAATGTTCCAGATGTGCTATTTTGGAAAATATTTTTAAAAATAATATTATTTATGAAAAAAGTTATCTTTTTGGTTATTTTATTTTTTTTATCATTGAAATTTTTTTCTAACAATTAAAGAAAAATAATCATTAATATTATATATAATATAACTAGTGTACCTCCATCTCTTGGTTATTTTATTTTTTTATCTTTGAAAAAAATTTCTAATCATTAATATTATATATAAATTATATGTTTCTATATTTAAATTATACAGACAAATCAAAATTACTGAAATAGTACTATAAAAATAAGGTTAAATTTTAAAAAAATTAATTTAAAAACACATTCTGAAAATACATTTTTGAGAATGCACTTTCTATAATGCATTTCTGGAACACACTTTCTAAAAAATCAATTTCAGAAAGCACATTCTATAATATATTTTTTGAAGAAATTTCCAGATTTCTCACTCTATGTTTCTAGTAAAAAAAATTATTATCTGAATACTGTACATATAAAATTTGATAAAAAAAGTTTTTTTTTAATTTTTGGAATTATAGGAGATAAACGAATAAAAATATTGTAATGAATGAGACTTAAAAACCAGTCATTGAATAAAACAAAAAATAAATAAAAATGAAAAATGAAGATAAATATAAGGATAAAATAAGATTTAAGTTAATTATGGGATTATAAGAAGAAATTATGAGGTGCAAGCCTTTTAATAATTTATATTTGTATAACTTCGTGTGGGCTTTATGATCTCTAACAACTTTAATGTTCAACTTTTGGGGTTATCTTTAGTTGGTTGAATTAAAATTTTAGAAGAAGATTATTCCTCTCACCTAAAAGAAAATTGGAAAATCTGGGTTAATTTACTTTGAACAACAAGGTTGGGCTCCCTAATTTTGATGGATTAGATTAGGAGATTTTAACTAATCACCCATGCTTCTCTCATTCAAAGGTAAATTGATGACCATCAAGATAACTGAATCTGTACGATTTTTTATATTTTTATTTTTAAACATATATTATATAATTAAAAAAGTATCAACAAAACGTATTAGGTCACATTGCAATAAGGATTATTTTATTTAACAACTATTATATTGAAATAAAAATCAGTGTATTAATATGTGAAGTAATGTCAATTTAGTAATTAAAATAATAAAAAATGTGATTTAATATGTGAAGAACTTGCTATTGTGTTTGTGGGTGAAGTGGTGCGCCAATTAAAGTTGAATGCAAACAATGATTATTATGTACATAGCAAATGGCCATTTAAAAAATGAACTGAAGTGGTGGAAAACAATGAAACCAAATTGCTATTAGTTCTAAGGATGGATGACACACTATAAAGTAAAAAAATTCTTTCTTGTTCAATGTGAACCTAGTGCGCTCTACTCGCTCATGCACTAAGTGGTGGAGGGAAGAATAAATCATCGTTTAATTCTTTCTTGTTCCACAAACATATATTTTTATCTGTTTATTGTTGAAAAATACCACGTCAAATACAACTTTCTTATCTCAAGTTTTAAGGTTTAAAATTTTGAAAACTTATCACTAAAAAACCATCCCAAATTTTAGTGCCGAGTGATGCACAGTGCCTAACAAGTTTGGCCAAGTCTTTGCCTCTTGATCATTTCTAGAAAAATTGACTTGACCGCATGACGACACCGCCATTTGTCTGAAAATTCAAAATTGGGTTACGTACAGAAACATCCTTGCAATAAAAAAAGTAAATATTAATGGCATGGAAGTAAGGGACCATTTATGTTCTATATAAAGCAAGCACCAAACTCAATCCTTATGCAGCGATAAACCATAAACTTATTCGCCAAACCAAAAGCTCAAAGCGCAACCATGATCAAACATGCTATTTGTTTCTTAGTATTCTTGTATGCACTGCATGCGACACATGCAGTGGATTACAGTGTCACTAACAACGCAATCACAACTTCTGGTGGTGTGGCTTTCCGTGACAAAATTGGAGCAGACTACGCCAAGCGAACACTTGAATCTGCCACCCAATTCATATGGAGTGTCTTTAAGCAGAGCAACCCTGCTGACAGAAAAAACGTGCAGAAGGTAAGTTTGTTCGTGGATGACATGGATGGAGTTGCATATACTAGCAACGATCAGATCCATTTGAGTGCAAGATATGTTGGAAGCTATCAAGGGGATGTGAAAACAGAGATTTCGGGGGTGCTCTATCATGAAATGGTCCACGTTTGGCAGTGGAATGGAAATGGTGGTGCTCCTGGGGGATTGATTGAAGGTATAGCAGACTATGTGAGGCTGAAGGCAAACTATGCACCTAGCCACTGGGTAAAACCGGGGCAAGGTCAGAAATGGGACCAGGGTTATGATGTCACTGCTCGTTTTTTGGACTACTGTGATAGTCTCAAAAGTGGGTTTGTGGCACAATTGAACAAGTTGTTGAGGAGTGGTTACAGTGATCAATACTTTGTTCAGTTACTGGGAAAGCCAGTGAATCAACTATGGACAGACTATAAGGCCAAGTATGGCAACATTGCCTAAGAGGGGTAGCTAAGCACTTTTAAATTGAAACAATAACTGAGCTTTTCAATATGATTGTATCAGCTCTAAGATTCTGCTATTACATGTTAGTTTCTGGTGGAATGGAAAGTTTTATTTTAAGTAGAACAAGTTTGACTTTTGAACCATAAGCATATACAAATTAGAAAATGATTTAACAGAAAAAAATGTTAATTCTCAGTTCAGTCTTTTCAAATAATTTATTATGTTGTGAGTGATGAGATGAGAGAGGTAGATGGAAACAAAGTCGGCCTTCAATTCCATCTAACTTCAAGTAGTCATAAGATCAACCGTCCGGTCACATTCTTATCATAAGAGGTGTTTTCTTGACCAAAGACCCATTTACGTGGTACACCTAGTTATCACAATTTCAAAAAATCAGGAGGAGTTAGGGATTGTATATAATTCCCATTCCCATACTGTTGTTACCAGTCTCCCAATTTTATATTTAAATCTACGTTTTAAAATATTAATATTTTTAAAAATATTTTATTTTCATTTTTAATTATATATTTTCTATATTATTCTTTCTATTTTTCTTTTATTCATTTTTCACTTTTTTTTAATCTCTTAAATCAACCTTTCATTTTTTTTAAATCTCTTCAATCAATTAATTATTTTTTTTAATTTCTTCAATCAATTTAATAAATACAAAAATATTATATTATATTTTTATCCTTTTTTTAATATTTTTTAATAATAACTAATTTTATTTTATTTTTATTATATTTTATTATGTCATATTTTTTGAATTTTGTTATTTTTATTTATCATATATTAAATTTTATCTTAATAAAATAATTATATTTTAAAATATTTAAAAGAATTAATAATTAATAATTTTATTATTTTAAACAAATAAAATAAGAATTACCTTATTAAATATTTTTTATAAATTATATATTTCATATTTATAAATATTTTAAAATATAACTTAAAAAATAATTAATTTAGATATAATTAAATGTTGAAATGTAATAATAATAATATTAAAAATGTTATAAATATTCTTTATTTGTATAAAAAATTATTTATTTTATATATATACATATATATATATATATATATTAATATAAATATAATAAATTAAAGTATATATTTAATAAATAATAATTAAAAATTATAATATTATAAATATTAATTTATGCATATATAATTATTTTAAAAATATATATTTTTATAAATATTTTTTAATTTTATTTATAATAAGTATCATTATATATTTATTATTTTACACAATTGCTACTTATATTTTTCTTTCTTCTATTTTCATATTTTTATTTTTTTTGTCACATTTTAATTTTCCCACTTTAACATTTTCTACACTCACTTTTTTTTCACATTTTTATTTTTTCCTTTGGTTTTCAATTTTTTCTTCTCTATAGTTTAATCTTTATAACATAAAAATTGTATTTGTTTTCTCTAATTTTTTCTTTTCTATTTACATTCAAAATATAAGGTAAAAAAAATCTTAACATAAAGAAACAGAAATAAATTTATTTTTGTTATTGTTTTTATTTATTATTATAATAAATTAATAATATGTGTATTGTAATATAAAAATATAAAATATTGATATAATTGATTTTATTTTGAATAAATTAGTTAGTTATTTTAATATTTTATTTTGTATGATAAAATTTGAAAAAAAAATCATGTTTAATTTTTAAAAGATGTCTAAAAAAATTATACACTTATTTTAAGAAAAAAGATACATTAAATGATAAAATAAATTATTTTTAAAATTTAATTACTAATATTAATACGTTTGGATATTTTATATAATATATTTATTTTAAATAATAAATAATTTTTTATATATTAACTCGTGGTCTAAAGTTTCTGGGTCGCTAATAGTGATTATTCGGGGCACAAGTTATTGTGACAAATGCTACACCAACACTCAACCTCCTAAATCCAAATATCACACATTCACATTCCAAATGGCATCTATAATTCCCAAATCAACCGTCTTCATCATATTATATTTCACCAACATTTCTTCAATCATGACTCTGTAAATGTTACATGTTACCAATAATTTACATATTAATTTTACTTTAGTAATGTATGGACTCAAATTAAATGAGATAATTAGATATTAAGTGAAATTTATAGTTATATTTTTATGCATATATATATATAAATCTGGACACAAAAGTTTAAATTTTCTGTATGATAATGTAGTTATTTGGTCTTTCGTCAATTGGAAAATTATTTGCAGTGAAAAAACAAAAGGTAATGTATAGACTATGTCGCCTCTCTGACCCTTCTTCCTGGAATTATCGGAGTTGGTCAAATGAAACCCCAATTGCCGGGAACTTTCAAAATGTTGTCACTGAAACAAACGAACATTAAAAACAAACAATGTAGATGACGTGGAAGGACCAATTTTTCCTACCCTTTTTATTATATAAAGCACCCAACACTATGCTTTCGCAATGGAAAAGCAAATACGTGATTTTGTGACAGGAAAAAACAATTTAAAAGACAAATGGGAACTTTTAAAAGAAGTATCCACTTTTTTAACAAATTTTGCAAATGAGAAAAATAGGTTTTTTATTATTTTTCGACTATTTCTCGTAGATATTTTCCGTCTTTGACCCTTCTCACTACGTTGGACTAGGTCACACGACACGACACTCCAATTACCTGAAAGATTCGAATTGTGGTTAAGGAAACAAAGACACATTTAAAACAACGTCAATGGTGTGGAACGACCGCTAGGTTCCGTTTACGATATGTAAAGCACCCAACACTACACTTTTGTTTCAAAGAGAAACCAAAAGTCTCTCTAGAGCAACCATGACGATGCATGTCCTCTGCTTCTTAGTGTTGCTAGCTGCAATTCAAGGAACACAAGCAGTTGAATACACTTTCACGAACAACGCCCTTTCAACCCCTGGTGGCGTGCGTTTCCGTGACGCAATAGGGGAAGAATACGCCAAGCAAACACTTGACTCCGCCACCCAATTCATATGGGGGGTCTTCCAGCAAAACAATCCTGCTGATAGAAAAAATGTGGAGAAGGTAAGCTTGTTCGTGGATGACACTAATGATGGTGTTGCTGCATATACTATACCTAGCAACGGTGAGATTCATGTTACTGCAAAATATGTTAATGATTATAACGGGGACGTGAAAACTGAGATCACAGGGGTGCTATACCATGAAATGGTCCACGTTTGGCAGTGGAATGGGAATGGTGCGGCTCCTGTGGGATTGACTGAAGGTATAGCAGACTATGTAAGGCTGAAGGCAAACTATGCACCTAGCCACTGGAGAAAACCAGGAGAAGGACAGAAATGGGACCAGGGTTATGATGTTACCGCTTATTTTCTTGATTATTGTGGCAGTCTCCGAAGTGGGTTTGTGGCACAATTGAACCAGCAGATGAGGAGTGGTTACAGTGATCAACTCTTTGTTCAGTTGCTGGGTAAGACAGTTGATCAGCTATGGCAAGAGTACAAGGCTAAGTATGGGAATATACCCTAGCTCAATGGTTAAGTGCTTCCTCATTTCAAAATAAGCAACTGTGTCGCAATCTCTTTCTAGGTTTCTATTACTTCTAAATATTCTGCAGAAATGGATGTTCTACCTATGTTTCCCATTTTTAAACCATCTATGTACTCAAAAATTTAAAATGTCTCTTCATACAAGTTAAAGAAATAGATCTTCACTGGACATCATTATGATCCATCCACTTGGTCGTGTTTCTAATTGATATGTTAAATTTATTCAATAGTTTATAAGACTGGTAACGGAAATCTTTTCTTTAAACCATTCATTTGATAACTCTATATATTAATATAATAATTATGAATGGATAGAAAATAATTCAAATTAATATAATATTATTAAATGTGTATAATTAATAGTTTTTTTAAAAGAAAGTTGTTAATCAATTTTTTCTCAAAGAAAGAGAATGTGCTACTGTTTAGCTTTTTTTTTTATTTCACTGATATTTATAAAACAAAAACTGAGAAAATAAAATAAATTGAGATTTTTCTATGTATAAAGTCAATTTATATATCTCAACTTTTACAAAAATTATATAACAAAACTTTATAAGAGTTAAATATACGTAAGTCAATATCATTGAGAGAGAAAAAACTGTGACTTAAGGACGTGTAAACGTGGTTTGCAAGACAACTTTCCACACGTTAACGTTGAAAAACAAACAACAAATTTACGTAGCGTTAATGATAGATAATCAATACACCTAAACATCATATCAACATCATAGAAAATAATATAATAATAAATAATATTATTATATTATATTAAGATATCTTTTTTTTTTCGAAAAATCGAGATAAAATTTCACTAATAAATAATATTCGCCTAAAATTATTTTCCTTTGAATCTCAAGAGACCTTTATTTATAGTTTTTTTTTACCTTTAAATAGTTGGATTATATTTCGTTAAATATAATCCACATAAAATTCAGGTTGTGTCGGGGGATGTTGTGTTGAAATTTTCAATGATATTTTCTCATTTTCATATGATTACTTTCCAAGAAGACCAAGAACATTAGGAGGAGACTTTTCTGTTCCAAGTCTACACAAGTAAACGCGTTTGACAATTTTCCAAAACTTACGTGTTATGATTATATCCTTTAAAATTTACCAACTAATTTTTCGCCAAATTGATTTCTTTATACTGTGTACACCAAAAATAAATACACTTTGAATATAAAAATTAATCAAAAACCAATGTGGATATAAATTTGATGGCTATTAAGTTAATAAATTTACTCTATAATTTTTCATTGATTTGCCGTGCAATATCTATTTAATTTATGCATGCACTATTCACTCAATTCTGTTACAATTTTTTATGCAAAGATAACTTCTAATCGATTAGCATTTAACAACATGCTTTATTTTAATAAATACTTCTTTTTTCGTTCTTATTATTATGTATTTTTCTTTTATTCTTATTATCATCGCATCACATGTTCAAGTATAATTTGTTCAGACGAGGCTAATAATCACGTCACATCAATTTTGTTAGAATTTTTTATGCAATAAATACCTTTTAAATTATTTTATGTAATTTTGTTATCCACTTTTCAGTTATTATTTATGTTATTGGTAAGAGCATTATTTCGGATATTAGCTATTTTATTATGATGATATTTAAAATTTTTAATTATGAAACTATATTTTTATTATTTTATAGTTTAATACTTTATTATGAAAAAAAATTAATTCAAGTTAAAATTAACAAATTATGTTAAAAATATATTTTATTTTTTTAATGTTTAAGTTCAAACAATTATTCATTGATCTGCCACTAACCAATGACAGGATTGTGTACAGTTCACAACAATAACTTCATTGTTACTTTGAAAGAAAGAAAAAATGTCAAATACTTTAGAATTTTATGAAATTAATTATTTTATTGAAATTAGTAAATATTACAATTAAATAGTAAAATATTTATAATCTTTATTCTTTAAATTTAAATTTGATTTTATCCTATTTTAAATTTAATTAGTTGCATTAGCTGGAATTGATGCAACCTCCATCAAATGTGGAGAAACATTTCTCTAATAACAATGTTTTCATGACCAAAACCTTTACGTTCATATCAAGGCACACAGATACTAGAAAAGGTTAAAATATATTTTCTTTTTGTATAAGTAACATTTATATTTAATTTAATATTGTAGTAAAAAATTATTTAAACTATAACACAATTTAATTTAATAATCTGTTATCGTTAAAAAATAGGAGATAAATTACAAAGGTATAAACATCACATATTAAAGAAAAATGAAATTAAGGATCTGGAGAAAATCTTTTTACTTTTAGTTATAAAAATATCACCGTATTCTTTTTTCTTTTTTTCTATTTTCAAAAACTCATAAAAGAAACAGTGAAAATATTTTTTTATTATTCTGTTTTCATTTGCTGTTTTTTCTTATTATTCTATATAAACATGAAATGGAAAATGAAAGAAAATGTCACACCAGACTTTTCTAAAAATCTATGTAAGTTTTCATACATCATTTTGACAGGGAAACATGTTTTTTTTTAGTGGTGAATTGGGAAACAGATATATAGTGGTTACACACAGCGAAAAAATGTTGGAAAACATGATTGTTGATGTAGCAAAAACCTTGTTTTGGCTAGTACTAGTATTGGCGAATGGCTGAAATAATTTCAGCAATGCTTTCAAATTTTCTTCTTTCTTTGAGAAGCATCTTAGCTAGATCAAGAGCTCGACGTTCACAAGTTGCCCGTTTATCAGCATCAGCAATGGATTCGAAATCCTCAACATGTGCCACACCAACAATTCTCCTGTCAATCAAAGTCAGTATGATGCAATGCAAGTGTTAGCCATTCCTCCTTAAATCAGGATTTTCATGTTCTTCTAAAATTCATGCGACAATGGAAAAAGTGCATGGTTCGTGATGGATATCTTCCACCCCAAATAAATAGTATGGATCAAGGAGAGAATATAGAGAAATTTATCCAAACAAACTTCATGTATAAGATGCCTACTCAAGCAAGAGCCCTTTGGCCTTGAAGAATGAATAATGCATATGCTCACTTTTTTACCAAGTACTGAAATTCAAGTTTTTTATCAAAATGATAGACATGGCTTCGATTGGAATTTGGTCAGAAAGGAAAGGACCTTATCAATATTACAACAACCGGGCCTTTCCTCATTAGGTGGGGTCGACTACGTAGATAAAACTCACATCTCAAATGCTGAAGTTATTAGTTACAAGATCAAGAATGGTTATGTAGCTAATATAAACACGATATCTCAAACTCTCACATTCTCTTTTGTTAAAAGAGGAAAAAAATATTAGAGAGAAAAAGCCTCACCTTATCATTTTAGCAGCACCAAATCCAAGACTATCGTGAAACAAATCTGTCATGTATTTCTTCTGTACAAGGAGTTGAACCTCAGGATTGTTATAGATTGCTGGAAGATACGCTTCACCAGCACCATTTCTGTGTTCATCCCAAAGTGAAGTGAATTTGTGCTGGAAAAGGTTCCAACTGTCTTCGATTGTCTTAAGAATCCACTCCTTATAGGCCTGCACAAAATAGATTTTACATAAGGAATAACAATATTTTCCCCCTACAATCAATGGTCTTCAGCAATTATTTAGGATTACAGTTTAAATGCCAAATCTCATTATTTCGTGCACCCTGTATCGTGATGCAGTAACTCGAATGAAAAGGAAAGGCCAGCCAAATGTGAAGATATAATAGTTGATAAACAAAGCAATGCTACTTCAGCTGACAACAGATGTAGTTCCAACCAAGTCTTCATTTTGTTTTAATAAAATAATGATATAATGTATGTTTGGTTTATAGTTAGTGCAAAGTCCAAAGCATGTTCAAGTCAACCCAAGGGTCTGGTGTTATTGGATTGAATTTCTGTTTTCATTCTTTTGAATGGAAATCCAATTACACCTATAGAGGTACACGAGGTTGGAGGATAAGAAATATTCAATGAAGTCCAAACAACATGAGAAAGGGAACTCCTAAAAAGTAGTCAGTGTAAGACCATGTGCTGAACACAAAGACAAACCATGAAACAAATTCTGTCCCAAAACCAAGTCTTCACTTGTTACCAGTGCTGGACTAAAACAAGGACATGGTATATTTCTGATTACAAAACAAAGAACAATACAATTCAGAAATACAAAGCGAAGCAAAAATCAGAAATAGCTGGTACAAATGCCTTGACATATCTCAAAATATGTAGAAACCTTAAAAAGACCAGCCTCCTCGGCCATGAAACAAAACCATCAGAGTGAAAAAAAAAAACAACGCTAAAAAAAGAAATAGTCCAAGTTTTACTTCAATTATGGACAATAACAAGAAATATGTGACTGAATAACAACTATAGTATACAAAGATGATGGCAAGTAAGGATCACAGAAGACTGGAAAAAGAGGACCTACTTTTCGATCATTTGTTTGATCAGCATGCCCGTCTTGAGCAAAGAAAGCCAAAATCAGGTTTCCCAAGAATGCTCCAATATCAAAACCCATTGGTCCATAAAATGCAAATTCTGGATCAATAACTTGAGTTGATTCACGAGTAACCATCACCGAACCAGTGTGTAGATCTCCATGTAATAGTGCCTGGGACCTCTCAATGAACCTACAGGAACATAAATTCTTATTCTTATAAGAACAATGCAACTACAAAACTACTGTATATAATGGTTAAAAAAAGTGAGTCACAATACTTAGATTTCAGCTCAGCAACTTCAAGCTTCAGCAGGTTGTCTTCCCGAACAGCCTTGGCATCACTATCAAGATAGGGGGCAGTCCAACGATTATATTCAGAAACTTTATAAGGGTCAGAGAAAACTACCTGCTCAGTAAGCCTGCATAACTCCACATTCCCACAAAACTCGGCAACTGCATGAAGCAAATATGAATTCAAACAAATGGTAACACCCATAGGTAATTATTCGTGTCAGAACTTCCTTATAGTCACAAGAAGAGGACATCATTCAGAGCCAATTTAGATAAATTTCACAATGATACACTGATATTACTAGAAAATAAAATGAAGGTTAAACTATTTGCTTGGTCCCTATAGTTGTCCTTATTTAATGTGCTAGTTCCGACATTAGAAAACAGTAAGCTTTACTTCCCCATACGAGTCTAAAAGTTAAGTTTTGGTCTTTATTAGTAACACCGGGGAAAACATTCTGGCAGTGACTGACACAAAAAACTGTCATATAGGACTAAACCTTAAAATGTAAACACTTATAGAGACCATGCAATAAATTAACCTAAAATGGATTGAGAGAGGCAAAATGAATCAAACTTCTAGCATAACTCAAAATCAATTTATACAGCCTAACATTTTAAGATAAAATCGAATCATAAGTACCAACATTTTTAGAAGTTCCCTAGCCAGTCTAGCTTCTCAATAAAGTGACAGGGGTAAGGTTATACCGTCTCGTTTGTGCTCAGTAGTGGAACGGAAAAGCAGAGACGTGAAGAAGAGTGTCTTTGCCATAAAATCAGCCATATCCTTAGCTAAAAGAGGGTATTCAATTCCTGCAATCAACCCTTTTCTTAGGATTATATGAGGGGGCTCCAAGTAACGCATGGCGATCAAGGACATCGTCCGATCAAAGTGATACACTTCAGGGACATGCTCAGGGCTTAGACGGCCCTCTTCTTTCAGCGCCAGCGACTCAAAATACGCTCTCTCCTTCGTCATAGGCCACGATTCCCCTATGCAACGAACGTACGGCAGAGCCTAAAACAATTCCAAAACCCCAAAGGAGAGAAGTTTGAGCTATGAAACCGAGAGACAAAAAGAAACAAAATTGGTGATTGCCCATGATTGTTTGGAACGCAAACCCCTTGGGGTTTGTGATCCTCAAACTGTTTGTTACCTGTTTGATGACAAAAGAACCTGCGGAGTTGGAAACAATGTAAACGAAGTTAAGGTTGCCATCTCCGACTTCTTTAACTGACAAGTCGTCAAAATTGCCCGCGAGTTTGGAGGAGAGAGAAGGAACGGACTTTATGTATTCGATGAGGCTCTTATCGTCGAGAGGTCGGAACTCCAAGAAAGACATGGTGGCCGGCGATGGTGGCAGGAGGGAGTGGAGCAATGGTACTCTACCAAGTCCCAAATGGATGGAATCTTTGTAGTGCGTTTTTCTATTCCTTTGTTTGGAGGAAGCACGCTGGAAACTGGTGGCTTCTTTTCTTTGCACAGGAATTTGATTCTTCTAAAACGATGTACAGTGTCAATTTAACACCATTAATGGTTGGGAAGATATGTCAATTTTCATGCTTGAGAATATTAAAATACTTTTTAAAATTTATACTAATATTGATACAGATTATTTATTATTAAACATTTAATACATTATAAAATTAAGTAATTCGAATGCTTTTCCTTTCTTCATGTTTGGCATGATTCAGTAACTTCAAGGAGACAAATAAAGAGAAAGGTGAGGAGTGATTGAAAGACTTTTATTTTTTGGAAGGGACAATGGCACGCAATGAATCTGGACAGAGTTTTGATTAAGTTAATTTTAGGAGAATCCTTAGATTTCGAACTTTAAAATAGGGAAAGAAAATGTTTCAAATTCCAGGTCTCGTAACAGCATTAAATTATTACTATCCTGTTTTTAATTTAATTCGTTAAGACGGTTTTTCAAAAAAACATGATTGTGATAGAGTTATTAAGAATTAAAATAGATAATATTTCATTTATTAGGATCTTAATGATATTGCATTTGACGTATTTATAAGTTTTTTTTTTCAACTTATCAACGGTATTTTTAATAAGAGTTATTTATAAGTAAAAATATAATTATATATATTACTTTAAATTAATGAGAAATGTATAAATGAAAAATTAGGAAATTCAAAATATATAATTGATAAAAAAAGTTATTTATAATTATTTTATATTTTACTATATTATAAAAGTTAAATATATTTTTCTTTTCTTAACTATTATTAATCTAATTTTTTTAATTTATTTCGCGGCTTTTCAATTTTTCTGTCAGGACTTTTTTTTTTTTTTAAGTTTATAGTATGATATATATTTACCGTTTCTTGATTTTTGAAAGTCAATAGCTGTCCTCGCTTTCACTGTGTGTGATCTATCATTCAATGTTATTGATGCTGATTTTCTGTTTTCTTAAACATAATTAATCCAATGTTAGATAAGATTGGTGAATTCAACACATTGTAGTTTACTGGAGTCGGAGTAGGAGTTGTTGCCACCATCGGGTATTTACAATTGTATTGTAAAAAAAATTGAACAGAGTAAATGATTCTCCCTAGTTTTCAACTTCTGTACAAGGTCGTTGAGATGACAAGTTTATTTATCATTTCCGCTCCATCCGTTTGTTTGTAGATGACAGAGGAGCAGAAAACTTGTTTCAATAGGTTTTTCATATCCATAAAATACACACCACCTGACCCAAACACCACACATATCACGTGTGGCGTTTACCTTCCTGACAAACGCATGTGATGCAAAGGATACACAATGTATTAATACATCTCTTAATATTACATTAGCTAATATTTTGACGTAGAAAAAAAAGTGGAGTTCCAAACAACTCATCATAAAATCAAGCAATTAAACATTTACTTAAAATTACATAGAAATTGTTTGCTTATCATTAAAAAAAACACGTAATTCTTTCCCCTTCAATGAAATGAAAGTATGCAGAACCTACCACAGACGTGATTCAAATTTGTTAAGAAGTGTATTTCAACATTCATTAAATCATATTAAACCAATATTTCAATACAGTGTGTACTTGTTTACGCATTAAAAACACACCTAATGAAAATTTTCACGCCCAATCCCTGAAATAACAAGAGAAATAGCAGGTGATTCTTTTAAACTTAAAACATTTTTTATCTCCTTATTTTCAAATAAAAAGGCAAATCGAACAATAACCAGACTATCAAATTCACAGCAAAATTATTCTTTTTCTCTCCCCTTCAAACAGCAGCTATGACTATGCATCAAAACTGGGCACAATAGGCAACCGTGCCCAATCCAAATTACAAAGCAAAAAGGTAAAAAAATAGGGGCAACCTTCTAATCTTACAACTTGAGGAAAACAAACTCTTCAACTGCGGGGATATCTCCAATCTTCTTCAAAGCTTCCTTGCTAGGTTGTTCGTCCACTCCAATTGCCATTACAGCTTGCTTGCGTGGAGCAATTCTTCCTACGCTCATGAAGCTGACATTCACGTTCTCCTCACCTAAAACGCTCCCAACCTTTCCGATCATACCTGGTTGATCAACCTGCCTACACAGTATAATGCTACCTTCCAAACTCACGTCAACATCAAAAGACCCAACCTTTGTCAGATGGGGGATACCATCTTTCACCCGACCCTCAACCTTAATTTCCCCAGAATCTGATATTGCACTTGCAAATCGGGATTCCACATTAGCAATCTGGACCTGAATGAATTCCAGTGGATTCTCAGGTGAGCCATCAAGAATAACTCTCTCCTCAGTTATCCTGAGACCTCTTTGCTTAGCAGTGAAATCAGCATTAACCAAGTTCACGAAGACACTAGATATAGGCTCAATCAGACCCTTGGTTATCATGGCACGAAGAAGACGAGTGTCCAGATCATCAGGGGCCCTAGCGGTGGCATAAGTGACCTTCACTGTTTTTACACCACTTCCTCCTGCTACCAGCTGGACAGCCAACCTACCCAGTTTCTCAGCAAGATCAACGAAAGGTTTCAATTCTGATAATACCTGCACAAACAAAAGAAAGAAACAGATGTTAAACTAGGCCATTTCTTGCTTAAACCAAGTTTAATTCATGAGTCACTATATTATGATGTGCTCGTTAAAGTGGAACACTAAACGATATCCAGAATTTCAAATTTGATAATAACACTAATACAATGATTTTTACCTGTATTCCCATTTCCCATTTGTCTTAATCAGGTTTATCAAATCAAACTTTAACATCACAGTAAGCATTTAGCTTAAACCATTTGAGCAAATAACAACTAATAATGTAACAATAAAATAGGTACCATCTTCAAAATACCCATTTCAATATCAGAAGCTAGATACACACAAATAAATGAATTTACAAATATTTTCTCAAGGTAAGGGATAGTAACAACGGAAATATCATCAAATAATGTATAAAGAAAAGGAAATGGATTAATATTTTTCTTGATACCTCAGAGGGAACCATTGGTGCATTGACTGCAGTAGCAGCAAGCTCCCCTTTTAGAGCCCCAACCACAGCTTCTGCTATTTCAATAGCCACACCTTCCTGGTTATCACTTTCAAGAGCGTTAAAAAAATTGTGAAGATAGAATTTAAGGAAATATTTGTCATCATATCCAAACGTAACTTACCTGTGCTTCCATGGTACTGGCACCAAGATGAGGTGTTGCAGTAACGAGCTCATGGAGAATCAACTTGCTGTCTTTGGGTGGTGGCTCCTCAGTGAAAACATCAAGAGCCGCCTGAAACAAAGATATGGCACAACTATTATCTCTTTAACAAGCAGAGTTCAAACTATTTACTTTTCTATTTCATTAAAGTGATCTATTATTGCTTCAAAAATGTAAATGGCAAGAACCTGAGCTACAATTCCAGAATCTAGTGCCCTGACAAGAGCATCCTCGTCAATGACCCCTCCACGAGCAACATTTACTATTCGAACGCCTTTCTTCATCTTTGCAAAAGTCTCATCGTTGAGAATCTTAGATGTAGCAGCTGTGAGAGGCATATGTAGAGATATGAAATCCGCAGAAGAAATGGCCTCATCAAAGCTCACTAGTTCCACACCAATGGCCCTAGCGCGGTCCGCAGGAGCATATGGGTCATGCGCAATGACATTCATACCAAGCCCCTTGGCTCGGCGAGCAACTTCAGAACCAACCTTCCCAAATCCCAGCACCACAAGTGTCTTCCCAACCAAAGAAACTCCTACATACTTATTCCTCTGCCATTTCCCTATATTGAACAAGGACACATGTTACAAAAACAGCTAAAAACAGAATCCACAACACGAATACTAATAAAACATCACACGAAACATATTCTTTAAAGAATAAACCCTTACTTTATCACAGAAAAAAAAAAAAAAAAAGTAGTCACAGACGCCTTTATACATCAGGACTTAACGTAAAATCGCGTAAAATTCAACCTCTACATAGAACCTTTCAAATCAAGGGTAGTTCAATAACAGGATCCATATCTAAAAAAAAAAGACGTAAAATTTATAATCAGAAAAAGATATCTCCTCTTTTATAATATGAAAAATATTCAATATAAAATGTGGTTCCATATATTCTCTCCAATCAAACCAAAATATGTGAAACTAAATAAAAGAACGCACATGGATTACAGTTAAAAAAATAATAATAATCACGTATAATTTAAACTCTACATAGAAATTTCAAATCAAGCATAGTTGAATAACAGGATTCAAATCTAAACGATATCCAACTTGACGAAACGCAATGGAAATAGAACTCACCGGCTTTGACCGATGCATCAGCCTGAGCAACATTCCTGGCCATGGCGGCAAGGAGCGCAATCCCGTGCTCAGCGGCAGCGACGGTGTTAGCGGTTGGCGCATTGACGACGAGACAGCCGTGCTCGGTGGCGGCAGCCAGATCCACATTATCGATTCCGACGCCAGCTCTGCCGACGACCTTGAGTCTGCCGCCGGAGGACTCGAAGACCTCGCGCGAGACCTTGGTGCCGCTGCGCACGATGAGCGCGTCGCAGAGCGAGATCTTGGTGCAGAGTTCCTCGGTGCTGAGATTGTATGAGCAGTCGACGTTGGCGAAGTCCTTGAGCAGCTGCAGCCCCGCGTCGCCGAGCTTCTCCGCGACAAGCACCGTGGGTTTCGCGTCAAGCCCCGCGGAGACCAGCACGACGAGCGGACGGGAGGCGCCGCGACGCGGGGGGACCGAGACAGAGAAGGCGGAGGAGAGAGGGAGCCTCGAAGAGAGAGAAAGCGAGGGCGATCGGAACCGAAGGGTCTGAGAAGTGGCGGTTGCCATCAAATTAGGGAGAGAAATTAGGACCAAAAATTTGAAAGGGCAA